AAATTTATTTTACGATTATTGGGTCGATATATCAAAACGGAAAAAAGAAACACGAATGAAATATGTGCACGGACGCCGCTGGTGGATGTTCTGCGAATGCAATCCGACAACAAACTGCATAAGCTTGGTTTTATGTTTTTCACAAATGCATGCAAAATTAGATATTTGTGTCGAAATTTTAGGTTGACAACGCTTTAGGGTGAAGAAAAAACTAGTTTTCATCACGGTTACCATTTATTCAGCGCTCATAAAAATGGTTTGGGAAAGGTAATGTTGCGTCTGCATTCGGCTCGCACAGCCAGCACATTTCCCCTTCTACTTTTGGCGGGTTGAGCGCAGGTATAAAAGGCAACGCACAGCGACAACAGGGTTCAGTCGTGCCTGTGTAGTGCTCCTCCCCAGGTTATTTTTTTTTGAGTCATCGATTAAGGTGCGCCACATGTGATATTTAGATATCAATTTTTTGCCTCATTGCTAAGTTTTTAAGCTCAAAATAACAAATCCTTATTACTCGAATAATTTACTGTGAAAAAAATAGAGTGCCAGAACGTCCTGCTTTAAAATAATATGCAAATTTATGTATCAAATCTCAGCATGGCGTGTGCATCCAAAATGGCGCTTAACGTCCGACGCATTTAATAAACAAATTTATTGCCGTCCCTATTTGCTCCGTAATGCCGATTTGGCGTTATAAATGTATAAAGCTGGCAATAAAAATCCCTCCATCGCGCCCTTTCCGTCCCGCCGGAGGGGGCCCTACATCAAACTAGCAACTCCATCCGCGCATCACTCGCCTCAACCGCCACCGAAACGAATTTCCCGCATGGCACCATGTGCGGAAAGCTGTGTGTGGTCGGACGGGTCAATCGCATAAAACACACACCCGCACATACATACGATGGTCAGACTCAAATCCACACAGAGTGTTACAAAATCTTATTGGATATTTACAAGATTTACACAAAGATTTACCCCAGACATTCAGTATGAGTCAGTTTGGTAAACAGATGACAATCCTTTAGGTATAAGAGTATGTGTAACGTGTAAGAAATTCGCCCGCCCACGTCCAAAACCAAGTAACCATCGAACCGTCCGAGGTGCAGGAAAGAGGTTCATTTCCCGCGCATCCTGCCCGCTGGCTGATAGAGACGCGTGAAGCCATCTTGTCTCGCAAAGTCGTAAAACGTACCCGTACGGAGATGCAATATCTGCAATATAACACACTTGCCGCCGTCCGTACAGGGTGTGGGCCACATCTGCCGACGAAGAAGTTTCGAGCCTCCTATATCACCACCACGTGCCACGACGAGACCGCATTACTATTATAACAGGCGTCGAATTAGATGACTTTTTTTTCCTAGCCACTCGCCTGCTGGCTGCTGAGAATTTCGTTCCTCTTTTTTTTGCTCCTCCTACGCCGAGTGTTATTTTTATTCACACGAGATTCATTTGAGAGTAGACGCAATATTTCACGATTCAACCAATTCCAACAAGATTTTATATTCAGCCAGATTTCTGCAAACGGAAATAGAGACGCGATTGGGGACCTGCGAGTGCTCGAGACGTGTGGAAATGTGAGTAGGTGAGTATGGTAGTCGTCTAAATCAGGGTTTCTCGCAATGGATCATAGCGGGAGTGTGAGCAAGCAGACGGTAAGACGAGACGGTCGTTTTGGCACAAGTTTTATGTTAGCGAATTGGTGAATTGCGAATTTTATTATGCAAATGGGCAATAAAGGTTTCTATTTCTTGCAATTGCAATAAAGATTCTACAGACGCATAAAGCTAAGGTGGTGCAAAGCGTTTAAGTCACTATAAAAACAGAAGAGATGCAGATTTTATTATTTTCCACCGTTTATCCATTTAAACAATGAAAATAATATTTTTTGTACAAAAAAAAACTTTCAAAAGTTATTTTACTTCATTATATCTAAAAATTCCAATATTTCTGCATTCCAAGAACTTTGGTGTGTGCCGATACATGTCCTGTTATAACTCCCACATGGATGCGAAAACCGCACTGGAAAATACCGCGCGGTAGCATCTTATATATAAGTTTCTAATTTATTACGATCTAGATTGAATCTTGCAAATTCCTGAAAGTTTACAACTGCACGCCGCGGGCTACGACCGCGCCTTTATGATTTAGTCTGGTTGCCGGTTACTTGTGTATTACGAGGGATGTCCTCTTGCTCACATCGTTCGCATGCTTTACTAACTCCCACATCCTTTTCGTTCGAAACGCGCATGTGAGTTAGTGGGTGTATGTGAGGCAGAGGAATCTTTCGATTAAACGATCATGTTGCGAGAATTAAGAGAAGGCAAATATTTCTGGAATTTATAAGAGCGTAGATGTTGGATAGAGAAGGAGAATGTTTTGAAACGTGAAATAAACTATTTTTTGCTGAGGTTAATAAAAAATATTCTGTTTAAAACTATACATGAGTCGGCATATGGGGTGTTAAAAGAACACTTTGATTGAAAATAAGGTCAAAAGTCGCTTAAACTAAGTCACGCCACAATTTTTGTTTTGTTTTTCAGTTGTTCTTTATTTCTAGTAGGTATATTATTTTTTTATTACTTGAATCTAAGCTATTATTATCTTTTGATTTCGGAGGAATATTATTATCATTTGCGAAATGTAATTACGCCAATTAGCAAAGAGAAATTGATTTAACTAATTACTTTCAGCCGATGTTCTTTTTCTTATATCATTTCTAATTGTTTAAATAAAAATAATCACTTGTGTTTAGATATAAATCAATTAATATTTCTAGTATTTACTATAATACGAGAAGCCGAGTGTTTTGAGATGTAAAATAAACAATTTTTTTCTGTGTTTAAAAAAATTTTGCTCAAAACTATACATGGGACGGCATATGGGGGTGTTAAAAGAATACTCTGAAATAAAGTCGAAAGTCGCTTAAACTAAGTCACGCCACAATTTTTGTTTTTATGTCTCAGTTGTTTATTTCTTGAACGGACTTCAACCATTATTATTTTCTAATCACAGACTAATATTATTATCACTTACGAGATGTAAACAAGCTAAGTTGCAATATAAATTGTTTGTATCAAATTGATTTTAAGCAATATCCTTTTCATCCCTATACTCTATATATGTATAAAAATTAATGACTTTATTTTAAGTAAAATAATCACGATAATTCAACAATCTCATTTTGCATTTGAAAAGACGTGTTTGGACGTGTAAAATAAACAAGTTTTTTCTGTTGTTGAAAAAATATCTTGTTCAAAACGATATATGGTACGGCATCTGTTGTCTTCAATGTACATTTTGATTAAAAATAAGGTCGGAAGTCGCTTAAATTGACTAAGTCAAGACAAAACGTTAGTTATGTGGCTGAGCTGTTTATTACTGATACTAGGTACCAGAAATAGTCTTATTTTAGCGTAAATCATCTAATGAGCAATAAAAATATAATAATATTTTTATAATAAAAGGATGTCTTTTTCTTCACAACACTTCCCTGCTTTATAGACAATGCCATGCCTTTCACTACAAATGTAAAGATAAGTTAGTAATTCATTTTGAAACAGTAAATAAAAATTAAATTAGATTTCAAACAATAACATGTATGAGAATGCGACAAAGTATGTTTTGGTGCATTAAGTCAACAATTTTTTGCTGATCTTGAAAAAATATTGTGTTGGAAACGATACTCCTGTTTAAAATAAATTCTCTGATTGGAAATAAGGTCTAAAGTCGCTTAAACTTGCTAAGTTAAGGCAAAACATTTGTTTTTAAGTCAACTCTTCATCATTGTTTAAACTGGTATAACTGATCTTGATTCATCCATCACATTGTACATCCCTACTAATATTATAAATACGAAAGTCCTGATGTTTGTTACACTTTCACGCAAAAACTGCTTAACCGATCATCATGAAAATTTGTACACATATTCTTAGTGGTCCCCAAATGATTATAGGCTACTTTTTATTTAATAAAAAAAAATATTTTTAAAATAAAATAAAGAAATTGTTTAGCCAATAATACCTCTGCATCTGGCTATTTGACTACTTTAACGCCATCTACCATTCCAGCAATGAAGCTCAAACCTAAGTACTATAGTACCATCACACTGTATTACCGACAGCTACGTCAACATCAAATCCAATTGACTACACTATGGAGACTGTACACTATACTTCCATAGACTATACTTTCAGCCATTTTAAACTTCCCGCCATTCTACTTCATTGTTACTTCTTCTATGACTACATACGCGTACGGAAGCAACTTCATTATTTTAGATATTCGCGAGCGAAGCCGCGGGTTAAAGCTAGTGTTAAGATAAAGCAGTAGATATTTCGAGACTTGATAAAACGCCAGCAAGCCAATGTTTTAAAGCATTCAGTAAACAATTATTTGCTGTTGTTAACAAAATATTTCATTTAAAACAGTACCTTGCACGGCATCTATAGAGTTAAAAGAATACCTTGATTGAAAATCAGATCTAAAGTCGCTTAAACTAAGTCACGCCACAATTTTTGTTTTGTCTCTCGGTTGTCCTTTATTTGTAATATATTGTTGTTCTTTATTTTTTGAACGGACTTAAATTATCGTTGTTTTCTGATCTAGTAGTAATATTATCATTATCGAAATTAAATTACGCCAATTAGCAATGAAAAATACTGGTAACTAATTGATTTCAAACAATTTTCCTCTTTATTTTCAACTTTAAAAATCCTTCACATCCCTTGAAGTCAATCTATTCATCTAAATGAATGATTTGTGTGAAAGAAAATAATTACTAGAATTCAATTAGCTCATTTTGTGTTTGATAAATCAATGTTAGATAAATCAAACGATATTTCTAGTATTTACTAGAATACGAAAAAACTAATGTTTTGATGTGTAAAGTAAACATTTTTTGCTGTTGCTAAAAAAATATTTTGTTGAAAACGATACTTGAAACGGCATCTGTGGTGTCAAAATAATACTTTGATAGTAAATAAGGCTTAAAGTCGCTTAAATTTACTTACACCAGTGAGAACTTGCGGTTTATTCAGATTCTACTTATTAATTATAAACAATATATATAAATACTAGCTTGGTAGGATCATTGTTAGTATATATTGTTTTCATTTTAATAAAATCATAATAAAAATACGCTTCAATTTATAATTAAACACTGATTCATAATATTAGCAGAGTATTCTCCTAAATAGAAATTACAATTTAAAATAATCAAACCTAAATCTCTTTGTATCACAAAATCAAATTCTCATTATCTCAATTTTTCATAATTTCCAAAAACACTGGAACACTCATAAATGCTTTCATTACAAATTTATCTCACATTTAAAATGAATGAAGAACCGGCCTTCATAAGCATCATGTTTAAATATTTAAATTAAACCATCGACAACTCATTACCTTTTTATACGCATAATTAAGATTAATATTTAATCATTAATTACAGTACTAATCCAGCATGTTCTTCGTTAAAACCATACTGAGCGTATCTGCTCTTTTTCTGTATAGAAATATGGCGTAGATAGATGTCACCCTGGATGTACACAGCAGAAACAAAATGTTTATTCCGCACTCGATAGGGATACTCAGCGATGAGTTGGTTATTCACATAAATCGCATAAAAATCCATCTCTACACGGATGACCAACGTAAAAGAATAACCAGGAGAAAAAGGAAAACCTGGAGCTCGTTCTTCATTATACCATTTGCCATCTGACCAAGCATTACGAACAAATGCATTTGCACCACAGCAAGCACCTAAAAACACTATTTTAGTACAAGAAATATTGGTATAATTTAAAATAATAGTTACTGAATCTTGGATTCAAATGTAAAGGAATTATTGCATGTGGATGAATATTCAGTCCGTTTTGTAAATTGACATAAAACGAATGTGGAAGAAGTTTTACTTTCCCACATATTTCTAGTTGTGTTCCAATGTTTAATGGTTGACTCAGTTTTCCCAAAAATGGCATACGCTACAAAATAATATTAATTATTTACATTTTTTAAATTTTATTAGACTTACAAGTTTTAAATCTTGATCATCGGTGTAGTTTTCATCACATGGAATTTCGTAAACTTCAAGTTTGTTTTCAGGAATAAAAGGATAATCTTCGAAATGTTTCGTATGGCATTCAGTGATAGTTATATCGCCCACAAACTCAACGTTAGTGATGCGATCATGATGCACGCGGTGCCGGAAGGAACAAAAATGGCGACCGTTCACGCTGACATAGAAATCACTGGCCGTGAGATAAAAGATTAGCTCGAACGCTTCATCCGGTCGGAGGGTGAGACGTGTTGGAGAAGTGGTTTCCTCTTCACCCCAGTACCCTTTCAGCAGGCTATTCCGCACAACGTAACCTTCCTGCAAGCGCGGATTGAAATGAAAAGCGATTGTGCCGTCTACCAATGACCGGTTCCCACATGTGAAATCGACAGCAAACCTTTAAGTAAATAAAAAATATTCTGATTAATTTTTGTTTATTTTTTAGCTGTTTTTAAATCTACGCGTAAATTTTCACGTTGGGGCATGAAAAAGATGCATGTGAGGAAACGCGGGTTAGTTGTTTTCCAGGGCACATCCAGGCAAGTCCCAAAACGTGGATTTATTGTTCCGCCCGGGAATAAACACGGATACGTGCTACATAAATTTCAGCAACACCGTGCAATCGCACAATCGTACAAAGCATAACATGAAAATAAAACGAATTATAACACTTTCCAACGGAATGCACACAACAACATCACAATAAAATAAAAAGTAATCACATACAGGCAATTACAAATTCCCATAACGTTAAAAAAAGAGACATAGAATGCAATAGATTCAATAAGCGGAAATGATTTATTGAAGGAAAAGAAAAAGTTGGGCTCAACCGGGATTTGAACCCGGGACCTCTCGCACCCAAAGCGAGAATCATACCCCTAGACCATTGAGCCGCCATGCTTGCAATCAGATTTCATAAGCAGAGAAATGAAAAAATTCAGGTCAAGAGAAAGTTGTTCTAAATTAATAAATAACTATACAAATAATATAAAGTATTAGAATGAACAAAGCATAGAGTTTGCGTGTTTAAAATAAATTCAAGGTAAAATACCGACTCAAGGTAGCATTATTTAACTCACATTCAAGGTCAAGATCATTGCTAATATTATATTAATAACGGTGACAATATGGTGAACAATCAACAAAAAACAAACGCACAGCTACAATTTTTGTATATGTTTAGTGTCAAAATGCAATGAAATTTTCTACTTCTATCATTACCTGGTACATCCAAAATGGGTACGTCCACGGACAACCAAATACGACCCCGGATCAAGGCACTTCCCCACAGGATGCACATGGACGATCTTGCTTGCAACACGATCATTAGGCATTAATTCCAGCGCTTCAAAAGCCTCCTCGCCATCGCTCAAATCAATCAAACTCATTGCTAACGCACACGTTGAACGAAGCGCACTTTTATGCACAGATTTATGATCGACAGAAGCAGGTAGATAAGGTGATAAAAGCAACAATGAGCGCACCTGCTGCGATTTGTCGCGATTAAAACACACGTGATAAATTTGAGCAAACGTAAAGCGAGTAAAGTCTAACAAAAACCATGCTCCGACTAACATAAACATGAAGCTTCTTATTAATCAGCAGACTAAAGTGACATAATTTAATTAAGAGATAGCGGATGCCAATTTAGTTATGTATTTCTTGTGTAAATAAATAAAAACAAATAAAAATGTATGTAATTTTTGAGCGTATGACAACAGTCTATGTTTGTTGTATAAATATCTTATCTTGTGTTATATTTGTTTGCTTATTACTTGTTCAAAAAGCACTTCGGAAGACGTTCTCTTCTCTATACAGAACATTGTCCGTGATAATACGTAACGCTTTCAATATTTGTTTGTGTTAGTGCTGTGGGTGTAGTCATGACAATATTAGTTCATAAAAAATGAAGAAAAAGAATAAGGAAACGTGAATTTTTGAAAATTGCGCAATGTTATTGTCGATCAGAATGATGCGTGATTATTATTGCCTGTGTTATCTGTGCTTGTCTGTTCTTTACATGCTTACACTCGCAATCACACACTTCTTTGCTGTGTTAGGGGTTTAAATACAAGCGTAAAACAAGTTGTAAGGCACGAAACAATTGAAATCACGGCTTTCTTGTACGTGGAGGTTATGTTATGATAATACGATGAGCAGGAGAAGCGAATTCGTGGGAGTATTGATTACGTGCTACTGTATCATACAGCAGGAATACAGTGACATGTAGAATTGGTTGCCTACCATGATAAGTTATTAAAAAAAATCTTATAAATAAAAGTACGATGAATGAATATTAAAAATACCTGAGTTGATGGTTGTTGATTAACAATAACAAAGTCTTTCTCTATGCTATCTTCATCCACGCTGTTTTTCCGCATGCAACAACAGTGTTGGTAAACATTGTTATTGTTACTCGCACTGCCACTAGCACCTGTTGTTGAATTTTTAATTTTTTGTGACTTCACCATGTTTACCACGCGCCTACTGTTTACTTTTAATTATAACTTGGTATATATTAATTAACGGACAACTAAAAACAGGCGCAAGTATACTGCGCGCTTTGATTACTTTACAGCCGGCTGAAAACAATTAAACGCGAAAGTTATTTCGTTTCGGTTCTGAATATTTTATGTTATTTATGCGTGTGTTAAAGAGTTGGCACGATTCCGCACTGGCTCGCTGCGCGGAAAAACCAGCACAATCTTACTAAAAATAACAACGCAATGCGAAGGCGGTTTATATACAATCATATAAACTGATATAATATAGTTAATTATATGACGAACGTGCCGATTGCAAGCAGGCGGACAATAAACTAGACGATCAGAATTACAACTAGGTAGGTCTAGAAATAATGGTGACGAATTCCTGCTGAATGTGATTGATAGTGTTAAGCAGTCAAAATACATACATTTTTAGCTTGTTGTAGCGTTTCAAGCTAGGCAACTTGTTCTATTCACATTTGAATTGTTTTTCTGAACAAATAACACTTTGTAAATCATTTATTTAACATTTGTTTAAAGATATAAATGTCAAAAAAGCAGTATAGCGATTGATAAAAATGGCAAAAACGTACAATTACTGAAATGCAACTAAGTACAAAATTAATACAATGTGCAGGTAAACTTTTTAAAATACAAGAAAGGCGTAAAAAATTACAAATCTGTAAACTTCACCCTCCGATTTACATAATGATCCTCATTCTCATCACTAGCATTACCATCTAAACTCTGGATCATCGAGCTGGTAAAACTAAACCTGTCAGATTCCGCAACATCATTTGCTGAAGTCTCCGTAGAAATTGACAGCGAATCATCAAATTGATGCGCATCAATGTATTTAATTTGATTTCCGCTTGAGACAAATACTCCGTTTTGATTTTCGCCCAAGTATTGAGAATTAGGCAAGTCAATTTTCATAAGCTGGAGCGCTTCGTTTTCGTTTCCATTACAAGTATTTTCTGTTAGTTTATAAATCTCCACCGCATTAAATTGCAACACGTATAAATATTTCTTTGCGTAATAAAATGCCTTAGGCATGTAGGTCCAACAAATGTCGTTTTTACGTGTGCTGCGACCATATTCATCAACAAAAGTTGCAAATTCACTGAAGCACACCAAGTATTCAATGCGATTCGGGGGCTTGGTGATATAATGAATCGACAAAGGGAATGATTGCATCTGGAAGCACTTTACCGCGTGCGATAATTTGGAATCAGACGCATCCAAAAATTCATCTGCTTCAAAACTACTCAGATCTACTTCAAAGAATTTATCAGCGCCAATGATGACTGAATGCTCAGTAAACAAAATGCAACTCGCTGGTTGGGCTGTATCAAGAATCCTTTGAGGTAAGAATTCATTCTTGACGCAATCATATTTTAATATCGCGAGTTTCTTACTTGAAGCGACACAAATAAACTTGTTACGTTGGAAATCGGATGATTTCAGAATATGAAAACCGTCCATGTTGTTAACAGTTAATGCGCGATATTTAAGTGTTGGTTTCGTGCAGGGTGCACAATCGCATAAAGTACGCAAGTGTTTGAAATCGCAACAAATTAATGTGCGATTTTCTTCGGCAATCATGACCACAGTGTTGATTGCAGCTATGACAACAATTTCACTCACTGATGAAGGACCTAAGATTTGAATGCACTTGTTTTTTTGAAGAGTAAACAAACCGGAATCAGTTCCAAGCAATTTGATATCATGTGTTAGCTCTACAACGCAGTTAATTTCCATGTCTTCGGTGTCATAAAGCAGAATCTCTCCATTTTTGTCATTACACTTAAAAATGTTTTGCAAAGCTGGAAAACATGGTATTAATTTACTGTTTTAATAGTTGTAATTAATGTGTGCTTACCTGCATGCCATCTTTCTTTATCTTCAATGCTCAAAGTCATGAAAATAATGCACTGTGATGGCCAACATGTTGAGTTTGGACTTGTCTCGACTTTAATCACAAAGGGAAGATCGCTGTTAGCGGTTTGTACAGGAATTTCTGAATGCACCGGCTCTAAAATCACTTTGCCATGTTCATTCGCCCGGTGCAACTTGAGAGCTTGAATGGGTTTTGCCCCTTCCACGTTTGGTGGCTCATTGTAGACACATAAGGTGGTCGCAGTAAGACATGCGTAATGTTTTTCCCATCCCCCAGGTACATTCGGTATTTTTACCCATCCCTCAATATTAATTTCTTCCTTTTTCAATCCGTTAATACTTATTGAACTTCCCGAATGTATTTTATTCAAACTTTCAGAGTAATGTAGCGCAAATTCTTCCGGTAAACCACAAGTTCTTGGCAACGAAGAACCGCAATTTGTGTGAGTAGCAACATGGCATTCACGACACACACTCATATGACGCCCGAGAAGAATCTGATTGGAACATTGTGCGCATTTAACCGCTTTTGTACAAAGTTTTGACTCAAACCTGTGCGGAATATTATGATGCATTCTTTGAATAGAATTCTGTCGGTATAAATCATTCTTCTGTGAAGTAGGACTGTGCACAATCTGAGCTAAAATATCCTCTTGTACAGATAAACTCCGGATGGCATCCAGTTTAATATCGTTTTCGTTTTTCTTGAACGTGTCTGCCTTCAACTTGATGATCTCCTGATGCAATTGCTTATTTTGCTCGCGTTCTTTTGCAAGTTGCACTTCTAAATCCTTGTAATTTAATGCTACGGACAATGGCGGGACATTTTCTTTCTTTGAATGCCCGAATATTTTATCCGAAAGGGTCTTCTTTTTCTTTCCGCTTTCTTCCACTTTAGATTGTAGAAAATCGATGAGTTTAGTCTGTTGTTGAATAGTTGACTGCGCCTTCAATTCACGTTCATTTATGTATTGAGTCTTTTCATTCAAGAGAGCATCTAATTCATTCATCTTCTCCATTAGAGCCTTGATACTTAGCTGAGCTTCAGAATATCTCTGACTCAAGTTATAATTTGATTCTTTGACACTGTTTATGAACGTTAGTTGTTCGCTGTTTTCTTCTTTCAAATAGTTATTTTCCGCGACGTAATCTTCTACTTGACGTTGGTATGATTTGATTGTTAAATCTTGGTCTTGAAGTTTCACCTCTAATACGTTCAACTCATCGCTTAAATCATTGGAGTATTTCTTAAATTCAATGTTTTCGGCCTGGAATGAGTTGATTTCTTTCTGTTGATGTTCAAGATCATCTAACAAACGTTTCACTTTTGTTTCTGCCAAGAGTTTATGTGACTTTTCTTCATTATATTGTTTGCGCGCTTCTTGAACATCTTGTTTACTTTTTACGAGAGTTTCTTGATACTGTTCTAACTCTGTTTGCATTTCGGCGCGTTTTGATTCTGACTTGTCAAGCAGTGTTTCAAATTCTATCAATTGATTTTCCAACAAAGTGCATGCCTCGCGTAATGCTTTACGATTCTGATAGAGAAACGAATAAGATATAAACATAAATAATTTATTAACTATATAGCTATTACTTACCAATAATGAATTCTCCAAGTCAGCACGCGTTTTTACTAATTCTCCTTTAATAGTATTGAATTCTCTATCTTTATAAGTCATTTGGTCGTTTAACTTAATCTTATCGTCGACAACATCTTGCATTTTTTGTTCAAGCACCAATTTTTCACATTTTAGTGAATCCACAACTTCCAGCAGTGAACAAATCTGCAATTCTTTGTTTTGTAGATCATTTTGTAGATGACCAACTTGTTCAATTGTTTCTCTTTCTTTTAGGGTCTGCTGGTCACGTTTAAGTTGCAACTTTTCGAGTTCAAGTTTGCATTTATCAACTTCCAACGCCATTTTATCATTTAAAGCACCTAACTCACTAACAGCTTCGTCTTTAGATTTCTGAATACTGGTAACGAGTTGTTCTAAATCGGAGATCTGCATGTTTAATTCTTTGTTTTTTGTTTGCTCATCCTTCAAATCACGCTCGACGATTTTCCTATCTAAGTCGGCATTCAAAATGTCTTTCTCCAAACGCCAGAACTTGGATTTCAACGTAACTAGTTCTTGTTTTTCAAGCGCCGCCACCCCTGATACCTAATTAACAGAAGAGCTTATATTAATAACATTAGACGATTAAAATTTGTTCAACTAATAAAACCTCAACTAGTTGTTGCTCCAAACGTTCAATCTGTTCTTGTAAGACAATTTCCCGTTCAGATCCAGATTCTAATTTGGATAAATCATTTTGAAGCTGTGTCAACAACTCCTCCAAAGTATTTGCTTTCTCTTCTTTACTCTTGAGACTTAAATTGGCTTCCTGTAACTTTATTTCACACTCAGCTTTCTCTTCCTTAATCTGCTTCAATTCCGTCTCATACTTTTGTCTTTCAAGCTCATATTGTTTCTTCAAGTCTTCCATTGATGACAGTTTTGATGAACGAATATTATTCAACTCCCCCTTGAGATCTTTAACTTGTTTTTTTAAAACAGCACTATTCTGAATTTCTTTTTCCAGTTCTTGTTCTATTGTTTTATTATTGGTGAGCTCAATTATGTCTTCTTCTAGAGATATAATACGTGCCTTTTGGAATTCCAAATCTTCCGACTTTTCTTCAAGAATAGAAACAGTTTTCTTTAAATTCTCAATAACAAGTTCAGATTCTTTTGTTTTAGTCTTCAACTCGCGGTTTTGTTTTTCAGACAGTTCGTATTTGTTCAGTAAAACATTGTGCGCTTCATCCAATTCAATAAGTTTCTTTTCGATAGAGCGCCTGTTTTGAATTTCGTCTTGAAGTTGCGATTGTAAGCTAGAAATTTTACTTTGAGTTTCGGACGTGACTTTTTCCAAACGCGATTCAAGACCGACCACACTTGAACGACGCAGTTTTTCAACATTTTCAACAGAAGCCTAAAGCAAATTGAATAGTATTCAAATATTCAAATAAATTCATATGTTCAATGGATAATACCTTATGCTTATTGGACTTTTCAACAGCTTTCAACAACTGCTCATTGAGTTGATCTATTTCGGCGGTAAGCTTTTCACATCTCTCTCTGCACTCTTCTAATTCCCGATTAACAGCATCTAACTTTACCTTCTCCTCAGCTGCCCATTTGTTCTTAGTTTGTTTTATTAATTCCAAAGCTTTGCGTTCTAACTCACAGCGGTCTTTACGCTCCAACTCCAACATGCGTTTCAATGCCTTTAAAATCAAAATTAGTTGGTTATTTAAACATTACAAGAATATTATAATATACCTGACACTCAGCAATATTCGTAGCCAAATCTCGCTCCAACTTATCTCTAACACATTCAATACTTTCCAACTTCCTAATCTTTTCCTCCAGTTTCCTTTCCAAACCCTCCTTATCTTGTGTAGCAGCTTCACTTTTCACTAACTTCTTATACAACTCTTCAATCTCAGCCCTCATCTTTTCAACTTGGTCGTCATTGACTAAAATACTGCTGCGATACGTTTCCTTCGATTCAGATGGTTCAGTTGTGTATGTGAAACCAATAAACGGGAGATTCTTGCCACTAAACTGTGTCTTGGCTTTAAAATTTTCAATATTTGGCTCCTTCCGCTTCTTTTGTACATCCGAAAAGTTGCTAGTGTCATCTTCAGATGAAATTTTCGGCACAAACGGCGGCACTTGTTCGCGCATATTATTAAAGTCAACGTTTTTAAATAATACATGTTTAATTATTTTATCGTAACCCAAGCGGGTGCTTTTTTCAGTCAGAAGTGACTTAATTAAGTTGATGTAAGCCTGAGATACAATGAGATCAGATGGAAATTTAAGTGTTTTTGTATGATTAATGATTTTGGAGTAGGTTGCTGATGTGCTTTGGCCTGTAAATGGTGTTGAACCAATAGTAAGTTCAAAAGCAAGAACTCCCAATGACCAATAATCACATTCTTTCTGTAACAATAGGATAATAAATTAAATTATGACCTCACAAACAAATCATAAGTTTTACTTACACCATATTGGCCATTATTCTTGCTTGCTTTATTATCAAATGATTGCAAAGCTTCAGGTGCAATATAATCTGGAGTTCCTACTGGAATACCACCTGATACAAAACCTTTAGAGTTTAATTTAGCAGCAGAACCAAAATCTGCAAGTTTCAGATGGCCACATCTATCTAACAATACATTGTCTGGTTTTATATCCCTATGGACATATCCCAAGCTATGCACATCATTAATAGCTAAAATCTGTTTTACATTATTAATAAATTAACCCAAAATTAAGCTATCATAGAAAACACTTACAAGCTCAGCAAGATAAAAAGTTGCTGCAGTTTCAGGTATTGTCCCTCCTTGCCTATAAAGTAATCCTACTAAATCACCACCTGGATGATACTCCATTATGTAATACAGATTATTGGCATCTTGAAAAGCATATTGTAGCCTTGTGATCCATGGAGAATTTGCCTCAACCATAATATTTCTTTCCTCAGCAAATGAAGCACATTTCTGCTCTGAATTTTCATATTTTCTGACTGTTTTCATAGCATAGACATCACCAGTTTGCCTTTCCTTCACTACATGCACTTCTCCAAAGTGTCCTCTGCCTATTACATTATTAACATCAAAATCAGTCAAGTTAACACGCACTTTCTTCAGTTGCAGTAATTTCTTTCGATACTGGTCGACGAAGGAACTGATGTTCTTGTCGTTGTTTTTCAAACTCTCGGTGTTGCACTCATCGTATAATACTTGCAATGCGTCGAACAAACCTTCTCTTGTGAAGGAAGCAGTATGATCCTTTTGTTTATTGAGAAGTTGATTGTTTAATCGCGTAACGCGCACACTGATAGCATCTTTAGACGGCTCCATCTTCAGAATAGCAGTCGTTTATAAACAGGATGTGTAAAATTAAGTAAGTTTATGTTAAAATAATACCAAAGTAAAACATTGGGATAAAAGTTATGATAAAAAGCCGGTACAAGCGATCGTAACGCGCGCGTTCTAAGCCAAACACATGGAAAGACGGTTATATTTTGAATGATGAGCGATAAACACCAGAGTGCAACTGAAGAAAAAGTCGTTATGGATTTCTAAGCATTTCATTGGTTACGTTTGACGTTTCAATGGCATTTAAATATTCGGGCAGGAACAGTGGTGCAACCTATCGGCGTTTACACACAACGGAAAAGTGATAAATCGATTTGTTACAACGAAGAACTTAAAAATGTAGCTTCGACTGGCTTTGTTTCCTTTATTGTAGATAAAATTAGAAAAATAACAGGATCATTAAGTTCAATGTTCGTCCAACAAACGTTTTCGCATCCAAATTGCGATGCTTTGTACAATTTCCTTCTACAATAATCTTATTTATGTTCATATTCACAAGCATTGTCTTTAAAATACTCATTCATTAACACAACGTCACAATAAACCCAAAAATCCATTCTATTAATTTTGCTTCAATCTATATCTAATGATAAGTGAAGATAATGAAATTGATGTACATATTTCAATTGTTACCATATGTAAAGACTCATCAAACTTTATGTTTCCAACGAAACTACATAGATCCAACGTAAAAAAAAAAACAAAATTAAATGTGGTGATGATGATGATGTTGAATATTTTGATGAGATGTTGAATGAATGATTACTGCTTTTTGAAACTTTTTAGAATTGGATAAATATTATCAAAGGCTTCATAGATTTCCTGCCGTACCTTTGCGCCGGTGAGCACCACTTTACCGGAGACAAAAATAAGTAATACTATTCTAGGTTTGACCATACGATAGATCAGTCCGGGAAACAGTTCTGGTTCATAGGAACTGAAAGCACTGTGTGTCAGCACCAAACCTTCCAATCGGATAGGAAATTTCACATCGCAGCTGCCGACCATATTTTGAATCTTGAAATCAAGAAACTTCGCGGGAAAGCCGAGCTTTTGGATGATGCGGGCATACTTCCTAGCTGCCAGTCGCGAGTCTTCCTCACTCTTCGCGCCCGTGCAGACCATCTTCCCTGAAGAGAATATCAGCGCCGTCGTTCGCGGCTCGCGAATTCGCATTATCACGGCGGCGAAACGTTTTGGATTGTATTCGGCGTTACGCGCATGTAGAGCTATTTTCTTTAAGTCTAACTTACAATTTAAATTTACGGTTGAAACAATATTTCTGTAATATAATAGCCAAGTTTAATCCTAGTTTCAAACAAAGAATACTATTACTTGAACTTACTGTAATTGAGGCAAAATGCCTGGATCTGCTGAATGTGGTGTCATTGGTGTGGCTGGTGCTGGGGTAGTTGGTCCTATACTTGGTGGAGGCACAGAGTTGGTTGATCCACCAAGATTAACCATTGGGGATGACATCATTGTGTGCTGCTGCAGTGACATATATTATCATTGGTTTGTGGAGATTGATTGTTATCTCAAAGGAGTTAGTTTAATAAAACTTACAGGTGTCTGTGGCTGCATCATACTTTGAGGAGTAGAAAATCCATAAGCTGCTGTTGAAGCCATTTTGCCTTGAGACATCATCCCCATACCACTCATTCCAAGACCCAGAGTGGGTGTCAAGCTACCCATAGGAGCAAGGGGTGGCATTTGTGATTGAGATGAATGAATAATATTTGGCTGAGACTGTGGGGTGTGTTGGAGTGAAGGTATAATGAGTTGATCTTCTTCTGGCTGATGGAGTGGTGTTCCTAAAACATTTTAAAAATAATGCTCATGTAGCTGAACTGTTATTATTCATTATTACTATGGTAAATAATGTACTCAATGTACTCTAGTTCCAGTATCGACTAGACTAGATTTCTATTGAAATACTATCATGTTTACTTGTTAATTGTTGATTTGTTTTATTTGGGAATGTGTAAAAGGAATTGTTTTGTTAGTTTTAACTTACCTATACTAGGTATAGAAAAGCCGGGACTCGGTAGCATTTGATCCATGGCTAGGCTTTTCGAAAATGCTATCAATAATTCGCTTTACTTATTGCTCAGTGTGGAGTAGTTTTCATAGGGCAAGTAAATTAAAACATCGAAAAGAAGTGCAAACATTAACCTCTATGTTGCGAGCGAAACCATCGCCGTCGGTTCGTCCGTTTATTTGTGGTTTATGCGCATGACGAGCGCAACTGGTGGTCAAATATGAAACTATTTAACACTAAATTAATTGTGCCTTTAGGTAGGTATGTTGTGTGCTCTTGTGCGCCATTTGTTTGCAAGCATGTTGCGGTAAGCGAAGTAATATCGATGAGTAAATTATGGTATTCTATTTTATCATCGCCTGGTAAATATTCATAACGGTGTCTATCCCAATTTCAGCTGCACGATTCACTGTTAACTACACCAAGTTTTGCAGTTTTAAAGGTTCTGCAGTTGGATGGGCCTCCCTGCATGGTGATGCTTTCAATAAAATTGTGAGTACTATATTTCTTTACAATTTTCACAAATTACTTATATGATTACCCCACTGCAAAGCCACAAACATTTTCTCTCTATCTATTCCAGTACTCATTTTTACTTGTTTTAGGGGTCTAGTAATTGAACTTGATATCACAGTATAGTGTCACTGTTTGTTTGAATTGTAAATATTGAATTGCTTTATTAATTTTATAAATAACTTTCATAATTATACTATGTGAAAACCAGGAATATTTGTGTGAATTCATTTATTGATGTGCACCTAGCTACCATATTATGCTTATTTTCGAAGTCTCACAGTTGAACATCACATTGTAGCATTTTGGTTCTTGCACCATTTATATCAAAATGCGAGTATTGCGATAATCATTTATTCAACTGGATAACAAGAAAAATACAATTTTTGTACTTTGAACTAATGGGTCTAGCAGTTGAACCTGACATCAAACAATAGAAGTTCTCCATTCAAATTGTGTGTATTGAAATCCTTTATCATTTTCAAAAATAAGATTTTTGTGTTACAAACTACAGGTTTTTGCTTGTTTTAGGTGTCTAGCAGTTGAAGATGACATCATATCATAGTGGTAACTGCATCAAATTGTGAGTATATTCTTTATTATTTTCATAAACATCATTTGCTGTTTATTAATGGGGATACCATAAAAATGGATTTCTCTTTTATTGCGGCAACAAATCTGGGTAGCTACAGGTTGGGTTACAGTTTTCTTGTTACCTTAACACTTGTTGCCTCCACAAACAGATGGCGCTACCATAGCCGTAATATGTTTCTGTCATTAAAATTGATTTGTTTTTATGTTTATTTGTTTATTTAACGCCGCTCGGCAATTATACATAATAATTTACATTAAAAAAAATGGTTGTTTGTAAAGTAGGTTTACGATCGAGATGTTTACGTGATAACGTCTTATTAGTGATGATATAAGTTTTTGTTTGTTTGGGTGGGCACTTCACTTGCATACATTTTGTTGTTTTACTGTTAGGCTCCCGCACGCAAACTTTCGGCCGATAAAACGACAGCGAAAACTTTTAACCGCACGAGAAAATCTCCATTCGGTGAGACTGGAAGATCAACTCCTCCGAACGCTATGACTGGCAGGAATGGCTGGCGCTCCCGAAGGATAGAGACAGGAGATCGGTCCGTATATACTCTCGTTATAACAGAGGGGGCGCGTTCGACCTCATCGTGGGCACGTTTCTAGAACGATGCCCCGTAAACGATTTTGAGACGTTGTCGTCGAAGGTATAAATGTGTTTTAATATATTGAGATCGTGTCTAAACAAAACAGGCCGAAATGTGGAATGCGTCATACCAGCATAACGGCATTTTATTTTAGCATTGACGGTACACTATACAACTCCATCATCGCCGCATATTCATTGATTGTAGACAGGAAATGCGGTGGCGAGCGGGCTTGGCCTTGGTATCAGTACCCAATTTACTCAGGCAGTGTTTGGCGACCAACGAAATCAGTAACTATGTAACAGTAACTGGTCAGCGGTATTGTATTTCATCACGATATATATCGGATAAACCTATTCTTAACTTCATCAGCAACATTCCAGATTCAGTACTTGTATTTATTTACGAGTATACGTGCTAGATTAAAACCGAGCGATTAAATCAGCCTTGGGATGAGTTGTTCAGTTTAATACTTCTTATGTCTAGATGACGTCCTTGTTTCGAATCCAGATCCGACACGGCCATCCGCCTGCGCACACACACGTCCTCTCGTGACATTGTGAAACGAAGTATATCATAAGAATCTTGTTGCAAATTTTGAATTACTCGGTGCATCTCTGACCGCATCTCTGTCATATCTCTCATATGCGGCAATATTACATTTCATAAACGTAAATAAGGTTTGGATCCTGACGCAAATAGCATGTTACCAGACGCTACAATGGTTTTCAGCCTGCACAATCCGCTGCGGCGTTTGCAGCATCAAACGCGTCATGTTCCGCGTTATCTACCATCATTGCCAACGGTCTCGCTACTTTCCCTATTAAAAGCTCTAAGGGGGACGTCTTTGTAGTTTTATTAATTCTTTATAACTCTTCATATTTCAACTGTTCTGCAAGTAGCCAGTTGTCTTGTAGTTCTGCTAGGTTAATAATTTTAAGTTCTTTTCTATTTTCCATTCGCGGTGGGTTTTTATTTTTGCCTAGGTGGTTACGCGATAGAAAACCTACATATGCCATTCGCTTTCCCTCCCTATACTCAATGTTAAATTCAAACGCTTGCAAATAAGCCCACCATCGATTTACTCGTGGTGTTAGATCACATTTCTTTTGTGCAGCTTTTATGGAATTACAATCCGTAAAAATTGTAAATTTGCGTCCGCTTAGGTATTGACGAAAATGTTTTATGGCGTTCACTATTGCGAGTGTCTCTAATTCATACGAATGGTACTTAAATTCTGTCGGTGTTGTTCGCTTGCTATAATACGCGACTACATGTTTCTTCTGTTCCATTCTCTGCATTAAAATTCCTCCATAACCGTCTGCACTAGCGTCCGTATGTAATTCAATCGGAAGGTTCGGGTCGAAAATAATTAAGTTCATGTTCTATTTCCCATGAAAACTGCTGTTCACGCGTTGTAAGTTTGTGGAGAGGTGACATTTTCCTTGAAAAATTTTCTATGAACCGACGAAAGTAAAAGGCGGTGCAAGATTAATTAGCGCTTCAATTTTTCTCTGATTGGGTCGAATTGTGCCGTTTTCTATTTCATACCCAAGAAATTGTACTTTTGTTTTGAGGAATGAGCATTTCTTTAAATTAAATGAAAATCCTGCTTTCGATGAAACATCTAAAACAATTCTCAACCTTTCTATTCCCTCGTCGACCGTTTGTGATACAATCATCACATCGTCGACATGAACGATGACATAACTAAATGCTAATACTGCCAAAGCTTTTATTATTGCTCTCTAAAAGACAGAGACTACGTTTCGCAGACCAAATGGCATAGAAAGATATTCATATGAACCGTCGGGGGTAACAAAGGCTGTTTTCTCGATAGAATTTTCATGCACCGGAATCAAATGAAATCCGCTCGCACAATTCAATGCGGTAAAGTATTTTATATTCGTCATTCGGTCAATTTGGTCAGAGATTAATGGCAATGGATATCTATCCGGAACTGTATTGTCGTTTAGTTCTCGGTAATCAATGCACATTCTATCAGTGCCGTCACTTTTTTTACGAGAAGTGCAGGACTAGCAAATGGGGAATAACTTGGTCTAATTATCTTGGCGTCCAAAAGTTGTTTGACTTTCCCACGCATTGATTCTCTTTCTTCGAATGAGAGACTATAAGGGCGTCTTTGTACTGTTTTTGTTGAGTCTATAAGTCTGATCTCAAGTGTGTCCGTGTTTACGCGCGTTACTGGCATTTTGGTCACAAAGTATTCAGAGAAACTACTTATCACGCTTTCGAGTTTTGCTTTTTGACAAGCTGAAATATGGGTGTCTAAATTCTCTAACTTAAAAAGTTGTGTTGTCTGGAACACCCGAGTGAATATTTTTTAAATGCTCTTTTTTAAGTTGAAATGAATTTTTAGTTATTAGTGCGGTAAAATCTTGATTCAAAACCTCACGACCCAGCAATACGTCATGAATCAAATACAAATCAGGCAAGACATGAAACAAGATCTCAGCATAGTGACTTTGAATTTCAACTTGACATAATATTTGCTCAAACGAATTTACTTTACTCGTACCAATTCCCATCATCGTCACAGAATTATAAAATTTCTTCCCGCAGAAATTTCGTGCAATACTCTCTTTTACTAATTCTCTCCAGAATCCAAATGAAAGGGTTACGACTCACCGTTATGCTTAAAAGTACCTCCAGGTAAATCAACTGCATAGACGTTGGCGGTCTATACGGAGCCCTCATTCTTCCTGCAGCGGTTGGCGAAGTGTCCGGTCTCGCCGCATTTGAAGCATCTCCCGCTGTTTGACGCTCCCGATGTGGATGGCTGAGGGGTGAATTTCTGGTCTTGTCTCCGTTTCGCGAGGCAGTCAGCCTGTCGATATCCAAATTTGTTGCAGTTGAAAAACTTCGTCAGTTTATGTTGGACTGGTGAAGTTCTTTGCATCTTCTCCGGGCGTTGCGAAGCATTGTCTACTGCGGCTGGTCGTTTAAAAGAGAGTGCTTGTAACTCCTTTTGTAATTGCTGTCTCGTCTGAATTTCGTTGGTGAATGACATACGCTGACTCGATTATCGAATTGAGCAATGTGCGTTAATATGGTCGCGATGGCGATTAGGTCAATGGACGCATCTTTCCAGTGCCTCGTGACCTTCCATTCTATAGATTTATCAGGGACGCAGTCATCGTCTCAGACTGAATAAATCGTGCGGCAAACTGTGATTTAAAATCTTCCAAGATATATCCGGGTAGGAGATCTGCGACAACCACGATGATGCAGCACCCTTCAGTGCGTCATAATTAGTGTGGCACCCGTCAGATTCTTGTCACCAATGCATAACTCTGGGGTTTTATCAACGCTTCAATAAGATTGCGCATATTGTTATTTTGCACTTGTAATAACTGACTCCACTTTTCTTTATCATTGTCACTTTCTCTATCGCACTTTTAACTAGATCGCAGATTAGATCCAGATCCCACTTCTGATGTCGGATAAACCTCCGTCTCAACTTCATCAACAACACTCCAATTCAAATTACGCGCCATTTATTACAAAGTATGTCTTAGATTAAACAAAACGAATTGAATCGGCGTAACGGGATGAGTCCTGGGTGCATGCTCAACGGTGCTCTCGGAGTGAATGTCATCACACATGATTCTCCTTTCCACGAAGTATATATGAAGTATATATTAGTCGGCCGACTCGACCAATGCTTCAGTTCGCTCCGAGTTTTGGCGCTAGTTTTTGAAGCTACTTATGGTCATCCGATAAAATGCAAAAAAATTTTCGGGTAATCTAGTACTTTTGAATGCATCGTGCAAAATTTTCCATTTAATAATCTATCACTGTGGTTGGGATGCACCCAATACTCTCGGACTCTCTTCTTGATTTTTCTCCTCCGTTGCATCAGAGCAATTATAATATTTCTGGACAATATTGTACTACTAGTAACTTTCATTATGCGACCGCTCTCTTCAACGGTAGCTTACAAAGTAAAAATAGTCGGCCGACTGTTGTCTAGTGAGCGCACTCACCACAAACCCAACTGTTTAGTTGGCGTAGTGTGCGCGCTAATAGCCCAACCCGATTAAACTATCTACCGATAAAAAGTTTGTGGTCTGCGGGGGCTCTAATACAATTCATGAACACAAAGATTAGGCCATTTCCTGGCCGAAACTAGCCAAAACCGAAACCGAAATTTGGGTCGGTCTCTAGTATGTGGTAGTTGTCTAGCTTTAACTCGAGAAGGGGGCATCTCTAGAAATGTCAAATTAAATTCTCCATGGGGTGGCGTTAGTTTGTTGCTGAAGTTGTGTCTGCAACATGGGTAAATTCGAAAATTTGGTGGTGCATTTTTTACTTGAATGGTGAAATTGTTGGGATTTTTTTGGTATAGATCTTCCACATTTTCTTTTTCTTTGAATCTTTATGTTATCTAAGTAGAATAACTATTTATAACGCTCTCGAAGACGTCTTATGGTGCGTTAAGGAACGCAATTCTAATTGCAACGTATTCGAATAGTCCGTCGAGAAATTTTTTATAATATAGTTTCATAATTTTTGATATGATTATAATTTGTATGATTAGCACACGGGAAACCTACAAAAAGATAATTTTTGTGCTTCGATATACTGATTTTTGGTAGTTTTAGGTGCCTAACGGGCGAACGAAATGTCCTAGGACAACGATTCTTTCATCAGATTGTAAGTATTGAATTTGTATATCATTTACATTTATAATTTGTATGATTAGCACACGGGAAACCTGCAAATAGATAATTTTTGTGCTTCGATATACTGATTTTTGATAGTTTTAGGTGTCTAACAGGCGAACGAAATGTCCTAGGACAACGATTCTTTCATCAGATTGTAAGTATTGAATTTGTATATAATTTATATTTATAATTTTTATAATTAGCACACGGAAAACCTGTAAAAAGATCATTTTTGTACTTCGATATACTGATTTTTGGTAGTTTTAGGTGTCTAACGGGCGAACGAAATATCCTAGGATAACGATTCTTTCATCAGATTATAAGTATTGAATTTGTATATCATTTACATTTATAATTTGTATGATTAGCACACGAGAAACCTGCAAAAAGATAATTTTTGTGCTTCGATATACTGAGTTTTGCTAGTTTTAGATGTCTTACGGGCCAACGAAATGTCCTAGGACAACGATTTTTTATCAGATTGTAAGTATTGAATTTGTTTATAATTTTCGTAAATAATTTTCGTTAATGGAAAGTGAATTAATTGTAAAATATTAGCAGACGTATTGCAGATTTCTAGTTAATTTCAAAGTTTCAAAATTTTATTACTTTCATTGTTGAATACATAATCCGTTGTATAGTATACTCGTAAAATTTTTTGTTTATTTAAAGTTATACGTGATTTCTTCTGGATTTACATTTTTATATATTGAGTTGACATGTTTCGACCTGAGGGCATCTTCATAAACTGTTTATAAACTTTATAAACTGTTTAAATCCAGAAGAAATCACATATAACTTAATAAATAAATATTTTTAAAGTTTAAAACTTGATGACGCCCGCTATCTTTAATTTTTTGCTCCGTCACACCCAGATCGCGCTAGTGTCTGCTATCTATTTTGTTTTGTTCCGCTACGGTCAGATGACGCTTCCATCGATTTGATTTAAATTCATACTTAATTTTTGTGGTTGTTTTTTGTGCGCTGAGTTGCGGTGCGTACGTCACTTTTATACACAACTTTTATGTTTAACAATAACTTGCAACATGATTGTAACTGCATTTTATGCATATACATGCATATAGAAAATTGCCTCTCCAACTGCGGGTCGGTTAGCATCTGTCTTGCTTCGTTCGGCTTAGTCGGTTGAGCGCTGTTGTGAGTGCGCACGTGTTTTGTTCATTAATCAATCGTGGTGACACTTTCTCGCGATTCTTGATATTTTGTAGCATTACCTAAATCGATTGAAGGGGCATTTAGAAGTAACAGCCCACTGCAGCGGATAACGAATAATTTGAGCGATTCTATGCGGGGCGCGCGTGGTGTCCGTCGGATATGTTCCGGTGACTATCGATACTTACTGGAGTTAAATGAAGTTAAATTTATGTGTTTGACGTGAATACATTTAGAATATCTGCATGGAATAGTAAAGAAGTGTGTATCATCAATTCTACATACAATTTGCGGAAACCTAGTATTAAGTCAAGTCGAACTCTAAGAATACACCATAGTATAACATAGTATAGTACAGTGCGTGGAGTGTGCAACATAGCTAAGGCTTGTGTTATTGTTTTTAAAAAGTTGATTAAAGTAGAAACATAAATAAAAGAATAAAATATTATTGATAAAAACACTCCGTGGTCGAGTGGGTACGTGCACCTGCTAGCATGCTTGTAGACACGGATTGAATCTCAAATATAGAAAGCATTTTTCTCCATTATAAAAATAACAGTTGTAATTTGGGTTGCATACGTAAACTCAAATGAAATATAAGCGAAATTGCAATACAAGTGAAGGCAATATGAAAAGTAAGAAAGTAGTTAGTAAGTGTGAAAACGGAGAACAGAGAAATAGCAGAAGTAGAAGAAGGAACAGAGAAGAGTAGAAGACAAAAGGAAGAGAACAGAGTAGAGAAAAGGAGGAGGAGATGGAAGAAAGAGAACAGGAAGTGGATCCATTTTTAAATTTTTTGGCGGCGTGTCGTTATAAGACAGTCCCAGTCCACTGCTTCGATGCATCCATTGCCCCCGGCCCATCCTACAGCTACGAAGTCTCTACGCTTCATCCTCAGGATTCTCAGCCATATCAACAATTTTTATGGTGGGGGATCATCCCCCGAGTGGGAGAACTACTTATAAGGACATTCCTTATGAGGACTTGTAAGAATATTTCTAAGTTTTAAGTCGTCTCAAGAGATACTTTAAAATATTTTTACAAGTTCTGACGTGTACCTGAAATGAGAGAGGGAGTACACAAGTCATACAGGATACCTCAACAATTTTTATCGTGGGGATCATCCTCAGAGAGGGAACTCTCTTAGAGACCTGTTCCTGAAATGATAGAAGGAGTACACACAAATCATAGGAGCAGTCACTTTTAACATTTCTTTATTGAAACATATATACAATGAAAACTTCTAAAATATAGTACTAAACAATATATGCGCCGCCATTTTGAATCTAATTATAAGAGCAGTATAGCCCCGTACAACCAGACAAGTACGAAGTATAAAAAATAACAAAGAAAAACATATAATAAAACAAAATTTAAATTTAAATTTTTGCGGCAATTACGGCAAACTATTATACACCGTTTTTGAAAAACAGTATAATAACATTTAAAGAGAAAATGCAAAATTCAAGTAGGGAAATATATATCAAAAACCAAAGTCAAAGTAAAATCAAAGGAAATTAATATACAGGGTGATGTAAAAAGAAAACGACAAAGTTTTAAAGAAAAATCCTAAGTTTAAGTGGGATGACATATATCTTTCCCCATTTGACAAATTCACCACGGGAAATTAGTGTACAGGGTGTTACAAAAAACTACAACGGGAAATTATAATACAGGGTGATACCAAAATAAAACTAAAATATTTTAAAAGAAAATCCTAAGCTTAAGCAGGATAACATATATCTTTCCTCTTTTGACAAATCCATTACGGGAGACCGTAATACAGGGTGATACAAATGAAAACTACAATATTTTAAAGGAAAATCCAAAGTTTAAATGGAATAACAAACATTTTTCCCATTTTGGCACCACGGAAAGTTAATATACAGGGTGTTGCAAAAACCTAAGTTTTAATAGTAAAACGCCCAGACACTAATAAATATGGTCTATTAAATGATAAGGAAAATATATCTACTGGATGATACACAAAGAAAAATTAAGATTTATGTAGGAACACGGATGGAAACAATTAACAAGACGACAATAACAAGATAATATAAGAAGAAAGCTATCAGGAATTTTAAAAAATCAAAATGTTTAGACCGGAAATCAAAGAAAAGTGTAAAGTAAGAAAACATTCAAATAGAACATTTCAAAAATGGTATTTTCTTTGGATATGAAGGAAAAGTGATGAGGTGGATATTACAAAAATAAAGCACAAAGCAGAATTTTATTTTAAATGTAAAACAACCAGCGACCAGCCCGGAAAGCCGGCAGGGGATCAAGAACGCAACCGACGGCATGCGACTATCTCCATCTTTTTAATTTGTACATTAAACAAAAACAAAACAAGGTATCAAATACGTAATGCAAATCAACGGTATTGAAACAGAGACAAAAATTATTTGTAGACTTAAAGACCACGTAGTAAGGTAAAAACAAATAAAGGCAATAATAGATTTGATTTTCAAATGGCTTAAGAAATGCGAGAACATACCTTGATGCAAAATTAATTTTTGCGGTTTTGGCCTATCCAATAAATTGTAAGGACTTTAATTATTCACATTGTAGAAATGATGAAATACGCGTATCATACAAAAAGAGTATCCGGCGTCCGACGGAACATCACTCACGTTTTACCTCTGCGTATAATCAATTCGCATTTAACGAACGCCGCACATCACTTGCGCACAATGGAAGGAGCATTTAGAAATATTACGCAATGACGCGAAGAAATGATGGAACTCAAAATATTGTAAAGCAAATGTGCGTCGACATCACCCGACGACAAAAATTAGACTAACGTGGTACGCATGCCAACCGTGGCGACCGCACAAAACTGCAGGAGATAAAGAAACTTGTTTGTTTGTAAACACTGATACTTTCAGTGTGGTAGTGCAGAACATGAGAAGAATTGTACTCGTACTATGCATGAAACTATAAATTTTTATTCAATTCTTAATCGAATTCTGATAGATAATTTAATTCTACATCGTTTATTTTATTAACTAACATTATCCGTTCAGACCCTATTTACAATTTTAGAGAAAAATGCATTCGCTTTTCGTAGACTTTTTGTTCGTGACATAATGGCCAAAAAATTCGACCCTGTTCTTCGAAAAAGATTTTAACTCAATAGTTCGACCCTGTTCATTGAACAAAAAAAATTTTAAGTAAAAAAGTTCGATCCTGTTTTTCGACCGCAAAAATTTTAACAAAATACCTGATTCGAACGAAAACATTTTAAGTAAAAAAGTTGGATCCTGCATTCCGACCTAAAAAAATTTAAGTAAAAATGTTCGACCGTTTTTCGATCGAAAAATTTTTAACAAAAAAAATCGACTAAAATTGTTTTAAGAAAAAGATTTGACCGAACAAATTTTTACGAAAAAATTTTAACAAAAACATTCAACCGAAAAAATTTTATAATAAAAAGTTCGACCCTATTCTTCGACCGAAAAAATGTATGAAGAAAAGTTCGACCCTGTTTTTCGACAGAAAAAAAAATTATTTAAAAAATGGTTGTTTGTAAAGTAGGTTTACGATCGAGTTGTTTACGTGATAACGTCTTATTGGTGATATAAGTTTTGTTTGTTGCAATTGTTGTAACACTTCACTTGCACTTCACATTTTGTTTTACTGTTAAACATTCAACGAAAACTAAGGCTCCCCGCACACTACAAACTTTTTATCGGCCGATAGTTTGGTCGGGCTTATAATCAGTATGAAGATGTATGCAAGTCCGCATACTACAACGATTTTGTATCGGCCGATAAACAAGTTTGATGGGCTACCCAACTGCGTTCAAACTAAACTATCGGCCAACCAGGCCAACTATCGGCCGACTGCGATATCAGTATGGAGCTCGTCGCAAGCGCGCACACCTACCGATTGTTTAGTCGGCCGACTTGATCAATTTAGTTCGCTCAGAGTATTGGTGCAGTCGGCCGACTGTTGTCTAGTGTGCGCACTCACCACAAACCCAACTGTTTAGTTGGCGTAGTGTGCGCGCTCACAGCCCAACCCGATCAAAAAATCGGCCGATAAAAAGTTTGTAGTGTGCGGGGAGCCTAAGGTTATAACGAGAGGGGGGTATACCTGCGATCGGCCTCGTGAGGCCTCGCGACAGTTTCTGAACCGGTCACCCGTAAAACGATTTTAAAGACGTTATCACGTCAAAAGTTCGACCCTGTTCTTTGACCGAAAAAATGTTATGGAAAAAAGTTCGACCCTGTTCTTTGGCCGAAAAATACTTATTACAAAAAGTTCGACCCTGTTATTTGACCAAAAAATGAAATTTATTGGACAAAAATAGCGATGTTCGAATGGGATTTTAGGACACTTCCAAAGGGTTTATAGGGTTAAAAAGGTATGTAAAAGGTATAGTGTAAAGGGTCTCTCGAACTTTAACAAGACGTAATGAAATTTGAAGAAAAGCAATTAGTTCACGTGATACAAGGTGTTTTCCACACCAAATTTTTAAATTTTCCTAAAATTGCTCATTTTTGAGAAACATTTTAGGGCACATCCGAAAGGGTTGAAAGGTATAAAGAGTATGCATCGTGTAGACAAACTGACTCTCTTTTGGCGTGGAGAAACTAAAAGATAGTCAATTTTTTACGAGATACAGGGTGTTTCCCACACTATGTTTTCAATTTTTTTCTAAAATTGCTCATTTTTGAAGGGCATTTTAGGGCACTTCCAAAAGAACTGGAAGGTTGAAAAGGTATGCATCGTATAGACAAACATCCCTGACTATATTCTGAGTGGAGAAACTCCAGGAAAGTCAATTAGTTTCGGAGATACTCTGTTTTCCACACCATATTTTCAAATTTTCCTAAAATTGTTCATTTTTTGAAGGGCATTTTGGGGCACTTCCAAAAAGGCTGGTAGGTAGGAAGGGTATGCATCTTGAAGAGCAGGGGTTACTAACCTGGGGGTAATTACCCCCGCAGGGATAAAAGGGAGATTCTAGGGGGGTAACACGGGATGGCACGAAATAGTATTAAAATAGCAAGAAACAAAATAATAGTACGGTAAATGGTAGCACGGCGCTATTTATATATTATATAAATTTATATATTACTTTACTAGTTACGTAATCGTGCAATTTCTTATATACCTAATAAGCATATTTTCGTTCGAATTTATGTGGTGTTAACTATTTTAAATTAGCTAGGGGTAAACTCAATTCCTATACTTGTTCACAGGGGTAGTGACCTTGAAAAGGTTAGGAACCACTGTTGTAGAGGAACAAATGACACGCGAGTGAAGAACGCGGATCAGCCACCGTATCAGCTGACAATCGGCCCGAAACTGCTAGCAGTCCGCTAAACTATCCTCTCTCCCGTTCCCCACCGCCAGTATGGTGAAGGTCGTGAAGGTATAGACCGGATAATACGTAGTACCGTAATCTAGTCTTCAATGCAATAAAAAATATAAATAAATATACTTGTAGTATTCACGACGAATACTACTCTATAGACAATACATAATGTTAAATATACGGTAAAATTTTTGAAGTAATTATATTAAGTTATGGAAATAAATTAAGTAAAACTAATCAGAGTAATACCAGGTATAAATAGGTTTATTTTACGTTTCCGGAATTTTATTTTAAATGACATACATGGTCAACGTTTAGAAACTCAGATCGTACATTATTTAAACCTGTTAAAATACTTACTAGACGAGTAGAGTCGATTCTAATATACTTTATAATCATTTCACGCACAAATTATTAGCGGGATAACACTAAACTCGTCTATTGTCATTAGGTGTCGATAAAATGTAGTGCAATTAATTTAATCGAAATGAATGAAATAAAGGTGACGCGCCACATGCTGATACGAGCAAACTGAAATGTTAGAACATTAGTAGCACGAGCGAGCATTGCAGTAGTTTAACGCGATAAAAAAAAGTTGTTTATACAAAACCCCGACAACTGGGCAGAGTGGCAATCGAAACATTTCTAATGTGCGTCTAAATAAAATGTAATATTCACTTCAGATTCTGAATGTTCAGGAAATTCTCGAATAGATAAGTAAATTTAGCTTAGCTAAACTAAACGCGATAAACTAACAGCAATATTGATTAACGGATAGAATATTCTTCATCTACGGGGCATTCTAGTAAAGATAAGGAGCGTCAGCTATGCTTTCATCCACGTACGGTGCCCTGAATACGAGTGAGGTATCTCTTAAAATACAAGTGATATAAATGAACGGATTGAAAATTCATAATTTACAAGCAATTCTCTATAAGATAAAGTATGAAAATCGGAAACATATGAGACGAAAAAATATAAGTTGAATATTTTGAATTTCACTTAACTAACAACTGTTATAAACATGCAGTATGCTGATTCGTGTCACCCATTGATTTCATTAACCCGTAATGCAATACCCTAATAAAACTTATTGTAAGGGAAACTATTAATTTGTATGCACAATGCATAATTTATACCGATAACAAGATATAAACTTTCTGCTCTATGAAGACCACCTTAACGTACACAAAATATGAGGTCAGTAAAACTTTGATTATACTATAATGGTTTGGCATTATCATAGATAAAATAGATAAAATATTGAGCACATTATCACACCGGAGTACTCACTTAGATAATTTTAGTACGATAAAAGCATGCGCTAAAGTTTCTAGCTGACTTATTTCTCCATAATAATATATCGAGAATACAACAAAATGGTACGTAATATTAATACAAATAAGACAGTTTTTACAATTTCTACTCTAGTAATATAATAAATAACTGATAATCATTATTGGCAAATGTAATCGTATAAATTTACATAATAGTCAAATTTACACCTGACCTTGCAAATAGCTTGCTACATAAACCTTTAAAAATATATTTTTTCAATCATATGGTGATATTACGACATCGGCACTACGGCACTGTGAATAACGTAAAAATAGGACATTTAGAACATATGTGAGGAATTTAATTAAATTTAATAGAAACACAAGCAAATATATAACAACATCTATATCTACATGTGCAAATAATCAAAATCAACAACTTTCATATTGCGATTCCTTAGGTTTGGAGTATTTCAAAAAATAAGCTCGCCATTGATTTTGTACTTGTTTATGAGCAAGGAGAATGTACGAAACGTGATCAATTTAAAAAAAGTTTGGAAGAAGTTGGGCTCATTTTGGAAGAAGAACCGGCCGTACAAAATATTAAATTTTTGAAAATTCATGTACCTGACGATGTACTACAACAATACGCCGAGATTCTCAAATTGCGAATGCCTTTAATATTAGTAAGTATCTAATGTGGCTTATAGCTAATATTGACTAACATTGAATGTAATATCATTGATGATTAAGAAATCTTCACCTACGAGTAACAAGAGTATTATTACTTTTTTAAAGCATTGTATTTTAAATCGCAGGAATCTGGATACATAAATAAACCAAACATTTTCCGAAGAGCCCTAAACAATTTTCTTTATACTTGCAACTTCACTTTAGACGAAGAGAAATTCCCTCCACGAAAGTATCATTTGACTTCGGAATACGTAACTCATCAGGATTTCTTGTACGACAAAACCAGTCCTGATTATTTCAACAGTGCTACAAGAATCACTGTGGCGTCATATATTTTGGAAAGAGAAAAATTTGGAAATGCTGATCATGATTTTGGAATTAAAAGACTCTTATCCGAAGGAGTATATAAGGCTGCATACCCTTTGCATGATGTATAAATACTATTTTTAAAAAATCATATTAATTCTAATTTTTGATTTAATATCTTAGGGAAGTCTCCGTAATAACTTGGATCCGAACTCTTTACGAAAGAAGCTTTTTGACGAGTGGGCATCATTCCCCAAATTAGCAAAATTTCAACCCATTGATGAAATTAAAGACTATTTTGGCGTGAAAATTGCGTTATACTACGAGTGGTTGGGTTTTTACACGCATATGTTAATTCCTGCAGCAATTGTTGGATTCTTATGTGTTTTATACGGACTACTGACAATGAATAGCGATCAGCTAAGCGAAGATATCTGCACACAAGACGTTATCATGTGTCCGCTCTGTGACAAATTATGCCCTTTTTGGGAATTAAAGGATACGTGCGTCTATTCAAAAATTTCCTACATTGTGGACAATCCGGTGACCATATTTTTCGCGGTATTCATGTCCATCTGGTCGGCCCTGTACCTCGAGCTTTGGAAAAGGTATAGCGCCGGTATTGCTCACCGATGGGGCCTCACCGGGTTCAGTCTGCAATGCGAACCTCCACGGCCAGAGTACCTCAACAAACTTGCCTACGCAAAGAAAGAAAAGTTGAATGTAATCACAGCGCTATCCGAGCCGGTAGTGCCATTTTGGAAAAAGAAACTACCTGCAGTTGTGTTGAGTTCAGCAATAGTTATTGTTTTTGTATGTGTCAATTTTTACACTATTATCAATTCTACAAAGTTCTTTATTCCAGATGTTGGCATCAATTAGTGTGGTTTTTGGAATTGTTATCTATCGAATGTCTTTAGCGTCATCAGAGAGCTTATACGGTGATGAGACAAGCTTCAGAATATACGTAGTGCCTGTTACCGCTGGCATAATCAATTTGGTATGCATAGTTATTCTGAACACTGTTTACTTTAAACTGGCATACTATCTGACCGATTTAGAGCTGCCACGTTCACAAACTGAATTTGAGGAGAGTCTAACATTGAAAATTTACATGTTCCAATTTATTAATTTCTACACGTCCATCTTTTATATCGCGTTTATTAAGGGAAAATTTGTTGGATATCCGGCAAAATACAACACAGTTTTAGGAATACGACAAGAAGAGGTTTGTTGGTACGACGAGTATTGATTATTTAGAATATGAGAATTTTATTTGCAGTGCCAACCGGGCGGTTGTTTAATTGAATTAACTATTCAATTGGCCATTATTATGATTGGTAAGCAAACTTTAAATAACTTCACAGAGTTTGGTATACCTCTCATAAAAAAGATGCTCAACAAGATGAGGTTCAAAGCAGAAGAGCCAGAGGAGGTTGATGGTACCCATAATCAATGGACTGACGATTATAAGTTACTAGATTTAGAACCACAAGGCTTGCTTAGTGAATATCTAGAAATGGGTAAGATAATAATCAAATATCAAATTGTCTAGAGATAACAATCAATTCATATTGTGTTTTTAGTTGTGCAATATGGTTTTGTCACAATATTCGTCACAGCTTTTCCACTCGCGCCACTATTTGCCCTAATAAACAATGTATTTGAAATGCGCCTGGATGCCAAAAAAATGATCAAATTTTTCAGACGGCCGGTACCAAAACGCGTCAAGAACATTGGCATTTGGTACAATATTATGAACCTGCTTTGTCGTATTTCGATTGTGTCCAATGGATTTATCATAGCGTTTTCATCTCAATTTATTCCCAAATTAGTATACAATATGACCGTCAACAAAGGCGTCAACGACGTGGGCTTTTTAAACTACACCTTAGCATCATTTGATGTGAATGATTTCATTGACGGAAATGAACCGGAAAAGAATCCATGGAATGTCACCGTGTGCTATTTTTCGGATTATAGAAATTCACACGATGTTGAATCAAAATACAAGCGTCCTCTTGATTATTGGCACATTATGACGGCTAGACTTGCATTCTTGGTCGTGTATCAAAACTTTGTTGGAATACTTTTTACAGCTATTCAATACGCAATCCCAGATATGCCTAAGAAACTGAAAGAGAGAATTCAGCGAGAAGCATATCAAATTAATGAAAGTATCATAAAGAGGGACCAAGGTAAATGTTATATTTTTATAACTAACTATAAACGATATTATTAATATTCATTATTTATGTATATTTATTCAGCTACTCATAAACACAAGAGGATATCAGAAACCAAAGTAATTAATTTGAAATATTATCATTATATCTTACTAATTTATAAATTTTACAGGAATCACTTGATAGTACAAACAAGGTGGAATACCTTAACGAAGTCGATGATATCGCATTACCAAATAAGGATCAAAATGCCGATAAGCTTCATCGACGCACACGACCTCAGAGTGATAATTTCACTGAACATCTTTAATTACATATCCTGTTTAATTTTTTGTAGTTTTCTACTTGTTATGGCTGATATGTTTTGTAGAACTAACCAATTAATAAAAGATATATTAAAACTTCTGTATTTTTTTACAGGTTTTTGTTTCTAAAACTAAAGTAATTTGCCTGAATTTCCATGAAATAGAACAAAATATAAAGGTAGTAAGTTTTTCTACTTAATAAAAAAGTAACTTATTTTAAACTTTCAAGGAGTTTGAAGAACAGTGAACTATAATATGTGGCTACTAATATATCAAACTTTTTATTATACGAAAATTTCTTTCATTTCCCAAAGTGAAAATATTTGATGATGCCTAATTATACTTGAACCGTCATAATTAATCATAAGGCTTTTGCTGTTTTTGTGGTTAGCGCCTATAATTTTCATACCACGTATTTTAATTTGGGTTGACACACGATTAAAGTATGTCCAGTAAAACGCGCGATGAGTCAGTCAAGTTAATTTTTGACAAAGTAAAGCTTTTGCATGTTAAACCCGGTGCTCATGGCCCGTTGATGAAAATACAAATCTTCTTAGTGACAATTTCTCGAATTATTCAAATATCCGTTGCTATAAAACTTATTGCAAACAACACTCATGATATTCTTGTTATGGCAAAAGGTGCAAAAACGATTGCAGTTATGATGCAGGTACTAAATGTTATAATAATTATGAATCTTTCTTTTAACGATTGTTTCAGGGGCTTAAAATTCTTCCATTATTACAAGAAGATGACTTTAGTGCTCTGCTCAAGAGTATGAAATATTTTTGGTACTCAGAAGAAGTTGAAAGAATGTACAAACAGGCCAAAATGTTTACTATAACTTTCTTGAATACTGTGTACGCTGCCTACGTAATAGTTATTATCTTACCCATTTGCATGGGTTCCTATCCATTTGATGGAGATTTTCCAAACTTTCCTTACTCGTTTTGGTTTTTTTCTCTTATGCAGAGCCTTCAACTTTTGTATGATGTGATAGCAGTGCTAGCTGCTGATTGCTTATTTTTATGTATGGCGTGTTTCGTATATTCACAATTTAAAATGTTAAACGATAGACTGGAAAAACTTGGAACTGTCAAAGAGATTATGTATGAAGAGGCACGCATTTGCATCCAGTATCATGCATTCTTATTGGAGTTGGTTTCAAGTAAACTCAAAGTTAAAACATACTTATATAGTATTTTTACAGATTCGTTAAAAGATTTGCAAGAATGTTTGTTTCGGCATTATTATCACAATATTGCATCACAATTATAAGCGTCTGCATTGAAATTTTCGTCTTTACTAAACAGTAATTAGCAGCATTACCTTTACTCTACCTTTTACTACACATTTTTTTTACAGAAATCCTGTTAATATGTTGGTTAGTGGATTTTATTTAATGGCATTATTATTTCAATTGTCATTATATTGTTTCCCGGCAGACTTAGTAATAGAAGAGGTAAGTTCAAAACTAATTTTAACTTTTAGACTATTTTTTCTCTTTTAAGGCATTAAATGTGAGTGATGCTATAATAAAATCGAACTGGTACAATCATCCAAAGTTTGCCAAAGTTTTCGTCCAGAATATTCTTCAACGAAGTCAGAAAAAAGTTGTATTTTCAGCTGGTGGATTAGTACAAATTAACCGAGTGGCTTTTACTACGGTACATCCGCTTTAAATTATATAATTTGTTGGTTATATAAAATCTAATTTCCATTGTAGATATTTAGATGGTCGTTATCGCTATATGCACTAATGCGAGATATGGAAAAGATTATAACATAGAAATAGAATTTAAAAAACCCAATTTATTTGATAAGAAAAAACTTGCGTGTTCATGCCATAATGCTCTGGATTTGTAATTTTTATTAAATGAGTCACTAAGGTTTAGTGGGTAATCGTAAAACGTGCACCTGAGATTTATTAATTAAAATATAAGTAGGTACTTTTAAAGTCACAGGCTACTTAATCAAATTCAATCAAATATCGACAAATAAACTTTGTAATACAATTTCTTAATTCAAATTTGTGTATTTGCATAATGAACAGTAGTCAATGGCTAGTTAAACCCCTCAAAACTTCATTAACTTTGTATCAATACTTAATGAAATAAAAGCAAGCACAAACTGGATAGCAACCGAAAATACTATGACGTCGATTTAATTCTGTGCGCTTCATTCCTTCTGACTAACTTATCTAATTACAGACGAACGATAATAATTGGGTAATTATTAAGAAAATTAATTATCAAGAATAAAGTTTAAAGTATTACGTGGTGTTTTTTTTTTACTTCTGAACATTTTAAAGCATTGTCCATAGAGTTCCTCAGCAATCAGGAAAATGTCAACCAAGACGCGTGACGAAGCGCTTAGTTTAATTTTAAACAAAGTCAAACTTTTGAAGCTGCAGCCAGGCGCCCATGGACCGTTAACAAAAATTTTAATTGCAATATTCACGATTTCTCGTATGATTCAACTGTATTATGCAATAAAACTTATCTCTTACAACACCAGTGACCTTCTCCTTATGGCAAATGGTGCAAAAACTGTTGCAATCATGTGTCAGGTAAAACCTAAGATATAATTCTCTAATTGTAAATTTTATATACTCAAAACAAATAAATTCGTGTTATTTTAGGGAGTTAAAATAATAGTACTAATGCGTGAAAACGATTTCAATTCTCTGCTTGAAAGTATGGATCACTTTTGGTACTCGGAGGAAGTAGAAAAAATGTATAAAATAGCCAAACTGTTTACAATGGCTTTCATTAATTTTGTGTACGTTGCTTTTATTTTTGTTATTGCTTTACCAATCGTGCTGGGTTACTATCCGTTTATTGCAGACTTTCCGAAATTCCCGGGTTCCTTCATAATCTTTGCTCTAGCACAGGGCTTTCAACTCTTATTCGATGTGATTGTGGTTCTGGCTGTAGACAGTCTGTTCCTGTGTGTAGCTTTCTTTGTTTATCCACAATTTAAAATGTTGAACAACAGACTCGAAAAACTTGCGACAAACGAAGAAATTATGTATGAAGAAGCGCGTATCTGCATTCGCCACCATAAATTCTTACTGAAGTATGTTTTTTTGCTAAATCACTTCTTTCGAATTATTTATTACTGTAATTGAAATTATAGGTTCGTTAAAAAGTTTGCCAACATGTTTATTTCGGCTTTATTAGGACAATACTGTATTACTATAATAAGCGTGTGCATTGAAATTTTCTTCTTTACAAAGCAGTAAGGTTTAAAGTTTCAAAATATGATCTTATCTAAAATCTGGCTAAATTTGCAGAAGCGCCTTTAATATGCTGGTTAGCTCATTTTATTTAATAGCATTATTATTTCAATTGTCGCTGTATTGCTTTCCAGCAGATTTAGTAACTCAAGAAGTAAGTCAATAATATTAATGCCCAAGACTGTTTCTCTGAGTTTTATTTTGTTCAAGGCTTTAAATACTGGCGGTGCAATAATCAACTCCAATTGGTACAATCATCCAAAGTTTGCTAAGATTTTTGTTCAAAACATTGTTCAACGAGCACAGAAAAAAGTTATATTTTCTGCTGGTGGATTAGTAGAAATTAATCGTGTTGCATTTACTATGGTACATTCGATAAAATTACTTATTTGAAATTATTATATTATGTTACATCATTTGTATTTTCCAGATATTCAAGTGGACCTTATCTTGTTATACATTAATGCGTGATATTGAAAAAATGATGACTTAGTTTAAGTATTATATCTATATTGGTAGATATAGATCACCACCTATACAATTCTACATAATGTGTACGATATTTAAACAATACTAAAATGTATTGACTTGTCCAATACAATTTTTTACGATTAAATAAATATACTTTTGCAACATGTATAACTTTTGTATTTGAACAGTCAATTCGTATATTAAAAATCGCCAATTATATATATTAATTGCATAATTGTGAGTTTTTAGTTTTAAAATGCGGGCAATTGCAATTATCGCCAAAAAATGAATGATAATTGTAAATATTTCATGAAACAATTTTCTACAAAACTCCTACTATAATTGAATGCAATACTTCTGCTGAAACTAATTTAATTACAGTCTAACTATACAGTCCTTTATAAATTGACACAACTAAATTACATGCTCCAACATTATGTTCAGTCCAGCCAGTATCTGAAAACACCGTATTTTTGGTACGAAGGATGTACATGTTTGACCTTCACATTCATAAAATTTAAATTACATGCACTTGTTGACCCATGCGTCTTTTTTCTGTAATTGTATAATTAAGTACTACTCGAGTACTAACAATTATCTTAGATACGTAGCATAAAGTTTTCTGTTACTTAGTTAACATTTCTATTAAATAAGCTAACAAACCAACAATTTTTCATATGCTCTTTGATATCTCAAGAGATTAACAGAAATCAAGATTGTAATACGTTTTCCTAATTTATTATGAGTGAAATACGGAATGAAGTTATAACACAACTATTAGACAAATTCAAACTCTTGCACTTATATCCTGGGAAAAGAGACTACTTTACGTATATTATGGTTATTGTGTGCAGTATTTTACGATGTGTCCAATGGATATTTGCTGCAAAACTAATTGCAACCAATACTGGTTCGGTTGTGACAATGACAATTGGAGCTAAGTCTATCGCAGTGAACTTTCAAGTAAATACACAAATTTACACAAATACTAAATAAGTAATTAGTAATGACTTTTGTGATTTGTTTTGGCAAATTATAGGCTACTAAAATAATGGCATTGCTTCATGAAAATGATCTTGTTTACTTGCTAAACAATATGGACAAATTTTGGCACTCCGATGAAGCCGAAACAGTCTACAAGTACTGCAAACTCTTTTTGCGAATTTTTACTCAATCCGTTTTCTTTACATACATTGCGATTCTATTAGTGCCTATATTTATCTTGAAGATCTTGCCTTTCAATGGAGATTACCCTGTGTTTCCGTATTCGTTTTGGATATTCTCTTTTATGCAATTATTCCAGTTTACCTATGACGTATGCATCGTGTTGTGCGTCGACTGTTTTTTCCTGTGTGTTTCTTTTTTTGTTTACATGCAATTTAAGATATTGAATGAAAGATTTGCAAAACTTGGATTCGATCACGAGATACTGTACAGTGAGGCTAAAATTTGCGTTAAATATCATAAGTTCTTGTTAAGGTAAGTTACTATTTAAAGAATACAAAATCTACAACAAATTTTATTGTAGATATACAGAAAAATTTAGTCATATGTATTCTCAAGCCTTGTTAGCACAGTATTGCATAACTTCAATCAGTGTCTGCATAGAAATCTTCGTTTTTACCAAACAGTAGGTTTTCCATCGTGTTTTCGTTGTGTTTCCAAGGAATTTTGAAACTTCGGTTACTTTTTAGAGAGTTTTCGCAAATGCCAGCCAGTATATTATATGTATTGTCTTTGATTTTACAACTTTCTCTGTATTGTTTTCCTGCTGACTTGGTCAGTGAAGAAGTAAGTACTTTTTATATAAAAATTAGAGTCCGACCGAAACTGGATTTTAGCCGAAACCGAAACCGAAACCGAAATTTCGGCCCTGCAATCAGTTTCGGCCGAAACCGAAACCGAAACCGAAACTAATTTACATAAACATATTTTTCTACTACTACCTACACATCGCCGGTTTTTCCAGGTTTTTTTGATACAAAATCCATCTCGTGAGTAAAGTCCCCGTTTAGTCACTTGATACTTAATATAATATTAATTTAAGTTTCTATAAGCGAACTGAGATGGCAAGTAACGACCGCCATTAGCCGCGAAGTTAGCCGAGCGACGCACGACAATTCACGAAAAGTGAGTTTCGGTGTGGCCGAAAATTTCGGCCAATTTTTGGCCGAAACCGAAACTGATGCCGAAACTAGAATTCTTGGCCGAAACTGGCCGAAACCGAAACCGAAATTTCGGTCGGTCTCTAATAAAAATTTAATTTAAAACATTTTTAAATGTTGCAGGCTCTTAATGTAAGTGAAGCAATCATAAATTCAAATTGGTACAACTACCCAAAGTTTTCAAAAATTTATGTTCAAAATATTCTCCAGCGATCCCACAAAAGAGTGAAATTTTCTGCTGGCGGACTGGTTGTATTAGATAAAGTAGCATTTACGATGGTAAGTATTTTTTTAAATCATTTGAAATAATTGACTGTTTAATAACACTTAACTGATATGGGGTATTAAAATTTCAGATTTTTAAATGGTCACTATCGCTTTACACTTTAATGCGAGATATTGAAAAAATAGTTGAATAAACGTAAACATTTCTGATTGAAGAAAAAAAAAACATAAACCTTTACAATCTTTCAATTTAAAAATGAATATCATTCATTAAAAGCATTGTTTAATTATTTATGAAGAACATTTTCTTGGAATTAATTGTTTCCAGTTTAATTAAACCGAATGTATCAAGTGACCACCGATTATTTTTGCGTTTGTATCAACTGCACCCAGTACTATATAAGAACATGCATTATTATTAAGACATTTTAATTTTAGAACGATTCGAATTTGTAATCGCAAATCATTTACTTAAATAATACATTATGCCCTGCTATTATTCCGTGTTAAATAATTATTCATATGAAATTGTGCAGTCAATTATTGTTAATTCTTTAATAAATTCATGTGCTTGGCCTAAGACATATCCATTACAAAAATCACAATGACAAGTTCAGCAGCAGACAAACTTGTTTCACTACTTCTACGCAGTATGCGTTTAATGCAAATAATTCCTGGGAGAAAAAAAAGCATTGGTAGAGATTTTCTGGCCTTTTATATGATGATTTCAAATATAGTGCAAATATATTATGCTGGTTTGTTGGTAATTAGAAATATTCATAATATTCTTATCGTGGCCACTGGTGTTAAGACAATTGCTGTTTGTTGTCAAGTAAGAAGAGCAAAACAAACCTTAACTGTAGCAGTAGACTGTAAAATAATAATTTTTCTAGATATTAAAATTATTCGCACTTTTACGTGTTGAAGATATACAATATTTATTAGACAATAGAAGACGATATTGGCATTCTGAGATAACTGACACAATCAATACTAATGGATATACATTTATAAGTATTTTCTTCAGGCTAATGGCGAGTTGTTATATTTTTCTAGTTTTGTTACCTCCTCTTTTAAAAATCCTGCCTTTCGATGTTGATTATCCTGAAGGACCTTATATGTTTTGGGTATTTGCTGGTTTGCAATACATTAACTTTACTCATACTTTTGTGCTGGTAGTATCAACGGATTGTTTCTTTTTGTGCTTATCGTTCTTCATTTATGGGCAGTATAAATATTTAAATAAAAGATTGGAAAGTCTAGGTACCCGACCATTCGTTATGTATGAAGGAACTGCATGTGCGAAGCATCACAGCTTTTTACTGGAGTAAATCCGTAAAATAAGCGACAATTTATGTAATATCGCTGATTATATAAATGTTTTCAGATATACGGAGAGATTTGGAAAAATGTTTCAGACAACGTTGCTTGCACAATACGGCATTACAACTATTAGTGTGTGAGTCGAGTTATTTGTACTTTCGAAACAGTAAATATATTAATTATACAAAGTTGAAATGTACGAGTATGTTGACGTCATTTTCTAATTATTGATTTGTAGAAATCCTACTGGTCTGCTTGTAAGTGGATTATACTTAAGTGGTTTATTATTTCAACTGGGTTTGTATTGTTTTGCTGCTGAATTAGTTATCCAAGAAGTAAGTCCTAAAATAATGTTAATTTGGTTTGATATTTTCATAATTGATAATTAACTAATTAAACAATTAATTTTTAGTAATTTTAAACTTTAGAAAATATAATTTAGCTTTAATTAATTATATTTTAATTAACAGTCGCTGAATTCATCACAAGCAATATTCAACTCAAATTGGTATAACCACCAAAATTTTGCAAATACATTCGTTGTGCAGATTATTCGTCGATCACAGAAAGTGATCGTGTTCAGTGCTGGCGGACTTGCCGATATAAATCGAGTGGCATTTACAGTCGTAAGTTAATTGAATACCAATTAATATGAGGAGGTTTTGAAAATTTAATTATGTGACTCTTCCTAGATATTCAAATGGTCGTTCTCTCTTTTCACTCTAATGCGTGACATTGCAGAAATTATAGAATAAGTTACGCACCAAATAAATCAATATTATTGTTCTTTAAATTGTACTATTTACAATGTGTAGTAGCAGAATGCGCGTCAAACAATTTGAAAAATAAAAAAAATAGCATCCTTATGTATTGTGTAGTAATTAACACACCTCTTTAAATATGTACTACACTTGAAAAATGCTTTCTTCTCAATTGATTGCATGTATTTATAAAAATCGAAATGACACGTGCAGCTCATCAGCGTTAAGTGGTCATTAATCTTTCAAAGTTTGCTCGTTGTTACTCACCAGGCTTCGAATGCGTTTGAATAATTGCAATGATATCAAAATATGTACATAACTTAAATTTATAATTGTTGTGCATAATAAATCTCTTTACGCGTAAGAAATTAATATACACAAGGATAATTCGCATTTAGTTACATACAAGAATATATTAAAAACAAAACTTAATAAATATAATAGAAAAAATACAACTGTTTCCTTTAATCTACAGACACATTGACTGACTATTATAAATAATTATTCTAATTTAAAATATTGCAACTGTTTATTAATGAAATACCTTGTATAGAAGAAATAAAACCACAAATTATTATTTACGCGTCAATGAAATAATTAAGTTTAAATAATTAGTTTCCTCAGGTAATCAACTATTTACACAAATAACACGGACAAACACTTTATAAGCAAACAAACAACGCTTTGCTTGAATTGTATTTCTATCGTCTACCAGCACGAACCCGTCGAAACTGAAAACAAAGATGAGTGCAGCGCGAGACGAGATAATTCAACTCTTCATAAACAAGTTTGCGTCAATACAATTGGAACCAGGAAGGCGAACGTACAAATCTTATCTCCTGTTCTTATTCATACTCGCATCACATGCGAATCAAGTATTTTTCGGCGCGATGCTAGTCGCAAAGAGTAATAAATTTCTTATCATGGCCACTGGTGTTAAAACAGTCATAGTTAATTTTCAAGTAAGCAAAAAATTCATTATTATAAGCATTTGTATTTTATTCTATGCCAATATTGCACAAATAAATTTTTCACTAATAAGGACACATAATACTTTTATAGCTAGTGAAAATATTAGCAGCTTGGCGCCAAAATGACATACTAGATTTGTTTGAAAGTCATAAAATTTTTTGGGATGACGAGTCAACTGAACGTATTTACAAGATTGCATTGCGTGGAACCAAAGCATTTCAATATGTTATGTATGCATCCTATGCTACAATAATTGTTTTACCAAACTTTTTGGGCCATTTAGCGTTTGATGTGTACTTAAATTTCCCTGGCGCATTTTGGATGCATTCTATTTTACAAATCGTACAATTTTGGTATGCAATGGAGATCGTTATTGTTGTCGACTGTTTGTTCTTGTGTCTTTCGTTCTTCGTTTCAGGGCAATTTCGATTATTGCACAAACGACTCGAAAACTTAGGCAAAGTTGAACATAACATGTATGAAGAAGCTAGACAGTGTGTAAAACACCATGTATTCTTACTCAAGTAAGTCAAATTTATAAATTAGAAAATAAATTTTGTAAAACAGAAATATTTTCAGATATATAGAAAGATATGCTCACATGTTTCAATATCCTTTGCTCTCACAATATTGCGTTACTACCGCAAGTCTTTGTGTAGAAGCTTTTGTCATCACCAAGGCGTAAATATTTAATTAATTAAATATTTATGACTTAAATTAATTAAAATATAATATAGGTCTATGGCAGGAGTAGTACAAAGCTGCATTTATTTATTCATTTTACTTTTTCAATTGGCTTTGTACTGTTTTCCGGCTGATCGAGTAATTCAAGACGTACGTTGTTAACATAGTGTAACATTCAAGGTACTTACATAGTGCTTGTTTTAGGCATTAAATACCAATCAAGCAATTTTTAATTGCAATTGGTATAGTCATAGACACTTTGCAAACACATTTGTACAAAATATTATGGTACAATCTCAGAGAGTGGTTGTTTTCAGCGCTGGGGGATTCATGGATATAAACAGGGCGTCATTTACGAATGTAAAACATTTTAAAACGTAAAATATAAATATTTAAATAGGACGTTATTTGAATTTGTAGATATTCAAATGGACTATGTCATTTTATGCCATGATGCGCGACTTCGCAAGAATACTCGATTAATTGATTGCTTATTACTTATTTATTATATTACTTAATACTTATATCCATATGGCCTTGCTATTTAAATTACCGATATATTATAAAAACTGTTCAAAGAACACTTTCGATTCCAGTCAATTAACATGCAAATTAAAACAAGATTGCTGTAATTTAAATGAAAATTCTAACTATAATCGAAGAATCTTCGATTTTCGAACTTGATTATAATCTATGATTTAACAAATTTACAGTCAATGATTTCAAGTCAAATAAATTATTAGTCCCAATAATTACTCAATAAACGTTTAAATGCCACACGTTTGACATTCTTTCTAGACTTATCAAGCTGTATTGCGTTAGAAACATTCAGAAACAAACAATTTGCAAAATGATGGACAGCAGGAAAGCAATAGTCGCATTTTTCTTGAATAAGTTTAGATTAATTCTTTTAGAACCCGGAAAACGTGATTATAAAACATATTTGTTACTAATATTTGTTCTGGCATCACATGCTGTTCAAATATGTTTTGGCGGATTGCTAGTGGCAAAAAGTGATGAATTTCTTATAATGGCTAAAGGTGTTAAAACTATCATAGTAAATTTTCAAGTAAGAGAAACGAAAATTGCACACAAACACGCTTTACATGATTTAAACTTTTCTAGGTGGGTAAAATAATGGCAGGTATTCGTGAAGATGACATTGACTACTTACTTAAAAATACTGAAAAGTTCTGGAATTCTGACTCTACTGATAAAATGTACAAGTTTGCACTTCGAGGTGCACAAGCATTTCAGTATCTTGTTTGTGCAGCATATTTTGCCATTTTAGTTATACCCATTATTCTTGGCAGACTCCCGTTTGATATTTATGTACCTGAATTTCATGGTGCATTCAGGCTGAATGCAGCATTGCAATTTCTGCAATTTTTGTACACACTGGTAATTGTGGTCACCATTGACTGTTTATTTCTGTGCCTTTCGCTCTTTGTCTTAGGACAATTTCGATTATTAAATAAACGTCTTGAGAGTTTGGGCAAGAATGAGAACACTATGTATGAAGAAGCAAAACTTTGTGTTAGACATCACGACTTTTTATTGCAGTAAATTAAATATATTAATTAAAAATTGAATATTTATGTAGATTTATTTTAGATACACAGAAAGATATGCAGGCATGTTTAGTTATGCCTTACTATGCCAATATTGTATCACAACTTTGAGCGCTTGTGTAGAAATGTTTGTCTTCACTAAGCAGTAATAAACATATTAATACATATTAAATTTATGTCTCTGTAATGCTTATTAACTATGTTTTAGAAATTTGCTAGGAATGGCAGTAAGCTGTATCTATTTAATTGCGTTGTTGTTTCAACTGGCTATGTACTGTTTTCCGGCAGAAATGGTTATTCAAGAGGTATAGTATAGTACCCTTTCACCTATCACAAAAAACTTTATAATTTTTTCTCGTCATTAGAAAATAAAAGATGTTTAAATGTTTTATACAGGCATTACATACAAGTCAAGCTATAGTCAACTCGAAGTGGTATGAGCATCTACGTTTTGCAAAAATATATGTTGAAAATATAATTCGTCGCTCGCAACAAATTATAGTTTTCAGCGCTGCTGGATTGTTTGATATAAACCGTTCAGCATTTACCACGGTATAGACTACTGAATGTAATACTAATTTACGAAAAATGATTTGGCTTTCTTGTTGCGCTTTTCAGATTTTCCAGTCGTCCGTGTCCTTTTATACCTTAATGCGCGACATAGCAAACACATTAGATTAATATATCTTCAAAGCGATTTAATAGTCAAAATATTGGTTTCTTTTGTATCACATACAAATATATCTCTGATATATGTGTTTGTCGATTTTACCAATTAAACTCTAAAATATATCTCCCACACAATTAAACACACACTATATGCATTTATAATAAACATATTCGCAAGGGTGCATTTCACTAATGAAGAAAATGATAAGCGCACTTGGTGCAAAGTAACTAAGAATGTCGCCGATTCACAAGCGCCCGTAATACCCAAGAACTTTCAGGCTTGTTTCTACCAAACAACTCGCAGTATGAACAATCTGTTATGCCCAACATGACGTGATGTCACACGGAAGTGCATTGTGCACACTCACTACTACCAACAAAACGAAGCATCGAGAAACACATTTCGAATTTTGTGCAGATATAAGCCTATTAGCGCCATCTATGGGTGCATTAGATTGTTATATTTAGAAATGATACACACAGCGTATGAGGCCACACGATCGCATTTATCACAATCTGCTATACAGGCACGAGTTTAAATATTTATATCAATTCAATATCACTCATGCTAGAAACGATTTATGTATGACCACTGTTTAAAATTAAATGCAAAATGATAAGCAAAATATAACCTATGAAAATGTTTCACCAATTTTACCACACAGGAAAAACAGAATCATTATTTTCGTTTCAATTGAAAAGTGGAAAAATGGGGAATGACACGTCATGTCCGTAGAGTAATAGCGGGGTGAAGCGTATACAAACTTTTCAACGAACGCTTTCAATTCAAATCAATTAACAATGAAATTGAAACAAAATTGCTGTAATTTAAATGTAATTTCTAATTATAATTTAACTAATTTGCGGTCACTGCTTTCAAGTCAAATAAATAATTTGTTCCAATAATTACTTACTAATCGGTTAAATACCAAACATTTGACGTTCTTTCTGGACTTATCAAGATATTTTGCGTCAGTAACATTAAAAAAAATACCATTTACAAAATGACGGAAGGCAGGAAAGCAATAATCGCATTTTTCTTGAATAAGTTTAGATCAATTCAGTTAGAACCCGGCAAACATAATTATAAAACATATTTGTTACTAATGTTTATTCTCACATCACATGCTATTCAAATTTATTATGGCGGAATGCTAGTGGCAAAGAGTGATAAGTTTTTGACAATGGCTCAAGGTGTTAAAACTATCCTGATAAATTTTCAAGTGAGAGCTTCGAAAATTCCTCATTAACATGTTTTACATTATTAAAACAATTCTAGGTGGGTAAAATAATTGCTGGACTACGTGATGATGACATTAAGTACTTACTTAAAAACACTGAAAATTTTTGGAAATCTGAATCTACAGAAAAAATGTACAAGCTCGCATTGCGAGGAGCAAAAGCATTTCAAAATACTCTTTATGCAGCATATGTTGTCATTATATTATTTCCTATTACTTTCGGCAGCCTGCCGTTTGATATTTACATACCTGAATTTTCTGGTGCATTCTGGATACATGCAGCATTGCAATGTATACAATTTTCCTATGTAATGATAATTGTGATTAGCGTCGACTGTTTATTTCTGTGCCTTTCGGTGTTTGTCTTAGGACAATTTCGATTATTGAATGAACGTCTTGAAAGACTTGGCGAGAATGAGAAAATTATGTATGAAGAGGCGAAGATTTGTGTTAAACGTCACAACTTTTTATTGCAGTGAGTCAAACAAATGGATTAAAAATTAAAAATTGATTTGGATTTATTTCAGATACATTGAAAGATATGCCGGCATGTTTCGCTATGCTTTGTTTGCACAATACTGTATCACGACTTCAAGCGTCTGTGTAGAAATATTTGTCTTCGCCAAACAGTAATAAATTTATTATATACATACTAAATTTAAATCAGTGTATTGCTTATTAATTATGTTTTAGAGATGTGATTGAAATGGCAGCAAGCTTTTTCTATATAATTGGGTTATTGTTTCAACAATCATTGTACTGCTTTCCGGCTGAGATGGTTATTCAAGAGGTATGGTACCCCTTTGCCAATTGCAAAGAAACTTTAGCATTTTTACTCGCAAGTCGAGAATAAAAGACAAATTTAATTTTTTTACGCAGGCATTATATACAAGGCAAGCTATAGTCAACTCGAAGTGGTATGAGCATCCACAATTGGCTAAAATATATGTTGAAAATATAATGCGACGCTCGCAAAAAATTATAGTTTTCAGCGCTGCTGGATTGGTTAATATAAACCACGTCGCATTAACCACGGTATAAACTACTGAATTTAATACTAATTTATCGAAATATGATTTGGTATTTTAATTGCAATTTTAGATTTTCAAGTGGTCAGTGTCCTTTTATACATTAATGCGCGATATAGCAACAATAATGGATTAATATTTCTTCAAAACTATTTAATAGTAGAAAAATTTATGGTTTTTATTACATATAAATATGTTAACGAATATCTTTAGTATTTATGTGTTTACCAATTTTAAAAATATAACTTATCCCCACACATCTATCTAAATAAATTTATAATATGCCTGTAACGTCTTCCCAAAAGCATGACCGCACTTTTCACAGTTCACTTCAATGATAAAAGCACACAACCAAATAATTTGCTACACAAACAAGGAATTTAATATCTATATCAATGTAATATCACTCATGCTAGAAACAATATTAGTATGGTAACCGTTCAAAACTTAATGCGAATGCATCCTAGTGTCCAAATTAAAATACATATATATTTATAACATAAATAATAAATAAAATATAACTATTAATCAATGAGAGTTACTCACCAATTTTATCATATAGTAAAATATGTTATGTAATATAATAGAATCAATATTTTTTATTTCAATAAACTAGAAGCCTACAATGTTTGAATTTTAACTATGAAGTCGGTTTCCCACAGTGCGGGTCGTGATCCGGCACTGGGTCGCAAAAAAATTCAACTGGGTAGCGGCAAAAATAAGATAACAAACAAATAACATAATTTATATAAAAAATAAAATTAGTTATGTAAATAATTATATTTCATAAGATGTGTCGCGATACATTTTAAAATCTCGTATCGAGCCGCGGTAAAAGAAAGTTTGGGAAACCCTGGGTTACAGCCTTCAAAGAAGAGCAAAAGTGTTGGATGATATCTTAGGTCCGTCAAATAATGGTGAGGTGAAGGATAAATAAAAACTTTTGTAAGAACGCTTTCTATTCAAGTCAATTAATTTCTAATTATACTCGAAGAATCCCCGATTTTCTAACCTGATTATAATCGATGATTTGACTAATTTACAGTCACTCTTTTCAAGTCAAATTAATTATTAGTCCCAATAATTGCTTCCTAAACCATTAAATACCAAACATTTGTCAGTCTTTCCGGACTTAACAAGGTCTATTCCGATAGTAACAGTCAGAAACACATTATTCACAAAATGACGGCAGGCAGGAAAGCAATAATCGCATTTTTCTTGAATAAGTTTAGACTAATTCAGTTAGAACCTGGAAAACATAATTATAAAACGTATTTGTTACTAATATTTATTCTCGCATCACATGCTATTCAAATTTATTATGGTGGAATGCTAGTGGCAAAAAGTGATAAGTTTCTTACAATGGCAAAAGGAGTTAAATCAATCATAGTAAATTTTCAAGTGAGAGCAACAAAAAGTCCACACAAATATGTTTTACATCATTGAAATATTTCTAGGTGGGTAAAATAATTGCTGGACTTCGTGAAGATGATATTGACTACTTACTTAGAGACACCGAAAAATTCTGGAATTCTGAATCTACAGAAAAAATGTACAAGCTTGCACTGCGAGGAGCGCAAGCATTTCAGAATCTTATATATGCCGCATATGCTGTCATTGTAATTATTCCCATTGCAATGGGCAGCCTTCCGTTTGATCTTTATATTCCTGAATTTCCTGGTGCGTTTTGGTTGCTTGCAGCATTGCAATGTCTACAATTTCTCTACGCAATGGTAATTGTGATTGCCGTTGACTGCTTATTTCTGTGTCTTTCGCTATTTGTCTTGGCTCAATTTCAATTATTGAATAAACGTCTTGAGAGATTGGGCAAGAATTCGAACATTATGTATGAAGAGGCAAAAATTTGTGTTACACGTCACGATTTTTTAATGCAGTAAGTCAAATATATGAATTAAAATTAAATAGTTATTTCGATTTATTTCAGATACACTGAAAGATATGCAGGCATGTTTCGCTATGCGTTGCTTTCGCAATACTGTATCACGACTTTAAGTGTTTGTGTAGAAATGTTTGTCTTCACAAAACAGTAATAAACTAATTAAATATCTATTAAATTAAATTCATTGTGAAGCTATATAAATATGTTTTAGAAATGTGGTAGGAATGGCAGTAAGCTGTTTCTATTTAATTGCATTACTGTTTCAACTGGCTTTGTATTGTTTTCCGGCTGATATGGTTATTCAAGAGGTATAGTACACCTTTGCCTATCACAAATATACTTTATAGTTGTTATTCACTATTAGATAATTAAATACCAATTTTTTTTTCAGGCATTGTATTCTAGTCAAGCAATAATCAACTCAAAGTGGTATGAACATCCACGATTTGCGAAAATATTTGTTCAACATATAATTCGTCGCTCGCACAAAATAATAGTTTTCAGCGCTGCTGGATTGGTTAATATAAACCGCGTTGCGTTTACCATGGTATGGACCACCAGACAGATCATATTGAAAACTAATTTATCTGATTATTAATTGGTTTGCTTGTTTTGGTTTTAGATTTTCAAGTGGTCAGTCTCCTTTTATGCGTTAATGCGCGACATGGCAAAAATAATAGATTAATGTACCAATTTTTAAAAATATTTAATAGTCAATATATTTGTGCTTTTTATATCACATGCTAATAAATCGTTACAGTGTTACCAATCTGTGATAGAAGGGGCCGGCTAAGAGTACGGCACGTACTTAATACTGCAAGTTTTATAAGTGCAAAGTATTAATTTCATAGTGGAAAGCATTTTATTCAAGTGGAATCCATTTTTCAAAGTGCACATATTTATTTTTAAGTTCAGTTCTGTATTTTTAAGTGCAAACATTATTTATAAGTGCATTTAATGAATTGACAATTAAAAATCGAAAAAATAAAGTTCGTTTAATTACATGCCAATAAAGTTGGAGTTCACGCGCAGCCTTCGTAGCGTCAACATCGTCGGTCACGAGAGTTGCGTTCGTTCTATAAGCGTTTGTGTATTAGTGAAGTGTTGTGGCGCGTAGCGCTAGTGGTAGTGCGGTCGATATGGGCGATCAGTCAGACGGCGCCAGCTGTTCTGGCCTTTCGCTTGCTGCAATGATGCAAATCATGAAACAGCAGATGGACGAACTGTCAGTAAAGAATAAACAATTGAGTGATCGAGTGGAGCGTTTGTCGGCGGAAAACGCAAAGTTATTAATGCTAGATAAACGCGAGCGTGACCGCGTTCGATATGAAACAGCCGCGTCGAAAAGAGAAAAACGGCAACGACTCCAAGATGATGCCAGATTTAAAGGTTCGGTCGAGACGCGTAATTATTTCGCACCGCTCGATAACTCAATCGATGAAGAGGAATCTGATCGTATGAACACCGACGAGGAATCCACGGCCAGTCAAAATGTATCGGACAGAGAGTCGACAAAGAGCGAGGATACAATTTACAACGAAAGAACAAATTCACCAAGAAGACGGATGCGGAAAGGTTCTGACCGTTTTAATCCTGACAACACCATCATGGACAAACAGACTAAGCCAAAAAGGGTAACTTTCAAGCGAATTACTCTTTCAGACGGTGAACAAATCGTCGTCCCCGAACACGATATGCAACTACCAACACCCACGCCTGAGTCCGAGAAACCAGCAAGGGAAAAGTTTCCGCCAATGCTGCTGGTAGACAAAGATTACGACCCGCTGTTTATCAATAACTTACTCAAAGAAAATGATATTGAAACAAGAAAACCAATACGTGAGGCTCGTCAAGGGTTTGAAATTTTCACCTTCTCCCCAGACGACTACCGGAAATTGATTCGCGTCTGCACCGCCGCAAAAATAAAATATGTGAACTGGCAGTTGGACGATGAAAAGGAATTGCGTTTTGTCGTGCGTAACGTTTCAACCAAGATGAGTACTGAATCTATCGAAGAGGATCTGAAAACATTATTTATAAGTGCATTTAATGAATTGACAAGTTAAAAATCGAAAAAATAAAGTTCGTTTAATTACATGCCTTTCGTATTTTATGCAAATATGAGCCTGCTAGCGCCCTCTGTAGTGGCAATAATTAGTTATATTCAGTTTTGACGCAGCGTATGAAATCTCATTTATGAGTTTGCTTCACTGATAAAAACAAATAAACACACATTCTACACGACACGAATTTCAATATAAATATCAATGCAATCTGACTCATAGTAGAAACAATTTTTGTATAGTTCTCGTTTAAAATTTAATACAAATGCCTCCTAGTGTCCAAATTAAAATAGAATTGTAACTAAAATGATAAATAAAATATAACTACAAACTTTTTACCAATTTAATAACAGCAAAACACATTGAATCATTATTTTTGTTTCATTAAACTAGAGGCCTACAACGTTTGAATTTCAAACAATGACCCTGGTTTTCCGTTACAGTATTCAAACAGTAGCAAAAGTGGGGAGCGTTACGTCATGTCCGTTAAATAATGGCGGGGTGAAGGGTATATAAGCTGCGCACACCCGGCAAAAGGTCTTTTAAAATCATCCTTTGTCGTGTGCAGTTCTGGTGTTATATACGGCGCTTGTTCCATCTTTACTCGTAGCTACACGTCTCACTGTAAGTACCTACTTAATTGCCAGTTTACCTAGTTCAGTATCCACAGACCCAGCTCCGCATAGCATAAACATATGGCTAGTGTGGCGTTTTTTTCTGTGGAGATTATATGCGGTGCTCGCTATATTTGCCGATCTATTAAATGGTCGGTATAATACACTGCCCTGCTACATTTTAACCCCAAAATTCTTTCAAACATGTGCTTATTTGTGGTTATATTTTTATAGAATCGCCAATGCTAAGGGGGAATACTTAAGACAAACAACATAATTGCGAATAAGGTAACTATTTTTATTCAATTTTATACTTCGTTGGTATTTTGAATGATGATAAAACCTTGGATTCTTTCGCGGTTTCCACTGAAGGGAGAGACATGCTCTACTGATGGCATTATCTATCTGACAGCAATAAATAATGTTTCTTTGAAATTTGAAAATCTTTAGTAAAGAATGAATTTATATGAAGGTGTGTTTCTTTCAAGGTTGACTCCAATCGTTCAATGGCGATGATTTCTAAGAGTACCATCATGCCAGCAAAACAAAATCGGTTCTTTTCAGAACTACCAAGTCTATTTATAGAAAAATACACTGCACTATTTTCCCAATATTGTAATTTAACGCCATTTGCACTGAATTTGTGTTTACTAAACTGCGTGTACGTTGCTCGTGAGTGTAAACGTATTAAAAATCATTTTCTCAAAACGCGTTGTGAAAAGGTAAAAACAGCGTTTTTGTATTGGGGCGCCTTCGGACAGTCGAATACACATTTGCGGCGAAACAATATGGCTTGGAATATTAGATCTCATAAAAATCTAGACTGGTTCCTTGTGCCGAAACATGTGCATAATTTTTGTTGCAGAGGTTATATTTAAATTCAAACTTACCATCCAACCACACCTGGAGCATCACCTTAAGAAGGATTCGGAAATGAAGCGGCGTTGGAAAATGCTTAATCACCTCTTCTCAAACTAACTTTTATATTCTTGTACAATACAAATAACCTGTATCAAATATAACAACAATAAATCTGTAGATTGTACTATGTACGTTGGCTTGGCCTTGACTGATTGTTTACTTGTAAGAATCGGATCACCAGTGGCTCACGTTTAAGAGTTATTGCACTGAAACAGCATGGTAGCGCCGTCTATTGCTTATTCGTTACAACTTATGATATTTAGTCTTGAACGCATTCAAAACGTAAAAATAAATGCAAAATAAAATCACAACATAAATATGATAAAAACAATGTTAAAATTAGTATAAATTACTGGCGGTGCACTTATAAGACCTCATTCCCTGCTGTTATAATTAACAATTGATTTTTTTAAAGCTTACGTTTCGATGGTTTACAAATTACTGTAAATATAAGAATACTGATAAACTGGAAATCATAAAATAGAATCTACATGATAAATTAATTAAAAGCACTGAAATTTGAAAAAGTACGCGCGATAACTTAATCTATCGAGGTAAGGCCGTTAGACGCTTAAACTTATAACATCAAAATGGAAGTATAATATTGACGGAAGACATACTTCTGTACAACAAACCTAAGTCCACAAAGCCGTCGGCATCATTCCTTCCACTGTACCAGAACTTGGAGTTAATAATTCATTGCATAAGAAATCCAGTGGGAAATTAACTAAATGACCCTGAGACACAATTTACACAATTAATGTTATTGGACTCTAAAGCATTTTTATTAATTGACCTACCTTAATTTCCTCCAACATTCTTAGACTTCGAGTTAGTTCGGTAGTATACAAAGGCGGGCGTGATAAATATTCCTTCAAATCAGAAAAGGTTTTTACCTCATTTGAAGGTATGCAATGAAACACTTTCTCATAGAATTCAGTGTTCAGCGAGGCAGTGTCTTGCCACACGAATTTGTAGAATGCCTCACTAACAGGATCTTCCACGTCTATATCAATATATTCGTGTTCTCTTCCTAGCAAACCCAAATGTTCCTTGAAGAGATGTTTACGCAGCGTACCACAAAACTTGCCGCACGGATATTTCACTCCATTCATAACGCCCTCGTCAAATTCTTCGTCTCTGATCGCAACTGCAATTTCTGAATCACGTTTGCCGATCATAGAACGGTCGTTGATGTTCGCCGAGCCACAAATAACCATTTTGTCGTCGACGATCATCAGTTTCGAGTGTACGTAAATTAATTCGGTGATTGGTTCGTTGTTCAAGACGGAATGGTTTCGCAACCCGTAGAAACTAATATATTTCGAGGGGTCTTCAACACCGGCTGTTTTCAATCGCTGCAGTATTGAATCCTTACCTCTGCAGCACAATTATAGACACAAATCATAATTTACAATGCAATTGCAGAATAATTATGTAGGTATTACCTTGAAATTGATGCATAATTCCAATGTGTGATTGCATGCAACGATGTTCCGGTTTTCTGGCCAACTTCTCCTTCAAATCCGGGTAACAATGGCATGACGATATAAACTCTGAATACTTCATTACATCTACAACAAGAAAATACATAAATAATGTGTTTTTAAAACAATTTAAACTTGTACACACTTATAAGCACGTAGAATTCTTCTGAACAAAGTCTCCGCGATTAAATTGTACGTATCCGAGTGTCCTTGTGGCAATGAAATGAAAAACTGATTTTCAATGTAAATAAAATGCTCCGCCGAGTTGATGGCATTAACATATCCAGTGTGAATAGATTGTTCTACAGTCTGTGGGTCTAGAAATCCAGCTGACCACGAACTGGAGCTCCGCAATACTTGGCACTGTACTCTGTTTTTGATTAAAGCGCCAAAGTGGATCTTCTCCTCAATGGTGTGATATGATTTTGGCAGTAGGTATGAATAATTCGAGCTTATTCGGGCTTTATCTAATTTTGTCGCATTCCAACGCTGGATAAAATGACGCGAGACATCACGAGCAGCTGGTCCTTGCACAAAGACACCTATATCATGCCATGGCATTCTAGGTGTGGTTACTCTAAATAAATATATTAATTAAAATAACTAACGCTTAATGCTATGTCCTTAACAATTTCTTACCTTTCTATCATGTCCGTAAATGGTGACTCCAGTTCAGCAAAATCCTTAACAATAAAGTTACAGTAATCTTTGCCAATCCAATATTTAGCACCTGCGTTATTTTCATACGAATCAGTCTGCCGTTTGCTCCTGGCACTGGCATTATCGTCTTCAATAGCTGGAACAACTTGATTTTCTCCTTGTGTATAAACCATATTCACCAATTCTTTCCCCTTAAGTTTTACTTTCTGTGTGATTTTTGTCAATGGATTTTTCCTTTCTGGTTCCGGAGTGTTCATCCGTGAACTAGGCTTAAATCCAGGCATCAATAATTGATCTCCTGGTTGTAACTGTGGCCTGGCATCAACTGAATCAGCCGAAGCTGTTGATTCATTATCGGATGGTTCTTCAATAACCACAGTTTGAATTGTGTGCGGTTGTGGCATCTGATAAAAATTATCCCCTGCAGGCACTGTTGATGTGCGTTTTTTCAATGTGGAAATATCAACTGTAGGTGTAATACTGCCTAAATCAGTTAATCGATGTTCATGATCATCCCATCGACCGTAACATAGATCAATCCCACCCAAAAACGCGTACATTTGATCAACCACCACAATTTTTTCATGATGCGCCCATAGAAAAACACCAACTTTTGCATGATCAGGATGGCGCAACACTTGAATATTATCATGCATAGCAGACAGTGTTTGTTTACTGTAATAACTATTTAAACCCAGCGCATACTGAAATTCTTTATACAGTAACACGTAAATTTTCACACCAGCCTCAGCTTTGCGTTTAAGTAATTTATCCAAACGCCAGTGTTCTCCTTCAAACATGGGTCGCTTGAGGTAAATTTCTGGACTCAACCACCAATCAGCAATGTATATTTCCTCCTGGGCTGCTTCCATCGCATCTGCAACCGCAGACATGTACCCTTGCCCGTCAACAAACCAACTGGCTTCGGTGTGATGCCTCAGGGGAGCAAATGAATGATTCGCATTCGTTGCAGTGAATACTTTTGCCTCATTTTCGGCGACTGATTTGAGTGCTTCGAGCCATGCTTTGCGTTGACCGCGGGAAGACAATTTAAAAATAATTTGCCGACTTAATGTTTGGATTTGTATTGCTTTATGAAGGCCGGTATTATACATACTGGCAGCCACTTCAAAACCCTGATCGTAGAGAATAATTGACTTTACTTCGCCGGTTTTTGGGTCCATGTAACCAAAGAATGTATCTTTGAGGAAGAACCAGCGAGAACGGAATGACGGACAGATTACATCTTTACATAAATATTTACATCTGGGAAAAATATAACAAAATAATTCAACAACTGGATTGATGCTTATGATTAATTTACCTTAAACAACATGCTCCTGTACAACATCCAAAACAATTGCATCCAGCTTGACCAGGCTGTGTACTGCCAAATTTTTTCTTTACTAAACCCTCTTTGCCCTTTATACCAAGATCATGAATGAAAGATAATCGTGATACTTCAAGAAACTCAGCTGTAGCCTCGTGATATCGATATATACTGATTCGTAGCAGGTTACTGAGATATTCTTCAAGATGTTTCATTCGATCGTCCAGTTGTTCGTGTAAAATTAACATCTCAGGCTTCTTTGGAAATCTAGGCAACCTCAATTCTTTCTGTTGTTCCTTTGGTGGAATCGCTGTTCCTGCAGCAACCCCATTCGTTTGTGATTGCTGTCTTTCAATGGTATGTTTATAGCTTTCCCTCCGGCGTTTATGCGCAACTGTTGGAAATGGAATATTCAAACTAGCTTTAAAAAACGTTAGTTTATTATGTAGCTCCAAGAAGTGTTTGTATCGTCGTTTAATCGTCCATGTAAAATGTCCATGTGAAAGTTGAATGGTATATAAATTAGGATTTATTAAATTCGTTGTATTGTGTCTTTCATAAGATGTAAATTTGACCACAATAGGCATGTCTTTGATGTAATTGAAAGGCCGCTTGGTTTTGTCCAGTGGCTGATGGACCACATTAAATGGTATCCTGCCTAAAAGATGAATTAAAATCTAAGTCAAATAAATTGTTGATGATGTTAATGTGGATATTAGGTACCATTAGTTGAGGAATCATGAGTGTCATGCCCTTCAATAGAAAGAGACTCAGGCACAGCCAAGTTATCATCAAACTCAGCATCAGATCCTGCATGTGGCGATCCTGGACGTGTCTCATGGCCGTTATTAAGTGAGACGCGGTTTACATCATTCGCATTATTGCTCGCATCCGTGCCGGCGGCGGTTTCCATGTTCTGGTCGGGAAAAATGAAAACAAATGAGCGCTGGCAAGAAGTTATTTATAAACATAACCTTGGTGGGTTTGACACGAGAAATTAGAGCAAAACAGAACAGCTACTGGGAAATATTTCTATTGCAAATGTTTGTTTATAGGTAAAATAGTACATACGTTCTGTTACAATGGGCGATGTAATTTCCTGCTAGGTGCTGCAGAATTCCTTCACGTGAACCTAAACATACTGTTGTTTTTGGCAATGTGCGCGATGACTGCAACAAGTTGAACGGACGTTATCTAATACGTGTGAATAGCACCATGTTTATTGTTGAGCACGTTGAGCAATCGTAAAACTTTGAACCATTTGAACTGTTTTGCGTGGTATAATAAGTGCAGATACGTTCGCTACTCCAGTTAGGCGCACTTTTCAACTTCTACACAAACTAAACCAACGAACGTCGGAACTAACACTTGCGAGCCGCTCTATTTTATTCACTCAACACTCGAAATATTCAGAACATTCGGAACTTGGAAGACGAAGAATACAAGCGACAAGTTGTTGAATACTTTGAATGTAGCAGGAATGTTAGCACTACATTCATACAAATGATACTAGCTTTTCTATTTGCATTAAGGCGTGCGTCGAAATGTCGTCATACTTTTGACTTGCACTTGGAAAAAATTAAAAGGAAACTGAGTCAGCACAGCGCACTTACATAGCTGCCACCGGTACCAACGCGGCCACTGACGATATTCGATGTTTGTAATGCCGCGCTTTGCGCGTTAAGCGCACAGACACTCCCACCGTAAATAAAAATCCATCTTTATCTGTTGCTCAAAATAGGGTTTATGACCTAAAAATTGTAAAAGTCAATTGCTCAGTTGTTGAAATAATGATTGAGTATGCTCAATGTAACATGTAACATCTAGTTTATACTTTCAACTGCATTTTATCAATGAAATATAGAAAAGCGTGAAAAACTTTCACATAAACAGTGGTAATTTATTAATTGAATTGTAATTACAATTAACTTTTAATTTCAACTATAAATAAGTAAAACCTAGCGGAAAATAGAAAAATAAATGAATTATTGTCTCGACATCGGTGTTGAAAATGTATAAAATCGAAAAAGAATTGTTTTATACATAAATACGATTTTGTTTTGATATAAGCAGCACAAACAAAAGTTGTTGTAATTTTTGCAATCACCAATTCAGACTTCCAGTTAGTAACATTCATGATAGCGTTTTCGTATGCAAAACATGTGCATGTGCAATATATCATATCAATTTTCTTATCAGCTTGTTGTTAATATGTCAAAATAGACATTTACAATTACAAACAGTTAATGAATATAATCACTAAAAATATGCACACGAAAAGATTTTTAATACGAGTTATGATGTAAAAATTTAATGCCTGCTTATTTTCGTGGACATTTTCATGTCCTTTTGTAATAAAATATCTATTGTTATTGAAAAAATTTACATTTTTACTGCATTGTTCACGTTTTATTCTCTAACGATAAAATGATTACATATTAATGTTGAAACATTCAACGATAAAGTCACCTCATGCAAGTATTATACGCTTTCGTTGCCAAAATTCTCGCTGAAATGATGCTGATCTGTAAACACACAACCACTCACAATGAATAGCCACTCTGTCCCTTACACGAGTATACAATTCAAGACCAAACATCAGCAAGAAGACGCAAGAAAATGAAAGGAAATATTGACTGCAGGATGAAAATGGTATGTATGTGTAAATGTGTTCGTGCCTAGCGTCATTTGTGCATTGGAAATGTAAGGCACGATTGTGTGAGAGCGACAGCAGCAAAGTAAAGTACGAATAGCTCTCTGGATAACTCTTCCCTTTCCCTACCTCCTGTAACCTCACTGTGCGCATGCGTCGTGGAAAATTGACATCGTTTGAATTCGGAGCGGAGCGCGGCGCCCCCGGAAAATCGACGCCGGACGAGTTTCCCAACGTCGTCGCGTCCGCTCGTGTGGCCCGCTCGCGTATCGCTCCCGCAAGCCAGGACCAAAACGCGTAACGTGTGTGGCGACGCTTCTTGTAAATATTGAATCAAATGTGTACGTCGATTGTACAAAGCATTTCCAGCGCGTATCGGTGCGGAAAATGTGTGTGCTGTTGAGTGCGGTGCTAGTGCCATTGCTGAGCGGCGGGGCGGCCGCAGCCAGGACGTCTCAGGATATCGGCATCGACAAGTCCTGTAAGCACTCCACACCAAACCATCCCTTTTTTAGTAATGCGTTTTACGTAAGACTAACCCAAGCGCAACGTACAGGGTCGTTTACAGAATAATTTACCGTCAAATTTGAATGTGAATGGGGGTGACTGCCAGAATGTCTCAATTCGTACGCATGGCCCAGTTATATTTTATGTACGCACGCATTCCCAAAACAAAATACTCGAACAAACACTAGCAACATCCAAATGTGAGTGATTATTGTCGAAATCAATCAATGCGATACGATCCTCATAGGCCTCGCACGCAAGCGTGCATGTGCAGGTGAACCCTCGCCGCCGGAGGGAAAGTCAAGACGAATCAGGCATGTACAGGTACACAACCGTGACAGTAACATGCAGGTAACACAGAGACGGGTTTATCCTAGATGTATAGGGGGATAGCGCACGTTTGCATTTACATAACGCGCACCAGACCAGACGCCGCCACCGCCAACCACCCCGCAGCACAATTGGAATATTTAAGCACGTATAGCGTGTTATACCAAGCAAATCGTCTATGACTAGCCGCGACAGGGGTCTTCTATGATGGCCGATCGATTTTTGATATTTTTCCATTCGATGCGATGTTTGACTGCCCACTGTCCGATTTAGATGCTCAAAGAGCCACCAAGACATATCAATAACAACACCGGAAATGTCCGTTTGGGGAGCGAGGGAGCGAGGTGTTGCGTTACATAAACGCCACGCGGTTACCGTGTATGTAAAATATTGATGTGAACGCGGACGCCTAAAAATATATCGCGGGCATTAAATACACATAACGTATAATAAAAATTAACGGCGCGCGGAGCATGAAAAATCGCAGGAAGTGTTGGAAATGAGCAATAACAACGAAAAACTAAATTAAGTTTTCTGAAAGTATTACCGGCTTACGGAAAACAATGCAATCAGAAGAAAGAAAAATATACTCGCTTTATTTTATTATGAATAAATGTTATTTATTATTATTACGCACCCTATATATTTTTTGTAATTTTTTTGTGTCTTAAGCTTAGCCTGTAGCGAATCTAAATCTTATCGTGTTTTTCTTCCTGTTATTTCTTGGACCATTTGTTTTTCTCTGCTATTTCCTTTCTTTCCGCCGCCTCTTTGCCGTCGCCGCGAATTACAGTTTTCACAATTTACGAAATGAGAGGGTGCGCTAATAAAATTCAAGGATACTCTACACTCCATACTCTAAAACAAGATCAACCAAAAAGACCAAAAGGAAATGAACATAAAATTTCTTCCTTCTCATTTTATTAATTTGTGCACTTCTTGTTACTGAAACAATATGCGAATCGATTTAATCAGCACAGAATATGAAAATTGCGTCATTCGATTGCAAGATTCAACGCAGCAACGTGTTAATTTCCTGGAAGTGCCTTAACTAAAATTTAGTCAATCAACTTACGCGAATTTTCCAACATTATAAAATATAAAATGGTTTAAGTACCTATTTCAGATACTTAATAACCATCGTGTGCTTTGAGTGCTTCCTGTAACTTTGTGCACCACTTTATAAATCTTCTCGGGCTCCACCTGATTTATTTTCTTTACTTTTATTTAGCTATCTTGTTCATAATTTCTTATCCGCGATGAGATCTACTTTACTCATATTTTATTTTAGTTGGCTTGTTCGTAGTTATCGCGTATTAAAACTAGGAAACTAATAATTTATTCTTGGCTAAACAAAATTTAAAAAAAAAATCAAATAAACAGAATTTTTCATTGCAGACTTTTCATAAAATATTACACAAACCAAAGTAACAATATCCGCTTGATACGGCAGCAACACATGTATACTCGTAGTCAAATCGTAAATAAATGTGAAGCAATTTATTTAATTCCGTAACTGACTTACGAAACGACTGAACATTACAATGCGCTTTACCATGAGGCAGCCCACAGTCCACCCGCTCTCGTTTTGCGTTTTCATTTCCTCTATTTTGTTCTGGCGGGTGGTTATCACACCTTCCCCTCACGTATCATTCTGATTCGTTTTATTTGCATCGGCGTTGCGTCCGGAAGTAGCGCTGTGCCGATTAACAGTCCACATTCAAACTTCGAACGCGCTCGCAATGCATACGAGAGGTGTTCTACCGTCCTATCGCTTCCATCAGGTTTATCTACACCCTCGCACGTACTTATCACATGTGACCGATACGGCTAACTTAACTTTATTTGATTGTATGCGTTGGGACATGCTTGGCTGAATAGTTGCGTTGTATAGGTGCAGAATTAGAACGATTGCTCTGTGTGCCATCATGTGAACGTGTGGGTAGCCGGCGATGCATTAACGATTTAACCCCATTACTGCCTAGTGCCGGTTGTGCACCACATGCTTTGAGCAAATATCCAGATATATAGCGTTTCACGTCACATTAGGCTTATTATGAAATGTAATTACTGCGTGAATTATGCATCGTTGAAATATTGAATGATAAGTTTTTATAAACAGTATTTTTGTGTGTTTTGCACTCACGTAGCAGGAGATCCAAGAGGTAACTTCTAATAAACAAGATGGCCACGTCTCCCCGTGGGGGTAAAGCACCGGCAACTGGTCTGTCTAGTCGGATACATGGTGGAGTCATTGCACCTGGTTTGACTAAACCGGGTACTTCACACCGAAGGCAAAAACGTATGGGACCCGCACCGTTTGCTTCCTTTGAAGACTTATCCGATGAGGTACGTTCTAAAGTAAATTAAAGTAGAAGATTGGATAGGTTATTGTTGTTATAATGTAATGTTTTACAGTTGGATAGTCCTGAAGATAAAAATGCAGCCAACGTTGTTCGCCTGCCTGGAATTAGGGAAGATGCCACCCCATGCTCACCTGCCCCCAGTACAGGTGCTGGAGAAATACGTGCTGAGTTTATTTACACCGGGATAAGTCTAATTGGAGCACCATCAACGCCTACGGTGGCTGGTCGCACGCCGACTAGTCCAACGACCGGTGAGCCCGCCAAGAATACCCTCACCCCCCGCATAGATATCTCCCGAGCGAGTAGCAGTTCACATCACGACAGCAAAGAAAGCACCCCTGATAAGGAAGTTGTCCGAATCGGGCTGGAAGAGGGCGCCGTCGATCTGCGCTCGTCGACAGAGGAGATTGAGTTCGCCGGCGCCGCCGATCCGAGTAAGACCCAGCCTAAAACACCTCACAGGCAACCGCCACCGGTTGCACCACCATCACAACCACCGCCACCGCCACCACCGCGCGTCCATTCACCCCACCACGACCATCAACTGCACGAAGAGTCCTATCACAGTCATAATCGCAAAGACTCGCAGAGCTCCGAATTGGGTCTGTTATGTATATCGGGACGCACGTCACGCCTGAGCAGCATCGGGTCACAGGGGTCAGCGCACAGTCGCGTATCGAACGCGAGTCATTTGTCTGTCGTTTCAGGCACATCGCGTTCACCTTCACCGCACAAGATGCTGCTGGAGACATCGTTCTGCGGTACAAAACCTAAACGGGGTCAATTAAGCATTGACTTGTTTGAGGGTAAGGACCAGGACGAAGGGACCAAAGAGCTGGAGCGCGCGTTACTACAACGAGTACACGATCCCACGCAGGCGCTCATTGCTGAAGGAGTTGATATCACACCACAATCACCCAAGTCCGTTTCACGGTCGCCAATCGTGCACGAACCGGAGGTGATTATCCGGAAAGTGCCAATCGTGCTCTCCCCGCCTCAAAAAGCGGCTTCGCCGGTGAGTACCGCCGACGCGCAAGCGAAAGCGATTCCAAAATCCAAAGCTTTAAGTAGACCTCTAGATAAGGTTACAATTAAAATTGACAAGGCCGCGTCCGTGGAGGATGCTACCGATGACGTGCAGCGTCCCAAGTTACCCAAACACATCGTGTCCGAATCGGGCACGGAGTTCATATACATCCCGCTCAAGGGTCCGCTCCCTGATGACCCGCCTGGCTATAAGGAAAGTTCCTCTGCGCATGCTACAAATGGTGTGCACAGTAAAGTACGGGAAACCAAGTCCGCCAGTGGAGTCAGCTCCAAAGAAGGGAAGGAGCGCGAAAAACGTAAGTCCAAATCTGCGTCACCATCGCCGGCGATGCCTAGACATTATCAGTCAGCCGGGCCTTCTCACGCGCACAGGGGCTCGGCCGACGAGCCCAAATACATCCGCATTCGACTTAAACCCGAACACCTTTATGATGATTTCGATCCCAATGCTCAGAAATCGAGTTCACAAGCAGCAGACGTGCACAAACCTGAATCCCTTAACCTGCAGAGCAAATTTGATGAGATTACGGTATCCCCCGGCCAATCACAGCAGGCCTCCACTACGAAATCGCGATATCTCACGCACGAATCACCCAAACATAAGTCCCCATCGCCGTCGCTGTCGCGCAAATCCTCTTTCGCGTCGCTGTTCAAAAGTCGCGAGACGATAAGTCCGGACTCGCCAACGCCCGCGGGACGCAAACCACGTTCCAAGGAAACGCCCAATCGACGGAGTCGGTCCAAGAGCAGAGATCGTGGCGGAGGTGGAGGTCGTTCCAGCACTGAAAGTATCGACAGCAAAGGCAAATCAATGTTTTCACTCTTCTCGAAGCCGCGCAAGGCGTCCAGCCGCCAGAGTTTGGACCGCTCACCCGGCCCAGATTTACCCAATCTGGAAAACCTAGCTCAAAACATTCAAAACACCTCAAAGAGTAAAAGAACTCATTACGAGTCACCGCTGCAAGGCGAGAGCGTTCGCATTCCGCTACATTCGCCAACCTATTACGAATCGAAAAGTTTCTTCGAAAGTTTCAAGACTTCAAGCCAAGACAGCCAGGAGACTGTAATCGAGGTGAAGACAAACGCAAAGCGTAAGGACGAGCAAGACGAAGGTATAAGCGCGAGTGTGACAAGCGGGACCATCCGCCAAAGCAGCACGAGCAGCGAAAACATTGTGTTCAGCACCAAGTTAGGCAGCAATAATGACATCTTTTCCACAAAGCTGCCCAAACATCAGGAGATCATCGAAACGACGACTGCCATTGTGGAGTATGTAAAAGAACGAGTGACTTCGGATGATGAGGATTTTCTTTCTCGACGCATTAGACTAACATCCGTTGAAAAAGCAAAGGAAAAAGTTGAAACTCCACAAGCGATTGAGGTGCCTAACGAGGTCAAGGACAATGTAGAACAAGTAGTGGACGTAAAAGAACGAAGGATGAGCTCATCGGCCAGCGGCGATTCCCGTAAATTCCGGCTTGAAAAATCAAAGCGCATCGAATCCAACGAGCAATTACCGGTAGTTACTTCCACAGTGAGCATAATCAGCCTATCTCAATCGACCAGCAGCAGTTCGTATATACCGAAAAGCGAGAGCCGAAGTCGGATCGAACTTGATCACAAACACCAAGATGAAGCTGAACCTGTTGCATCCGGCGAGATTTCCCCGGTGTCGATTAGAACCTCTGTCTCAAGAGATTCCTCGCGCGAGAAACCATTCTTGCAGCAACAGAGCTCCGAGGATATTCCTATAATTGCCAAAGAGAAGCTCAAATTAGCTGAACTGAAGAAATCGGAAGAGCATTACTCGTCCGAGTCGGAGCGAGAAACCGACTTCGAACGACGTGAAAAGCCGCGACAGGAAGAACCGCTCCAGGAAATGGAACCGGAAAGAAAAGGCTTAGTTTTACAACAGGATTCATTTGAAGATGAGTTACCTTATATACCGACAACACTGCCACAAGAGCGCTCAATGGCGGTTCCCATCATACCCGTAAAGCAGCGCTCCAGTATCGACGTCAAAACATGCACTATTGAACGTCCACGAAGCACCACACCGATCAAACCCACTTTAGAAGTCTATCGGGATACTGACAAATCGACCCGCATCAGCAAAGTGGAGAAGTTGAAAATCTCTCTCCCCAAACAGGATGAAGCACAGCCCAAAGTCAAATCCCCACGAAGAAAGATCTCAGACGATGGAGGAACATTCAGTGCTCCGGTATCAAGTAAACCAGATTGGTTTGACTTTAGTAAAGCAGATCACGCATCGACATCAGTAACCAATCAAGAGGAACAACCTCCACCACTGCCACCCAAAGGAATGCATAAAGAATGGATCAACTTTGAAGAAATCCCTGAAAAACGCAAAGCTCCAAAACGTATACAAACAATACCAAGTCGAGGAAATATTGAAATCCCTGAAAATTTAGTACAAGCACAAGAAAACGTCATTTACACATATGTCAACCCTGAGGATTGCAAGTGCGAGTGTCACGAGAGACCATTGAGGCAACCACCCCCACCACCAGCACCACCGCCTAAATATGGACAGAAACGAGAGGTGCGTGAACACGCGGAACATTGTAGACAACATCGTGAAGGTGTCAACGACGAGGACGAGGAAGATGATGACCTGCGTGAGGATGAGATGCCTCTGTTGGACGACGACGACGATGAACGAGAAAGAGAGAAAGATCGAGACAGACTGAAGCCGGATAGCCGCAGCGTCATTAGGTATGTAAATTAGTTAATTAAAACACGCCTTGGGTGAGATAGGTGAGATGCACTGAATTAACAGGGGTGTCGCGTACGCCCGTAATATGTAAGGTCCATTTGGGGCGCTGAGAAATGCGCGTAAAATAGGGAGAGTGTAAAGTGTGGAACCATAATGAATGAGAAACTTCTGAAAGCTCCCGTTGTGTTTGTTCGTAGCACTAGGGCTTTAATTATCAACTGGTTTCATAATAGGGTTACTATAAAACAAGATTTGATAGATTTGATCAAATAGGGTTTCAACTTCTAGTAGTTTAGAACTTTAAAACAGATTGTCAGGTGTGGGGTTCGAACCCACGCTCTCTTTCGAGAACCAGAGCTTAAATCTGGCGCCTTAGACCACTCGGCCAACCTGACTTGCCGGATCACCTAAATTGGTAAAAATAGACAAAATTTATAAGGAGATATTGTTTAAAAATGCATAAATTGCTATTTTTATATGATTCACTCTTAGAGGTAATAAAACTAAACCTTGTGAGAGCACACAGCTATAAAGTTGTCAGGTGTGGGGTTCGAACCCACGCTCCCTTCCGGGAACCAGAGCTTAAATCTGGCGCCTTAGACCGCTCGGCCAACCTGACATATTTGGAATTCAAAATTGTTGAAAAGAAACAAAATTTTAAAGCGGATATGGCCAAAAAATGCATAAGCACCTATTTGATCTGATTTATTCGTGAAGGTTATGAAAACAGTTGATCCCGAGAACACAAAACCATAAAATTGTCAGGTGTGGGGTTCGAACCCACGCTCCCCTTCGGGAACCAGAGCTTAAATCTGGCGCCTTAGACCGCTCGGCCAACCTGACTTGCTGCAGTATCAAAATTAGTAAAAAGAAACAAATTTTGAATCAAATATTGATGTAATATGCAAATTTTCTTATTTTTATTCGATTTACTTTTGTAGGAAATAAAAACAAATGATGTGAGGATAATCCACCATAGATCTAATCACTTAGTACTAATTTTTTACTGGTCTTTGACCTTTGATACATCATTAACTAGCCTTGGCTGTAGCATTAGCCCTATCCCATTTCTAATTGATTTACTTCGTTCGTTCATTCGTTATTTGATTAATGCTCACCCGCATCGCATCTACTCGTAAGATGCTAGAATGCTGAGTGTGTTTTCTCTGTGGTACCAGCCATCTGCCACTAATATAAATTAGACTCTTGCTGAGCGGCACGTCCGAATGACGTATGTCTTTAACGAAGGAAAATTAAAGCTGCTTTCGTTTCCTGTAGCGACTCCTCGGTGGACCTCAGCACGGCGTCGCACGCGCACGCAGAAACTGCAAACGGCACGGCCCGCACCGGCGTCGGCACACTCCAGACGCCATTCACGTCTGACCTGGGCGTCTCGTCCGGCAACAGCAACAGATCCAGCATCATATCGCAGGTGACTACCACTACTACCACTACTGCTAAGAGTGCAACCTGTAAGAAGCCCTCTGCGGGTGGCAAGCGCTCCGGCAGGAAATGAAGACGTTTACAAGATTGTCCTGCAACCTGCAACCATCCCCTTTTTCTGTATGAACCTCAGTATCAGATCGATCCGGTGTTTGGCTAATCTAATCGATTTATCGATGTCGTGATGTCGTTAATTGCCTGTTGAATTCTCAGTTTGCTTGTTTCCTTGTTTGATTGGTTTATTGGTACCCACTGAAAGCGAGTGTTGACTAATGAAATTTCGTTATCTCTTCTAAATCAGGACGAGCAGACGCGAACGCCGGATTAAAAGGGGGCAGTAGTGTAGTCCCCGACATGCGCACGGGGGTGTCTAACTCAGCCAAAAAATGCCTTTTCCTCTAATTGTATAAGGGTCACATCAACATCCGAGCGTACACAAACATCAACACCACCAAAATCAACCGAGCGACATTGCAAATAACTCATTCGGCGACCATCACTCACGAACATTTCTTCGTCGGCATCAAGAGACCGGAACAAAATCTCATAACGTGGGTGTTACACACGTATCAAATGCCATAATGACATCGCAATGTCACCACACAAATATACCCACCTACGGATTGAATAAATAAGTGATTCGAGTATTCTGCAACATTGTAAACATTGTACAAAAATCAATGCGAAGCATTTGCGTAAGAAATAATCGAATTTCTATGTCGGAAATCGACGCCAAACTAAACTCCACTGTGTAACGCGTTTAATTAAGTTTCGTTATCAGAAGTTATAGCGCTGTGGTGCAGCGACTTGCGACTTGTTTCACAAAGTAATGATGTAAGCTCGCACCTAATTGTAATGAAATACGAAAACGAAAAGACAAAGCAATCAATTAAATGCGATACTATTTTTAGCCGACGATAGCTTGGTGTGTGTCGAATGTGAACGCTGGCGATAGTTAAAATGAAATTGTACGTTTTTTGATTCATCATTTACCAATACATGTAAATTGACCACCATACTATATCAGAGTGATGTATTCATTTTGGATAATGGTGAAAATCACAGTCACAATCAAATTTTATTGCATTAAGTGTTACAAAAATTTGCAAAAATTCAGATCTTTGGCAAGATGAGTGAAAAGAATTATGAAATTGTTAAATATATATGATCTATCCATCCAACGACAGACAATATACTTTAATTAACCGCATTTGGCTTGTTTTTCGTGATTTTTTAAAACTTTGGGTAAAATATTTTGTAAATTGAAGAATATGCCATCCATTCAGACAATATTATCTTCCTTAAGTAACTTTACACTTGAATTAACATAAAATTTTGTTGTGACTGGATTGAAACAAACAAAAACGTAGACATTGTCGCAATTTTCATGAAATTGTAATTCGAAGTAAATTGTGTTTTACACTTTTGACTAAATTTCAATAGTCGATTGTCAGCCAATAAGATAAACGTAAAATGATAAATGATAAAACCTAAAAACAAGTAGAAAACGTTTATCAGTGAAATAATATCTATTTAATATTTCGATGGCAAGTAAAATTTAAATTAAAAAAAAAAACTGTACACAAAGTAATAAGCCCGCCCGTTTCCTGAACAATAAACGCCTTGAATGTGTCAAGTATGTAAGAATTTAAGAGTTTCTCTATGATTTATAAACAAATTTTACATTTACATACACGCATTTAATATATTTATTAAAATATTTATTAAATCATAATGAAAATTCGATAAATAACAATTTAAAATACGTATTTCGCAAATGCGTAATATTGTCGAAACTATTTTCATCCTATAGAGTTAAAATCAATACTCATTGCATTAAACACTCATCCAAGTTGTTGATAAGCCGAGCTATGAACTATGAAATGTACTTCGACTTACATGTAAGATGAGATTCTCTTGTTACTTGCTAGGCCTACATACAACTACGTTTGATCAATGTTTTTAGCCTGCAAGATTGATGAGTTCGCAAAGTGACATAAAAGTAATGGAATAATGAAATGCACGCGCGAATGCAACAAACATATACAAACACAAATGAGCAAATGGTAAACAAAAAACATGTTACTACATATTATTACAATTATTGTACTTGTTAAATACTATTATAATTATTATTACTTGATTACGATTACAATATTTATACGTAAATTAAGAATTTATTACGATTGTTATCGACTTTATTGCGAACGATACAATGTTGACAAAGGATGAAATTATTACGAAAATAAGTCTCACATAAAAATAAATTTATTACATGGGCAATCAAAGTGTTTGCTTTGCGTTGGGTTTTATAAAAATCGTTGAGGAACCTGAAATCAGAAACTGTGCGTACTGATTTATTCATTATTTTATGCAATGTAATAAAGGATGCTTTTATGTGATACTTATTTTCATCTTTATGATAAATATACTTGCAATTTGTGTAATTCTAAATTTTGGTGAAAGATATCAAGGTACAGTTTTTGTACGAATAACGCCAACAACAAGTATTATTTCATCGACGAATATTCATGCTTAGATTCGTAGAGGTTTAATTACATTTTAATACGTAACAATAATCGTTTGCTTTTTTATATTCAACATTAAATTAATCACTTACGTTCATTTTTAAAGAGATATTTATTTGTACACTGAGTTTTCGTAAATTTGAGCAAAATAATTTCAAAAACATTTGCAATTGCTCAATAAAATAGCCATTGACTGTATTTTGAGTTTACAAATACACATCTCTTTAAAAATAGATTTTGGGTGCTCTAAACTAATAAACAAACTGACTCTACGAAAGCAAAACGCTGAAACATAATCACTGACTTTGTAAACCTGTCAAACTCTGTCAAAGTCTGTATGAACTTCAGTAAGAACTTTGTAAACGTAAACTAACTCGTACAGCTCACAAATCAGAGCAAAACGCAAGAAAATTCTACCGCAAAAATTAACAAAAAGTTAGCTCTTTATCGATTACAAACCCAAATAGCTAAAAAATAGCAATTTATGTAAACTAAAAAGAAGCATTAAACGAAAAGAAAAGAAAAATAGAACGAATAGAGAAAGTATTCAATAAGAAAACAACAACTTTGTAAAGAAATAGCAACAAATGCAAAGATTATTGACTGTTGTTGCTCTTAATCTAATTGTCATAAAACTACTTCGTCTTTTGACGTTTCTTATGATAAACATCGCTCGTAACGAAACATTTTATCATACCGATTGTTAACTACTCGTACACCAAAAGTCGCGTAGTTCTTTTTCATGAAAACACTTCGTACGCGACGCCATTTTACATAAACGAAATCACATTCATAACCGGCCTGCTGGCGACGAAGACATCAATCCTCACAGGATGTGTTTCTGTATAAAGTGTTTTCCGCGAGTGACTTTTTTGCTCCGCTTTCGGTTCCTTGCTGCATAACAGTATTCTCACTTCACTTATCGATAAGTAACATGCATACCTAAGCTAAGTAATAACTTACATATGATACGAACATACACATAACAAGACAACCTATCAAAACCATCATTAATTAAAACAACCCTACTACTCGTACGAACTAATCAATAACATGACGCCTGCACGCGCGGCAAGCGGCGCACGCAAATCAGATGAAATAATAATAAAAAAAAAAAAACTACAAAAAAGAAACAAAAAGCGGACGTTTGTTATCTAGTTTAATGTAAAACTAATAAGTTCTTTACAAATAAAGTAAAACAAATGAAAATCACTTAATGTATTTAAGAGATACAAAAATATGACAGATTTTATTGTACAGTATATTATTAAATACTATTAATATTATCTATAAACTCCAAGAATACTATATGAATGTTTATTAAATTAAAAAGAAAAAATGAAAAATTAAAACCCTTGTGATTTGTTGTTCCTATGCCGAATTATTTGTTTGCGCTGCAGTACGATGTAAAATTGTTACACAATCTTGTCGTGTTTTTATCTTATTTTTATCGCTTGGTTTCCAAACGTTCACTTGCTACTGACTAAAATATTAAAAATACTGCATGCTAGCGACACCTAGCGGTGTTATAACGTACCTTTTATAACTCCAAATCTAAATCTTCTTAATTTTCAATTTAATCCATTATAAAATAACAAAAACCAAAAGAAATAATACTTGAATTTGATTAAACATGTACAATTGCATAAAATGTACACGAATTTATCATTGCTATCGCCTAGAAACTTTAATAAACTACCAAAACTTTGTTTCATTAACATGTATGACGAACCAATGGGCAATCGCCACACAGGTGATTCCACCAACCGTTGCCTACCGGAGCCGGCAACCGAGTTTATAACATAACTGTATCGAATTCCCCACCGAAAGCCAAAAAAATCGCGATTGCTTGCGACCAAAAGTGCGTACGTCGTCAACGAACCGCGCGATTATCATTTACAAGGCACCGCACGTTTTGACGTTCCCCCACAGCTGTTCACTCCGCATTCTCCACATGTAGCAGTATCTTCAAGCACTGACGTGTACCTGTAAAATCGCCGGATCTTCGCACTGACGTGTTGATAAAGTTGTGTGTGGATGAGGGAGGCAATTTGATTAAAACATTGCACCAGTCTGCAAACAACAAACACGTTGAGCTGTTTACCTAGCATCCGAATTGAAGGTAAGATTTTTCATATTGATGACACTGCAGCAAATACTTAACCTCACATTTAGCTATAGCCGAAAGTATTACTGTTTTTAGTTTCAGTTAAAGTTTTATGTATGAAAGTAGATAATTAGAGCAGTAATTAGGAGGAAGTAGGCCAGATAATTGCAATTTCAAATGTTCAACGTGCGCGTAATGGAATTTTCTTGATTTAACATATTGTTCAGGAGATAATTAATTTTTTTATTGTACTAAATTAAATATTCCATATTGTTATAGATGAAGCTTCTTGCTTTACTCTTCATCCTTCTTGGCATCAACTATGCCAATTCTCTAGCAGTCCTCTCAATTGACATTGGTACAGAATGGATGAAGGTTGGCATAGTATCCCCTGGGGTTCCAATGGAGATTGCGCTCAATAAAGAATCAAAACGGAAAACTCCCGCAGTCCTCAGCTTCCGCGATGACGTGCGCTCATTTGGCGAAGACGCACAAACCGTCGGGATTCGTTTCCCTGCAAATGCGTACATTTATCTTCTTGATTTGTTGGGTAAAGATATCAATCATCCATTAGTCAAACTCTACCAAAAGCGATTCCCTTACTACAATATCGTCGAAGATAAAGAAAGAAATTCAATTCTTTTCAAGCACGACGAAAACACATTCTACAGTCCACAGGAATTAATTGCGCAATTGTTGCACAAAGGTAAAGAATTCGCCGAGGTAAATGCGCGTCAACCTATTAAAGAAGGTGTTATTACCGTACCTGGTTATTTCAATCAAGCTGAAAGGAAAGCTTTGTTGGAAGCTGCTCAGCTAGCTGACATCAAAGTTTTACAACTTATTAATGATTACATGGCAGTTGCTCTCAATTATGGTATATTTAGAACTAAAGAATTCAATGAGACCGCGCAATATATAATGTTTTACGATATGGGCGCTACCTCCACGACTGCGACAGTAGTAAGCATGCAGAATATCAAAACAAAAGAACGTGGATATGTTGAAACACATCCACAGATTTCAATTATTGGCGTCGGTATTGACAGGACTTTAGGTGGTTTAGAGATGCAAATTAGGCTCAGGGATCATTTGGGAAAGAAGTTTAATGAGATGAAAAAGACTCCGAACGATGTCTTTAAAAATCCACGTGCGATGGCAAAACTTTTCAAAGAAGCTGGACGTGTTAAGAATGTTCTCTCGGCTAACACTGAAATCAACGCACAAATCGAAGGACTTTTAGATGAAAAAGACTTCAAGACACCTGTTACTCGAGAAGAGTTTGAGAATATGAATGCTGATGTGTTTGAGCGAGTTGCTGCGCCTGTTGAGCAAGCCTTAAAAAGTGCTGGTTTAACAATGGATATTATTAATTATGTTGTGCTCGTTGGTGCTGGCACGCGAGTACCGAAAGTTCAGGAAAAATTGCAGCAGGTGGTCAAGATGGATCTAGCAAAGAACTTGAACACTGATGAAGCGGCTGCAGTTGGCGCTGTTTACAAAGCTGCTGATTTAAGTACAGGTTTCCAGGTGAAGAAGTTTATCACTAAGGATGCTGTGCTATTCCCGGTACAGGTTGCGTTTGCGCGTGAAACTGAAGATGCAACGAAACACGTGAAGAGGATGTTATTCGGAGCGATGAATCATTTCCCACAGAAGAAGGTGATCACATTCAATAAACATACTGATGATTTTTCGATTAATTTGAATTATGCTGAGCTAGATTACTTGCCAGCAAATGAAATTGAATATTTGGGTAGTCATAATTTGAGTACGATTGACATTAAGGGTGTTGCTGACGCACTGAATAAGAATACCGGTGAAAATTCGGAGAGTAAGGGAATCAAAGCGCATTTCACTATGGATGAAAGTGGTATCTTGGGTTTAGCGAATGTGGAGTTTGTGTTTGAAAAGAAAGTACAACCTGAGGCTGAGGAAGAAGGCGCGTTCTCGAAGTTAGGAAGTACAATTAGTAAGCTATTCAGCGCAACTGAAGACGAAAAACCTGTTAAAGAAGAACCAGAGGAACCTGCACAGGAAGCAAGTGCGGAAAATAAAACTGAGGAAGCAACAAAAACCAATGACACAAAGAAAGAAGATGGTAAAGCAAAGGATAAGGAGTCAAAGGGTACGAAAATATTATACATAATATAAGTATACGATATTTATTGATTTATTTTAAATGTTGTAGGCAAAGATAAAGAAAAGGACAAAGACGCCAAAGAGAAAGAAAAAGATGTCAAACCTAAACTTGTTACTGTGAAAGAGCCCCTCAACGCAATTGAAACTACTTTAACTTACGGTAAATTGACTAAGGAACAATATAAAAGTAGCACTGAAAAATTGAAGAAACTTAACAAAATCGAGTATGAAATGAACCGTCGTGCTTCAACCTTAAACAACCTCGAAAGTTATGTTATTGACATGCAAACTAAACTCTCAGAAGATGAATATTCGGAGGCAGCTACTGCCGAAGAAACTAAAAAGATCCTTGATGCTTGCTCTGAAGTTTCTGATTGGTTATATGAGGATGGTATGGATGCTGATGCAGACACCTACGAAGCTAAATTAGATAATATTAAATCAATCACAAACGACATGATGACCCGTGTATTTGAGCACAAAGAACGTCCCGAAGCACTTAATGCTCTCAATTCTATGCTCAACAGTTCTCGCCACTTCCTAGACAACGCAAAGAACTTGACAAAAACGTCAAATCCAGAGAAAGATGTTTTCACAGACATTGAAATTGAAGCGTTGGAGAAACTGATCTTAGAAACCGAGGAATGGAGGGATAAAAAAATTGAAGAACAAAATAAATTGAAAAAGTATGAGACTGTGAAGCTCACTGTCAAGTCTCTTGTAGATCATATGCAGGCGTTAGATAGGGAAATGAAATATTTAGTTAACAAATTGAAGATTTGGCGTCCGCGCAAGCCTGTCGAAGAGAAGAAAGATGAAAATAAAACAACTGAAGAAGATAAAACTAAAAATGAAAAGGCAGAAGAGAAAGTAGAAGAAGAAAAAGAAGAAGAAATCAAAATGGAGCCAGAAAATCAAGAGGAGGCACCAGAAAAAATATTAGAATTAGGTGAAGCAGCCGAAGGTAGTGATGAGAAAGTAGAACCGACCAAGGCGAAGGATGATGATCATTCAGAGTTATAATTTAGGATTGTAGGGTATTTAGTTCAATTATCAATGAAATTTCAATTTCACTGAAGCCATCAGAGATTTACATTATCAGGGCGAAAACTATTCAATTGGTTTTTGTTTTGTGAAAAAGACTTAAACAGAGGTTAATATAAACGAAAAGAAAGTAAGAGAATTCAACTACCGGGCGATTTCAGACTGCTCTAAATTCAGTGGGTGTGGGGAGCCATCATTTTGCATGTATGTACTTCTTTTTTCGACGACAAGCAACCACTTAAACTGACGAAACTATTTATGCACATTGCGATTGATTATACAATTCTGGATTGAAGCAGTGGCGTTTGTGATAACTTCTTCGATGTTAACATGTTAATGCTGTTCAGATGTGTGAATGAGAGTTATACACCGAGTTAATTTAAAATAATTGGATGTACCGTCAAGATTAATTATTAGTTTCTATGTCTTGTGAGTTAAAATTAATGAAATTGTTTGATTAAAATGCTTGCAATCACTTAACTACGATTTGTGTATGGTACATCGTAACATTTCTTGGGGTTTGTTGTTAATTTAATGTCTTAATGTCAACTGTGCTCACGTGTGTCAGTCTTTTTCTAGTTTAATTTATTGAACATACAAAATGCCAAGCCCAAACCATTGTAAACGCAATATTTGAAATCATCATGACTACATTCCAGCGACTTCTTTAATTTGTAAAGGAAAAATCAATACACATTGAAAAAATTGTTAAATGAAGAAATTTATTGAACCAACCTCGTTATCGGTGCATTTCGTATCAATGTTTGACAACAATTCATTAAAAAAGAAACAATTTATTCATTATCAGAGATAAATTATTACAATATTTAATAATTATTAATTGCAATCTTGTTTAATTGTCTGGATGTTTCGTTATAGACCTTGAAATTAGGCATTTCTCATAATTATTCTGAATAGCCGCCATTTTCTTCATTATCAATTAAAACTAAAATTACTCAATAAAACATAAGGACTATGTTAGTATCACTAGTTGTAAACCGTTCATTCTCTCGTCAACAAAGTGAGTTTGCTAAACATAAAAAAGCATTGAAAACACTAAAATAACAAGTGTTTCATTACTTTGTTTAATCTGATAAATATGATATATGTTTCGGTTAATATAGTCTCAACTACGTCTAGTAACGCGATCTTAAAATATCACAAAATCCTCTTTTTTACACGGTCTAGAGCTATACAGTAATAACATCATAGTCACTTCTATCTGCGTAACTGACGCTGTTTCTGTTCTTTGAAAGATTTCGCACTGCAATCGTCCTCGAACAGGATGGCAACCAAAAAGATATCCGCCATCATTAAACATTCGCAAACCTTAAGTCACAATCAATAATTGCATCTTGGCATATAAGTCTGACGAGTTAATAATGTAATTATTAGGCAGTAGAATTTCGGTTTGCAGTTGTGTGTTATAGGTATAGTTTTCCAAATAGATAGATTACTTCCGCTGCATACAAGCGGATAACATGTAAGTATCGAATACAATCGGTAACGTTCCACGCCATGTTTTTATCTGCGTGAAACTGGTAGTGTAGAATGAGTTGGTTGGTGACTTCAGTTCTTGCTCTCTGACAATTTCTTCTTGCAGTCGATGATGATTTCGTCGCCTGAACGTATATTGTAGCTGTAGAGTTGTTTGTGCGGATATTTCATTTCTTCTGGGCCATGATCGCGACAATCTTGGTCAACATAATACAGCCTCATTTTACCGGCTGAAAAACCAGCGAAAGACTCCAGCTTGGATTTGAGATCCAAAACTGTGCGATAGACATCGACACAGCGTACTTCAGTGTTTGTCCCGCAGACGAATGTCACTTTCACACGCTTCTCCGGACGTAAATCAACACTTACGAGGGGATCCAGTTTACCATGGACATTCACCAACTCAATGTACCTGAAAGTTTAATAATTAAAACATTTTTTTAGGTTAAAAATTGTGGATTCTTGCAAATTTACCGTTCTGGCCGGTCCGACTCTGGTTTCTCCATGTAATACCGAATGAAAGCCCTTTCGGCGTCTTCTCGTTCATCATGACCAATGGCACCTCCACCATTCAGTACCTCTACATTGGGTAACCGCGCAATCATTAATTGACGACGTTCATGCTCGGTATACTCAGTACTTTCCCATAATGGGCAACCCTATTACAAATCGGTTTTTTATTATAACATATAAGAGTTTATATTTGGGTAATATGTTTATTACCTGCATCCTTAAACATTGTAGGCTTGGAAACAACGCCAACCGCTCAATTTCGTCCCAACTGGATAACTGCGTACCATTTAAGTTTAAAAACTTGAGTGTTTTGAATCCATCATGCGAATAAACCGAGTGCTCAGCTCCGTTATGATTACCATCTTGGTCGGCGGGACGATTAAGAGTCTCTATCGGACAGTCAGCAAGCACGAGATACTCCAAATTTGGGAAAGCATAACCCAGCTTAGAAATTTCCGTCCAACACTGAATTGGATTGCCATTGAAGTGCAATTTCTTAATGCCCAGATGCTTGTGGCGTTTGTATTCACTCCCCAATTTGGGGCACGTGCAGTTGGAGTTGGTTTCTACGTCCGATTTAGCGCAGGACGTTAAATTCACATCTTTATAGTCGTTGAGGCTCAGATGAAGCTCTTCCAAGGCAGGAGAATGGTCTAGAATCTTATCCACGCTCTGCCAATCAATTTTGGTTGAGTTCAACACCAGGTTCTTTAGATTGGTCCATTTGATTGGCATTGAATCATGCAGAGGTTCTGATAGTTGATTGAAAGACAAGTTGATGAATTTCAAACGTGGCATATGTTGCAATATCCCAAATATCTGTATAAAAAGAATTAGTTATAGAAAAGTATCATTTTTATTTTTAATTGTATCACCTCTAGCCATTTATTGAGTTTGTTTTTAGCCAAATCCAATTCTTCTACAATGGCGCATTTATCATTGAGAGCATCACGTTCGCCGGCAGTGGTAATGTCGCAGTCGTTCAGGACGAGTAGTGCCGGTACGATGGCCCGAGGGGGACGGCGTGGCACAAAGATAGACACGCAGAGTTCTTCCTGCTCGGAACCATCCGACTCAGTGCTGCACTCATTTCCGTACTTTTGTTCTATCGCTTCCACTAGTGATGGCATCTTGATTGTGATTCTACTGCAAACAATGCATAATCAATTTAGTTTACACTTCATATTCAATTAATTTTCATCTAATTTATCGCCTGATTGATTGGAAAAGTTAGCACTTAACATAGTTCTAGTTTCACAAGTGATCGACCCATTATTTTATTATTATGCGAGTCAATGGAGGCAGACAAAAGATTGAAGTGGACAGAAGCCAGTTACGCATTGATGCTTCAACGCACGCGACATATTCACATTCGAGTGATTGTGACAAGTTGCGCCTGTGTTCCCAAAACATTTTTTTTCTCGTTTGCGGGTCCGTCTATTTTGATTTGTTAACAAGACCGTGCAAATCGTGCAAACGGACGTCCTTCGTCAGCATCAAACGCATTGTATTTCCAAACGTCGCAGCGTCCGCAGCCGTTCACGAAACATTATTGCATTAACAACTTAGAAACTGAGTATACAAAGTTAAATTGTTATGCAATAGTAGAATAATTACTTACTATATCTTACTAAAATAATAAATTGCAGTTGAGAGTGTATTTAATTTATATTTAAATTGTTTCTGTTATTGTTACATTCTTCAAATTAACATAAAGCACAACACAATACGTAATAACTTCTTTGCAATATGTTTGTAATTATAATATACTGGTTTATTCGCAAAAAAATGGCAACTGTATACAGCTACATTCTTTAATGGCATAAAAAGTATGAAAATGGTATTGCAAATGTGGAACAAACAAAAAATTGCATGACATAAATATCTTTAATTGCATATTTTGAAAGACATTCTTTAAATTAATGCGTTTCCGTTTTAAATTGAAATATTACTTTCATTTTTAATCATTTTAAACGCGGAACTATAATGGTCCTCAATATTAAGGCATCTTGTAAGTATTTTTATTTAAAAAGTGCATCGTAGCACCATCTAAGGATTCTTTTAAAATCCTCAATGATAATCAACCACAGATTAAGGTAAATGATAGTAAGTCCTTGTTTGTCATTTGTATGTGGCTGTGCGTCGTGCATGTGTGTCAGTGAATGTGTTAAGTTAAATAGAAGATTCGTGTCCGTGTGAGTTTAAGTTAACACTGACACCAGCCGCTTGAATGCACTATCCATGTTATTTGAATAAAATAATTTTATAATTCTTTCTAAGATGGCACTGGGATGCACTTATTTGCATTTAATTTATCAAGAAATTCTTGGAACCGTGATTGTCGTATCAGTTGTTATTGTTGTTTGTTGATGCCAGTTTTGTTAAATCGTGAAACACGTGAGTGTGCCACTATATGAGTTTCTTGGGGCAATAAGTTAAAGGTAGGAACAATTTAATTATTCTAATTACAAAATAACAACAACTATTATACTAACTTGTTACAATCACGTAATAATTTGATATTCTGCATTCGCAAACAAGAAGTATTTTATATTTTTATAAATATGATAGTAGTATTTGCATATACATAAACAAAGAGAGATGTAAGATGCCCAAATACGCAATGTTGTCATGCCCATTTACGTGATTGTTGTCTGCAAACTAATGAGTTGAAAGGTGGAAGCAAAGTAAAATAAGAATGCGAAAAACGTTTGCTTTGCGTACTTGAAAACCTTGACTAATTAATTACCACCAACAAAAAGATGCGACATTCTTTGTTCCCACTACAAGTCACAAAAAAAAAAACAAATTCACAATTAATTTTATTGTTTTGCAAAAGTAAAATTAAAATTAAAATGAAATTAAATACTTTACAACACAAATTTAAAGTAATAATTAAAATAATATGGGAATTAATAAATTCGAACAATTTTATTACATTTTAATGTTTACTCTACATATTTTTCATATTACTTAACGCGCATATTAAAAAATCCTTGAATTTTCGCACCAATTGAAGTAATACTTGATTAATATGAAACTACGCATTTTCCACACTCAAATATACTCTACACACATTCAAATTATTCCAATTTAAATCGCACGCTCGTTTCAACTCATCAAAAACCCTGAAACTAGCAAGCGTCTAATCAAACACGTGTGGACGATATAAACAAACGCGTAATTCGCAATTCGCAGTCATTTCAAATCTCACATCATCAGCCGCGACTTTATTTTCGTCCGAATATTTTAATTGCTGCTGCCGGTTCGGCTCGGCGGGCGACGTACCAACGAAATGTTATTACACACGGGCGCGCATAACACGATTACACAAATTGTAATATATCTCTGTTCCAACCAACTTCGAACGCGACCTTCACCCGCATTCGCGTCGGCAATTCTATTCCTATTCCTATTCATAACATTCGGGGCCCCGACGAATTTCTGTCGAACGCAACATTTCAAAACGTTGCGTTTCAAGCCGTCAAATGTCAGATGGAAAGGTTTGTTTATTGCCGTATGTTTTGAACGACGCTTGATCTTTTCGGCAAACTTCATATATTGGGTTAATGTCTTTGTTTGGAATTTAATTCGAATCAAAAATTAATAGAATAAATAATGAAAGTGATAGTTCTTTTGTGATTTAAGTATTTAAATAAAAATCAGTTCAATATTTTCTGTGTCAGATGTGACGATTGCGCGATTTTAAAAACCCGAGACTAGGAAAACATTGCGAAAACGTATTGCAACAGGAGGAGGCGCGTGATGCCTTGATGGGTATGACCTATTTAATCTTCAATGTAGACGTTAGATCGTGCTTATTTGTTAAAAATGTTTGGCTTAAACCTCCTGGACTACATTTTCTTTTATTAGTATGAGTGGCTTTTGAACAGACTTAACATACTTCCAAAAGGATTAGAAGCCATGGAAATAACGTTACGTGTAAACGAGGTGCGAAAGAGGTCTAAAAGTATAATCAAAAAATCAAAATTTTAAAATTAATTAATCGTGACTATAGAATTTAATCATAAACATAAATTTGATTTCCATATATATGCGAAATTTCTTTCAATCGTTTCCTACATTTCTTCAACGATAATTATAATCATGCGCATTGCGTACACACAATTACCCATAATACGAGTATACCAACGATTATCCTACAATTGCCGTCGCCTTCATACACATCATGCACGCGTTACCAACATCAAATTTACTCTTCACTTACAAGATCATTAACAATCACCAAGTATACTTAAGTATGACTAGTATGGTAGTACATTCTTTAATTTAAAAAAACGCACAATTTTCATAATTTCCCCGAGAATAATTTCTCATTCTTACTCTTACTCGCGAAACTTTTCCATTTCTTCAGCGCGCAATTCTCAACATATGGTAGTTCCTTCCTGAGCACCATTTGTATACATCATTCGTAATATTTATTATGGAAGTGAAGTAGACATGCTGTGCGCATGCACATAATTCAATTTCTCTCTAGTTTCTTATAGAAATACTTAGGTTTTCTACGTTTTTCTGAGGCTGCAAATTATTTTTAGATCTGTAGCAGCAACAAACCAATTTTCTTTCCATTCAAGAGTAGATATTCAAAAGTTTATATGTTAACAGGCGATTAAAGCAATTAGTTACCGATTAAAGTTGAGAAATTGTGAAAACGATGATTCCATGTTTTGTTATTTGTGTACATCTCGTTAGAAAGAACGCGAATGGCCATAAAACTATTTAGAAATCTCGGAAAGAATACAAAATTCTACGAAATTAACTATAGAATATTTAAAAAGTGCTAAACATTTGCTTTTAATGTTGATTCCTTATATCTAGAACAAGTTAATTGTTTTGTGTTACATTTGGAGTAAATTTAATTTAATAATTTGACATTTCAGTATTTATTATCTAGATCTGTGATAAATATATATCTCTAGTCCTACAATTAGTGACACATCATTGATACGTATCTATATTGCTCGCAGGATTGCCCGAGTACACTTAAAGGTGCCTAGCTACCGATAATAACGTCGGCGGCAATACAATAATTACAGTAATATTTAAACGAAAACGAAAGTCTCGCGTAGAGTAGTACACCTTACTGAAACACACTGCTATTACGCTCGTTACTCGTAACTGCCGAGTAGAGTGTGTTCCCTCATGGAACCTGTGAGTAGTCCGCGAGTGTTTATTATCAACAAATTCAACGCGACTTGCCAAGTTGCTCGACGCTGTCGGAGCGTGTAGTGTTTTGAGCACACACCAAGCTAAGCTGGCAGGAATGAGCGAGCATTCGCTATTCGCATTTACTAGTCGCTACAATTTATTGCGCATTACGAAATCTTCATAATGCTTAACTGTACTCAGTGCGCATGCTCATGCGCCTTTGCTTGCACGACTTTATAGCCATAGCCTAAGCTATCTAAGCGAACAGAAAGCGAGGAAACCATACACAGCGTTCAAAGTAATAATGGTATAATGTCTAATAGTAATAATAAATAAACCACATCTTGACAATTGTCTGCTTTGGTCTGTGCTACCGCCCAAAAGGAGCTATCAGAGGTCTATCGTTCCTACTAAAGGCCACCGTAAATTCTAAGTTGATTTTTCTTGCTGCAAAGTTAAGAGCAAAAGAAAATGTGAATGTAAAAAACGCCAGTGTATTATAAACAAGTCGCGAGTCGCCTCAACCGACACCGAAACAAAGAGACAACGAAGCGACGCAAACCAAGCATATAACAATGCAGTGAAAACGGAAAGCCGAGCACGCGCACCAAGGAAAAGCAAAAAAAAAAACTTAACGCAAACTGAACGTTTCTTGCCGTGTATCGTAAAAGAAGTAATAAGTTAGCTAAATGAACGTGCGCGAACGAATCAACGTGTGCGCTGATTGCAGGTTAGCTATTTTCCTTCCTTGATGTTACTTTGCTTATCTGTCTTGCTTAGAAAATTTATTATGCATTACCAGTTATATTATTATAATAAAATTATATAAATTCATAACGTCTGCAAAATTTAGCATATACAATTATTACGAAACACTCGGTATATATAGGATATGCAAAAGTAACTCGTGCGTTGCGAAAACTGAAAACCTGCAAAACGTCCGCCTCATAATGTCAACGATTTTTTTTCCTATCAATAACTGTGCTGTTTGTAACATAAATATTAATAGTCTGAATATTTTCTACTTGTGTGAAATATATTGCGTATTGGAAGCGATAGTATAAACTGACATAATTGTGAGTGAAACCAAGAACGGAAATTGCACTGGACTAAACGTTTTTGGATGACTCCAACACCGCGCTTCGCAAATACACACGCAAAGAGTAAAAAAATAAACGAAATCGTGTGCAATGGTTTTACATATTAATTACGTTAAATTGTAATCGTATTGGGGACTCACGATTTTTAGACCGTGTAACGAGTGAGTTACAAAAGCGACGATTAATTCACAATTAATTATGCAATTGGTAGTTATCCAGACAGTGAGTTAACCGAAATATAGTTTAAATAAATTTTAATATTAAAAGTAAAACTTTGTGTATAATATTTATGCATATTTACCAAATATGACATATACATCTGTTTTTATCAGAAATTTTTTTTGTATGTCAATAACATTTCGTTTTATAATTAAAAATATTTTTAACTTTTGCTTTTTTAGATTTTTTTTAAATACTTTTATTTTTAACCACTAAACGTGTCATTCTTTGTTTTCCGCTTGATTATTTCACACTGTCTTGAGTGATTGTCATTAGCTTCTCACTTCTTTACTTCAATCAGTCACCGAAACGTCTTTTTAAATCTTACCATTCTGACTATCGCAATCTTGGTGTTTTGTTTTCGCTTTGTTACGTATCTACATAATAACCACAGATCTAGAGAGTGAAACAAAGCAAGGTAATAATAATGAACAACGCGTAGAAAATACTTAGTTGTACGGGTGTGCTTATTTCAATGGTTGAAAGTGAGACAGTAGAAAAGTGGGAACAAATTAATCCTAGAATACCAGAGAGTGAGTGAGAAAGTTGATGAGATGCAGGTATGTAATCAGTTGTACGTAGCAGGAGGATCCTATGATTGGTGAAGTGAAAATCGGCGCGTGTTGCAATGCGATACCGAAAACGCAGCGCACAATTATCAACGCTTACCCAATACTTTGATTTAGATTGAGGCGTAACAAGGAACAAATTGACGAAGTCAGAATTGAAAGTAAACGAAGAAAATTGAGATTAAAATTAAAATTAGTAAGTTTCTAAGTGCCAAGAATGTTAATAGTTATTAATCAATTTCTAGAAAACTATTTAGAATATTTGGGAAATTTTATATAGTATAAAGTATAAAAATTGGGAAAATAAGAAAAATCAAAAAAAATGTATAACGAAAAAGAAGGAACAGGAAAAATTTTTCTCGATTTTACAATTGACCTCTTCCTTTGTCAATATACTAATTAATAACGTTATGCAGAATCAATATAATACGTAATCAGGTATATCTTAACTCAATTACATTATAATTCATTAATAACAACCCCTTCTTCCTGCTTGTTGTTCTTGTGGTGGCTTTTTTCTACCTTAAAGCCGAAAACAATACCGTTACGGTAAAACCTGCGTAAAAACAAAAGCCGCACGACTTCCATTGTGCTCCGAGACAAAACTAATAACATCAATAGCTTTCACAGTGTTCATCGCGTACGAATCGTATTAAGTACGACATTTTATTTTACAGTGCAAGCGAATAGCCCAGATGTACGTATACACTGAACTCTGAACACCGGCTGAGCAGAACTATTAAATACAAATACATATGAGTAGATTATTGCACGTGTGCCGAGCTCAAAGCGCTTTTGTTATTTTGTCATGGTTGGTAATGAGCGGTGATGATACGTGCGACGTGAACGGCATGATCATATACATCGCATCACACATCCTCAACGATCAACATTAACGTCTTTCCAGGTTTCTACGTATGGCAAAATTAAAGCGCAATTTGTGTTAGAGTGTTGTATTTCTGTCGGGCGCATTGAAAAGTATAGGCGTTTATAAACAGGTCGTAAATAAATAGCATTAGTCGAATACTCATCGCTTAATAAAACTTCTAAAGCTGGTTCTGGTGGTTTAAATGTGCAATTACTACTCTTTTAGCTATGAGAATAATATTTGCGAATGTGACTGTGTGCTGTGTTTGTCCTGCACGTGTTTGTACTTTGTTTGGGTGCTTTGTTCGCGTGAGCACGTTCCACGCAACAAATAACGAATGCGAATGTGTGCGCGAATAAAATGTAAAAATAGTTGAGTTAGCTTGGTAATAAAATAGGAAAACGTCCACACACAGCAGCAACAACAACCAAATTGCAGAAAACAAAGCAATTAAACTTTAAAATGATCATACTCAGGTGGTTAATTGTTATTTCCAAATATTTCTCAAATAACAACGAAATTACACATAAACTGTGATTTTTTTTAGGTATTGTTATGCGACAATTTAATTTGTTGACTAGACCACGAAATACAAACCAAAACAACACAATTATAAGTGAATTAATGAGTCATCTTTTGGGATAAATAGATTTTATAATAATATAGTACCAAACATGGAAACTTAAATAATTACTAATATTTTTATCTAATTATTAAGCCACTTAAACTTTGCCTGAGGCTTGCGCAATGCCACGTAAAACAAGTTTAGATTTCTTTTTTGTTTCTATCAGGTTTGGCAGCTTTTTCATGCGTTTAATGTGTTGATTCTTCAAAGATTAGCGATTAGATGAAATTTCAGGTTCAAATTAACATTGTAAGAGCTGTATCCTTGAAGAATAAGCTACGCACATAATACGAACCTGATTTAACTAGTTTCACACGTTGCTATTTTTAAGATAATATTTGCTTTATTAAATTGGCGTTTTTTGCGACTTATCGATCCGTGGTCGTGTTTAATCAGCTGATTACATTATTGTGCAATAGATTTTGATATGTATCGAAGTAATAAACACAGTAATGTGTAAAATCCATCCTCAAAGAAAGTAAAATCAGCGCATGTCGATTACACACGCAACATGCGTGTCACATTTGTGCGGGATGTGTTGATAAAAATAAAAGCTCGTACAATTACGCGCTCGCATTGCGTCCGCGTCCGAATTGCTCATAGTTAAGACGTGCGAAGAGCAATTTATTTTCGCTCATTGCATTTCGCAATTTGCATAACGCACAACACACAACCGCCAACAACCGAGCGCTTTAAATAAAACATTTCGAACCTTTCAAATCGATACGCCGCGCACAAATCACTAAATGTAAATTTAAATTTAAATTACAATACTTACATAATATGTTAATCCTGTTTTATTATCCGTTAATTGCGTTCACAATGTTTCCCATTGAATTGGCTGCCAACAAAAGACGATAAAAATCACGGGGAATAAAATTGTCCAAACACGCGTGTATCCTTGAATTACTTCGTTTTCAAGGATTCAAGGCGATTTTGTCATCACAAACACGACGCGCATGCACTTTATTATTTATACTGTCCTTCTCCGCGCTGTCACCATAAGAAAAATCAAAAAAATTCCCGTTTTCACAATCCACCGCGTATTTATATGATAAATTAATTATCGTATGCATAAATAGCGTAGTTTAGCGTAGACAAGGGATATTATAATGCGGAGGCGCGAGGACGCGACCTGTTTGTTTTGCTCTTCCTGCAGGCCGCGCGCGTGTGAATGCACAATATCGACCGGAGCGAACGGAACAAAGCTTGCTGCCTGCTGGCGGACCCGACCGACCGTACGCCTGCGACGCAGTCAGCTGCCTGCCGTTCGAATCGTGCGCGCGCTCGCCTGCAACCAGCAGGCTGCTCGCAGGTTTGTTGTTGTTGTTGTTGCCACTCTCCGATCAGCTGTGCGTGTTGATTTCCGTGCGCGTGTTGGTGCGGCGAGAGCGTGTCGAGGGCACCTCAGCTGATTTACACTGCCGCCTCAAACACTTCTCTCCTCACTTCACCATACCTGTTTCTGCTGGGTTTGTGTGAGTTTTCTATGTGAGCTAGCGCAAACCAGCTTTGCGAGAAATGTAGGTACTCTCGCGAGGCAAAATCACTTTGGCCGAGCTTGGCGCATAATAACGCATTATGTCAGTTTTTGTTGGGTTTATGAATCATCCAAGATAAAAGAAACACTAGAATAGCTTTTAAATGATTAAGAGTGTGATTTTCATTGAGGTATACTGAATTATTGCTTGGTTTTTCGTATTCTGTGAGTATTTAGAAAAGAATTTTTATTAAATTACGTTTTTCTTCATGTTTTTTTACTTCTTTTACTAGTAAAATTTCAAATAAAACACCAGGGCACAATTTTGCTGGTATTTAAATAAATTTAAACTACGTCGCAATTTATTTGAGTGCAAAAACCTAAGAAAACATAAGCAAAATAAACTAAAATCCACTTAGATTCATGGCCGTTCGTGTAGTTCGTGTCATGTAGGTACATGGCACACGTTTTCAATATTAGATATTCGTCATTAATTTATGATAATACTTCCAGCATATTTTGACGCGCAATTTTATTTCATGTAAGTAAAAAAATATATTAAAAATACAGCAAACAAGCAAGAAAATCGTTATTTTCATAACAAAGCTTGTTAGCTGCAATTGCGGAAGTTGTTGACACATTGCTCATTCTTGTGCACAACCATGCAATTTTTTAATTTGATAATTATTATTACTCTACATCGCGCTTCAATGCGTGCGGTGCGCTTGTCTGGTCAATTGCAGTTGCAATAGTTTCAATTGTATTTCATGCGCAAGTTTTAATTTTAATTGTATTGATGTTGCCTTATGTTTGAAATGAACAAAAAAGAGAATTTTTTTCACATTGCTTGCTTTGGAATGCTTGAATATTTTAAACCGCAAATAGAAAAAGGTTGGTGCGGAAACTATGGAAAACTGAGGAAAATTCAATACTCCCATGGAAACAGTGAAGGCGCGATACGAAATGAGCACAAAATTAAACGTGGCCGAATAGAAAGAAACCGGGAACTTCGACTGGAGTGGAAAATGAAGTCTGAAACGTGAAACAAATCAATAGTTATGTCTACGCGTCTTAGCTAAGTGTAGTGGAAAATTTCCTCATACATTATTCAATTTCGTTTATGGAATTATCAACAATAATCTCTTATTTTACAGACAATTTTGTGTTTATCAAGTTTTCACAATGTGTTTACACGTGTTAATACTGTATTTAAGTAATATTTAACCTTTTTGCGCATTTGTTACCATTCTCCATCTTTGGTTGGAGCAAAATTTAATCTGCATATAAATATAATTCACTTATCTATGATTATATGATGTTTGCTGTTTAACACGTCTGCGTGATTAAGTAAATTGACGCAAATACGAAAATTAAACATACGACTTGACTTGCAACATACATTTCGCAATAATTTAAAACTTTGTCTGGTCTGGATGGTTAGGCACAAGCACAATCTGCGCCATTCGCCCACGCGCGCTTTTATGCTTTATATTCCCTCAAGGTTGTTAGTTGGGAAGTGCACGGTCGGCCTGCATTGCAAATTCGAAAAGTAGACGCAAGAATTTGCAACACACAACGCTTGGAGGAGTTGAAGGCTTGAAATTATAAATTGAGACGAATGAAAAGAACTGCACTGAACCACAAAGTCAATAACATCCGTGGAATCAGGTGGGTCGTGAATGTTGTAATGATTTATGGAAATTTCCACTGCTGATGATACTACAGTCGTCTACAGCTCAATACATACAAAACCTTTTGAATCATCAGAGAAATATTTCAAAAGGAAGTTATAATAACACATAATTTCAATTCTCAGCAATATGACATCCTTCCTAGAAGTGATCATTAAAAATTCTACTCACGTTTTGTTGCTTTTTGTTGAGTTCCTGTAGAAATTCCCTATTTAATATTTTGCAATTAAAGTTCTTGATGATCTTTATGAACAAACACAAAAATAATCACTTATACTCTTGATCAGTGTATTTTAACGATTGTAATATTTTAAGAACAATTAGAAATATTGCTACATATTAATGATGAATGATCGAATTAAGAATACACAAAACGGAAAATTTGAAGTTTGTACGTCGAACTGTTTAACTGACATTTTAAAATTATAATTATGAAACTTATACAGCGAGGCTCTCTATGAACGGAAACTCAAAACAATTTCATGCTGAAAATTGTTTTCTACTTGGCGTGTACGCGGCGCCACATAGTTTAAAACTTAAAAATAATTGTTGATTAAACAGCGTTCCCTCGCTCTCGTCAGCTACAGGATGATTTCGTCAGCAACAAGTGCTCGAAATTCCTGCTGCCAGCTGAAATGAAGGTCATTACACACCACGCTGTAGTGCCGAGAGTTTATCGTCACGGTAACATAACACGAATCAACACAACACTTCGTATGTGATAAAACCCGGTAGCAGCACTGCACTCAAAAATGTTTGCGTTCAGTCGACTACAACAAGTCCAACATCTTCGACCGGTTTGTCTTCGTTCCTTTTCGACGAACATGGGATTGAATAATTTGATTTTTCGTCAGGTAATATTAGATAATATCAAAAGTCTACATTGATATATAGAAATATTTTGTTTCTTTTTATTGATTTCAGTTGTTTGATACAACAAGCAGCACATATACTTATCTGCTTGCTGATTCTAAGAATCGGGAAGCAATTCTGATTGATCCTGTGATTGATCAGGTGAAAAGGGATTGGCATTTGGTGCAAGATTTAAATTTAACACTGAAATATGCAGGTAAAAATTTATTTCTAAGCAAAACGTTAAATTGTTCATGTTTGGTGTTCGATTTCATGACTGTTTAAAATAGTTTATTACTAATATGCATTGAAATGCAATATCTCTACTTCTAAACAATTGAAACGTGAACAAATAATGAACACAATGACTAATAAAACAAACATTGATATACAACTGTAAATGTCATAATAGGTGTTTGTATCCATTGCATATTTTATAATTGCATTACTATCAGTTTTGAAATAATAATTTGAAATCGATACTTCTTGTAGTGAACACTCACATGCATGCTGATCATATAACTGGCACTGGCGAATTAAAGAAACTTTCTGGTTGCAAAAGTATTATTTCGGAAGCAAGTGGAGCTAAAGCTGACATCTACGTCAAGGAAAACGATGTAATTCACTTCGGTGAACACAAAATTAAAGTTTTAGCTACTCCAGGTCATACTAATGGTTGTGTCACATATTATTTATCTGAAGAGGTAAATTAACTACAATACAAGCCTAAAAAATCGAAAAATTGATTTTGTATTAATTTTTTATCAGAGTATGGCATTTACTGGTGATACTCTGTTGATTCGCGGATGTGGACGTACTGATTTCCAAGAAGGAAATGCTGCAAGTCTCTATAATAACGTCCATCAAAAGATTTTCACAATGCCCGATGAAACGAAGTTATATCCAGCTCATGATTATAAAGGAATGATGAGCACGACTGTGGATGAAGAAAAAAGACTTAATCCGCGTTTGACGAAGAGTCTGGATGATTTTATTAATATTATGGACAATTTGAACTTGTCATATCCCAAGATGATTGGTAAAAATAACAGTAAAGGTTTTTTATTCGTAAAATAATTTAATTTTTTTGTTAATAGACAAAGCTCTGCCAGCCAACAAGGTTTGTGGATTGTACGAAATTCCTGAGGAGATTGCTGCCAAAATTAAGTAAGATAGAGTCGTCGAATGAGACAGTTATTTATCGTACTCAGATAACGATTAATCACTTGTTATATTAGTGTAAGACTATTTTTTGTTATAAGTATATTGTAGTAATATATCACCTATCATTATTGTGAGCAAAGTCTGTTAAGAATAATTTTGTTAATGTTATTATTTACTTTATATCTGTAATATAATATTTTTACGTTCATGATGTACACAATGGCTTTGAATTTCATAAAATTGGTTTAAATGTAGCGGGCAATTGAATGTCAAACATTTGAAATCTTTGTGGTGAGTGCGCATGCGCTATGCAAATTGGCGCCATCATGCTGATCATTTCACAACATTTCAGAGTTTATTTGAAACGGTACGTTTCTAATCGTTTAAAAACTGCCGAAGTGCAGAATTGTAATTGTAGTGACTACTGCGTTAGTGTAGCAAATAAACAGTAATATTAAAAGGTGATTATTTCAAAAGAGCATGTAATTCATTATATTATATTTCTTTAACACTTTACGCGTCTATTCTAACCTCACTCAAATCCGTATAATTTCTATTTATCATAATTTCTGCGGTTTTAACTGAAACAACAAGTTTTTGAAGTCTGATTTACAGATAAAATGGAACCTCTAACTGTACCACCTTCTCCGAATTGGTACGAAACAAAAATCGCTATCTGTGCGCCAGATAACACGTTAATTTATGGCGCTAACAGTTCTATCGTCATTATAAAACCGGCGCCCAGTAGCAAACCATCAGATATTTCTGTAATTTCATTTGCGCATTTGGATCGAGTGCATGCTTTGGCCATGGCTCCTACATGGAATGAACAAAATCGCATGATTGCATCTATTGCTGATGACAAACTTGTGAAGGTTTGGAACCTTCTTGATAACACATGTGCTTATTCACACAAAGCACACGCGCAATCCAAGAGCCGTCCGGTTGGTGTCGCATTTATTAACGACACTAAAGTTGTGTCTGTATCTGAGGATGGATATGTGATAGTATGGAAAATGACCACAAATGAATTCACACCACATAAGAACTTGTTGGGAATGAAAGCTCATGTTACAGCTATTTCAACTTGTCCACATGCTGGCTGGCTTACAGCATTTGGAATGAGGAATGGATTAGTTGTTGTTACTGATTTGAAAGGCAAGTCATCAAATTTCCTCTAATATTCCAGTTGATTTCAAATAATTTTTCATAAACAGGTCATGGCAATGTTTTATATAAACTAAGAGCACACGAACGCGAAGTACTTGATTTTGCTTGGTGTCCTAAAGCAGCCAATGTTATTCCCGACTTGATATTCAAAAAGAAATCAGAAGCAAGCAAAGAAACTTCAGGAGATGGTAAACAGACTGACAACGAAAGTGAGACAGACGAACCTAAACAAGATGAGTTTGTAGATGCTCAAGACACAATTGATGCAATGCCTGCAAATGGTACTCATATTCATTGTGCACTTGATTCACAGTTGCAATCATATGAATCTCAACAAATTGGTGCTATTACATCTCAGGATGATGACCATGTCACGATTCCTACACAGGTTCCTTCTTCATCTCAGCCGCCACCACCTAAACCGAAAAAGGCCAACCCATGGGCAAATTTAAAACATGCTGACGACGATGAAATGCCCCAGGAACCAGAACCTGCAGTTCAAGAAGTCCTCAACACAACGGACGATTTTTTGAGCGAGTGTCTTGCGTTAAAGGCGAGAATTATTGAAACTAAAGATGAAGAAGTAAGTTTTAACGATAGTCTTCCACTTGATGAATCTATTGAAAGCAAGACGCCTGTCAGAAAGATTCTACAAGCAACGCGTGTGAAGAAAATAGAGAGTAAAAAAGTTATGGACGCAGCTGGTGATGCGCCATCCGCTGATATAGTATCTGATCTTCTCAGCGATGATGCTACTAGTTCTGAAACAACTGTAAACGAATGTGATACTCCTCCAGCCGTCGAATCGCCTAAACCTGAGTTCCTATTAGCTTCCTCCGCACGAGGAGGACACATTGTAATTTGGCGAGCGGGTACGGATGGCCGTGTACAGAGAAGGATGCGATTGCCTAAAGCTAAAAGTCGTGGTGGGTATGGACGAAATAATAATAACAACAATAATATGTGGCTTACAATGCATTGGATTGCGCCTGAACAATTATTAAGTTGTGGAGCTTCTGGTGAATTAATGGTTTGGCCTGTTTCTGATCAAGACCCTAAACCCAAGTTGATTCATAATGATCATCCGAAACTCTTTTGTATTACTTCTCCGTATTGTCACGAACGAGAAAATTATTCCAAATGGGAGGACTTGGCTGCATGGACGATTGGTCAAGATAGAAGTATTTTGTACACTATGTTACAGAGTAGGATGGTGCTAGCCTGTTATCCAACATTTCCCTGTCCGGTTGTGACTTCTGCAGCGTCACCAATTGCGCCAACTCGTGTAGCGTTTGGTATGGCTGATGGTTTCATTCGAGTTTGGGATTTGAGTAAAGAAAATAATCAGTGCATTCAGATGATTCAAATCAAAAGTAAAGTAGGTGGAAAAGTGATGTCAATGGCATGGCACACAAGCCAAGAATACTTTTTGGCTTTTGGTACTCAGGACGGGTTAGTAGGTTTTGTAAACTGCGGCCAATCGAAGAAACCACCGGTTTATTTCGCGCAACATTTCATCACGGCGATTTACAAATTGGAGTGGGCACCAATCCCCAACAAACCTGTGGATAAACACGGTTTATACTGTTGCGCCGAAGGTCAACTCGCCGTGTACAACTTCGACAATCCTCTGATAAATCCGGTGCTAGTGCAAACGCCGACTAGCGAACGGGTAACAAATTTTGCATGGAAATCCGATTATAGTAAGCTAGCGATTGGTTGTAAGAGCGGAACCGTTTACATTTTGGATGCGCAGTATGAAGTTAAAACTACCTTGTATTATCAGAAGAAAGGTATCGTCAGCATGGCGTGGCATTCGATACAGACCGCGGAAGATGAGGAAAAATCGCCAAACCACGAGTGGCTTGCTTCAGCGACTGGTAACGATAACACCGTTGTGATTTTTGACTTGAGTAAGGTAAACGACGAGCTCTGCATGAAGGAAGTCATCGCTGGCGAACTCTTCGGACATGTAAAACCAATAAATCAGGTATTCTGGAGTCCGTATAAAAATGGCATCATTGGTACTGCTTCTGAAGATGGCACCGTCACTGTCTGGAGCGGGATGAAACCGATCAGTACCTTTTTGAACAACAATGCGGATCCAGTTTTTAGCGGCTTGTGGAGCCCACTCAACGAGGACGTCATTATTTCGACAGGTAAAGATTGCTCCATTAGAGTGTGGAATCTAAGGAACCACCCCACCAAAGAACTGAATGATTTGGCGGCGCAGACGCGTTCAGCGCGGAAGAAGAATCTAAAGCATTTCAGGTCTCAGAAGGAGGAAATTGAACTGGAGGTGAACAAATCGAGGCGATATCCGCTGCTGGCTGAGATTTCCGCGCGGCAAGCGAAATTGGAAACAGCCACTGCTGATTGCCATGTTATGTTCGAGCATTACAACAGACCGAAGGAGGAGGTAGCGGAGGATAATTTAATGCTGAAATTGTTTGGAAATCCGAACTGCATTAGCGAAATTATCGATGCGCAGAAAGATGTACACCGATCGAAAGGGAAGTTTGCGTTGGTGAATCATTTGCAGATGTGGTCGGGGGATGTTGGTGAGACTATCAAGAAGGCTATTACTGACGGCAACTTAACTCCTTGGCTGATAAGTGTTGCACCAATGATTTCCTTCAGGTAGGTTTACGTTGTTAAATTCTACTGAATTGCTTCGGTTATTCCGACGGTAAAATTGCGGTATAAAGTTATTCGCGAGTCTTGAGGAAGTGTATTATTATTATGAGTTTCGTACTTGTGTACAAATTTTGTTTTTCGTGAAACACAAAAGGTAAAAGTTTTGTACGCTAAACTTCAATTTATCGCGCATTTCGAGAAGCACGAGATCTATCGAAACTTTTACGGAGCTAATTAATGATGATTGCTTCCTTTTTCTTCTGCTTTATGATGATTGTAGCCCTTGCTCGAGCAATCCATTGTTTTTTGCAGCCTGTGGCAAGAAGCCGTTGAAGCTTACGCCAGCCAATTAGCCGATTCGACTATCAGCGATCCGGTGGAAATTGCTTCCTACTACTTGGCGCTTCATAAGGTCGACGAGGCAATCGATATCCTCAGCGTGAAGCAAATGTACCGCGAATCACTGGTGCTCGCCAAATTGAAGAAGCCGGACGACACCGATCTACACAAGCAGATACTCTCCCAGTGGGCGAGTGCGTGCGTGATGACCGGCCAGTTCGAGATCGCGGCGCAAAGGTGAGTTCTTATCGCGCATTTGCAAATCTGGCGTCCCTTTGCGACCCTCTTTTCTTCGCTCGCCAACACCTTCATCTGCACATGCTGATAGCGGTCCTAAAGTGAAGTACACGGTAGTATAACCAGGCCACATTCGTTGCGTGCTTGTTGGTCCGTTAATATTTAACTTTAGCATTGCGGCAGGGCGGTTGTGCGCGGCAGTAAGTCTTCGCAGTCAGGGGAAAACGCTAGCTCAGGTACTTCTTTGCGTAACTCACTTCGGGGCGCGTTCGTCGTTCGCAGGTAAAAGTACGCGGAAAAGCCGTTAAAAGTTTTTAACTTTCGACCACATACTTTGCGCGCACGCGGGGTATAGGAACTCTGGGCTGCAGACAACCAGGGAGCGTCTTAAACTTAAAGGCCAAACTTTATATAAGCGTTCGTATAAAATAGTTACGCGTACTTTTGAATAAAAGTACTGACGAGAAGAAGGGCAAATGCTTTTGTGCTCAACGCGATTCGCTTTGCATGAAATGCTTTTGTTTTGATAAGCTGGAGAAAATGCTACGCAAACGTTTGAAGTAAACATTTCAAACATTTGTTTTTGTGATGATGTCTATAACAGCACAGGTTTTTTATATGTCTACGAAATTCTCTAAAACAAATATAATTTATAGATATTAGTGTTTGATGCAATTAAACTTTGTAACAAAGTAGAGTTTGTGTTTCGATTTTCTCGTTACGGCTGCTAATGACGGCCCTCGTTTGCAATTTACCTATTGTTGAATTTTTTTTCAGCTACATTGCCCAAGGCCAGTTTGAAGAGGCTGCAAAAGTGTTGTACCGACGCAACGATGAACCATCACTCGCGTTCGCTTTAGAGCTGGCACGTTTCACCGGAAACGATACCCTTGCTAATACCATTCAGTATAGGCACGACGTCTTGCAAGCCCAGGCGGAAGATAAAGTGCAGTTGCCATCGCGTATGGAACTGGAGGTGGCGAAGGCGGAACGTGCCTCTGAGAAGGCCGAAGAAGGTAGTACCGAAGGGGTGAACGGCGATGGCGATGATATTGATAAGAATGCCGATAGTGGTAATAACGAAAATGGCAACGGCGATATCCACGTCGCGGATCGCACGAACGGTGGAGAGGAAAAGACTGCCGCATCCGATAATAGAGAGGTCGATGCTGCCGATAATGAACACGTCGCGAGCGCAAAAAGCGTTGTCGTCGGCGATGCCATCGATAAGCAGCGCGAGGAAGATTGCAGCGAGGACATCACGTCATCTGCCAATTAGATAGTATTTTGTGTTTCGGCGCTTCAAGAATTTAAAGCGAAACTTGTCACTCCAGCGACTCATTACAGTTGCCGAATTTGAAAGGCGCAGAATGCGCATATTACGTTTACGAATTTTTTTTTTCTTTATTTTCAAATTCGACATGTTACGTTATCGTTTTTTATTATTCAGGGCTCGAGCGGGCCCTGTTGGTTGGAAACGCTCAAAGTGAGTACTCGTTTAGTTATTCACGTATTTTTTTTCTGCCTGCATTCGTATCTACGTGCCTTCGTTTACTCTTGTTTTTCATATTTTATCGTTTTTATTACATTACGAGAAAGGAAAAGAATGAATATTTTTCTGTGTTGTTTGTTATACAATGAATATCGAAAACAAATGATGGGTTTGCATTTGAAATATGGAAACCTGCCTCCTCCAGCGGAAACCTCGATTGTGCGTTCACTCGTTTGGGGACGGGGACACATCCAACTTTATTCATGGGGATTTGTAGGCGCGTAGATCGATTTCCCTATAAAGGTGTAATCCGCGCAAGGGTCGCGCGTTTACTATGATAACTGAACTGTCGTAAACCGGCAGGGCAGATTTGGCAGGGCGCCTGTGATATAATTCAAACGAAAGGATCTTGGTGCTTAAATTTTGAAATTAAGGTCGAACGGAAAGGTGCACTATAAATTCCAATTTGAACCCTCAAATGGGGAATTGAAAGCGCAAAATTAAGACCGTATTATTTTCAAAGTATTGGAATTATTATTGCGTTATCGACTTCGGAATTAGGAACAAATTTTCGGATTATTAGTCTACTAATATTTATTGTTTTCTGTAAGAGGTGCCGGTTTTAAATCAAGAGTTATTGCGTTTAAGGTACACGTGAGGAAAGTTTAAGTTTATGCGTTTCGTAGAGTTTATTTAATCCGAAATACAATGCAATATTTTAGATTAAATCGGGGTCAAACTAAATTCGAAATCCTTTTAAACTTTTTCCATCGTATCTGTTTGGTTACGCCACTGTTTACTACAATTTGGTGTTAGTGGACGGTAAGGGGGCGGGAGGCGTCCATTCGCCGGGGCGCAGCGCCGCCACGTTACCGTTGCGGCCGCACGGCGGTGTCGAGTCACTGGCGGCGGGCGTACGCCGGCCCGGCGTCCGCGTCGGCGGATCGATGGCGTCGCATGGCAACGTCCTTCTACTACGAGTCATCACACATCCACTCGTCGCCGTGAATTGCGATTCACCGAGCGCGCGGGGCACTACTAAACCGCTCTCGAAAGCCAAATGCGGCTGCCTTGCCGGCAGTGGCGGCGGCGGCGGGCGCAGCACAATTCATACCCATCACGCCACTCCGCACTTACTATCTCTCCGCCGACGCGCACTCACACTGCCTCCGGCAGCGCAGTGAATTTTAAAATACTACAATTTAATTGACTTTGAATGAATGACATGTAGAGCGGAGTGTGCGGCGTACACATTTCCATATCGTCAAGTATTTATCCTATGCAAATTTTTGAGTTTCCTTGATTTTGATTTTTGGCATGCCAGCGCGTCCGAGAATTTAACGAACTGCCACCCCATGCAGCTCATAGCTCTCTGTATCTCCATCCAGCTTTTCGTTTTCACTTGATCACACCCAATGTAAGAATGAGAATACAGAATACCTAAGCGGAGAAGCAGAGAAAATGCGCGCATTTTCAAGAAAATGCTTGCAGCGTGAGGCGGCGGGGGTGGGGACGCAGAGGAGCGCACGGAATTGCGGACTCGCCGCGGAGAATGAGGCAGCACTTTTATAAGGTTAGTGAATTTATTAAATTTTGCTTAGCTAAGTCAGTTGCCGCGCTCTCGAGGGGAAAATGGTTGGTAAAAAACGAGCGGAAAAATTCACAACAACCGATTTATAATAGCATCGAGCGACGACTCTTGCTTGCCCCCGATGGCGGCAGCACCCTCACCTCCTCCCCCGTTTCCACCCATTCTCGTCGGCCTACCGCGCGCGCGTTATTTATCATGAAGCAAACGAAAGCTTTTCTGGTTTAGCCGCATATCGAATGCGGGACGCAACGCACAATGCAAGGAAATATTTCGCATATTTGGAAACAATACGCGAGGCCACTGCTGCCACGCGCACGAAACACGGAACGAAACCAGGCGCCGGACCCGAACCGATGGCGAAGGCGGCATTTCCAATTTCTGAAGTTCCAGCAGCCTTTCAGAGCGCGCGTGGACGGGGCATGTGTGCGATGCGAAAACGCGATATTAATTTCAGAAATTCCGGCGACCGCGTTCGGTTGACCGGACGGTTCGAATATTCTTTGTTTATACCGGCGAATGGGTTGCATTAAGCGTGCCCACTCTGCCGGGGGCACGTTTTGTGAGAAATTTATTTGGTGGATAGAACAATAGATCATTCAGCTTTTCCATTTGGAATTGCGAATGGAATTTTTGAGGGAATTACTGATTTATTGTAATTAATTGATGTTATAATCATTTTCTGAATGGTTTAACATCAATATGATTTAAAAAAGATTTTATTTTTATTTCCGGATGTAAAAAATTGCGAAAACATAAACATAAATTGCAATCGCTTGCACAATATTTTTTATCCATCATCCCCTTGTGGATACAATTTGAATAACGAATCTAAATACTATTGCGGGAGGGGCCGGTCTCCCTCAACGCGTTTGCCTTCCGGCAATTTGTAATTTCGATTGCAATGTTGCGAAATAATAATATCAGGCGCGTCGATTTGATGAGAGTTTGATGGATGACGCCGCTTTTGTTGTATCGCGGCGCGGGGTCCGCAAGCCCGCTAAGAAAATTCCAGGCGCGCTGAGGGTGCGAGGGCGCGCACACACAATCAAGGAATCGCACTTCTGTACGCCGCCGCCACTGCCGCGCCATGCGATTCCAGTTCCAGCAGGACGGGAGCAGCGGGAGGCGTTGAGTGCGGCGTGCGTGCAGCGACGAAGGCATTCGATATCCCCACGGCATACGCGTGCGAGGAAGACGCGCGTCGGCCGCCTGGTTGCGGGGGCGCGCGGTGTACGGCGGCGTGCCGGTTAGAGCGTGCGCACAGTCGTGCTGCTAGGTGGAGCCAGCCTCAGTCACGATCAACACCCATCGCGGAATAAGTTCAAGTGTGTTCGGGCGTACCGCTGTACGGGCGACTCTCTGCGTGTGCCGTTGCAGTACCAAGCGCTCTAGCCAGTGTGTCCGGTCGAATTACTAAGTAGTCGGTGTGCAAATCGCCGATAATCGCGCGTACACTCCGCCAGGAACTGGGATTTTTACCGACTCGTCTCCGACGCGCCGCCGGCCAGCGGGCGGACGAATCGATTTCGTGTTTCGAATTGATCTTGAAGAAACACGCACAGCGCGATCATGTTGCGCTTGACGGCGTTGTTGCTCTGTGCGGTGGCTATCTGCATTGGGATTTTAGGCGATGTGCAGGTAAGAGCTGATAACTTTTAAAACGCAATGACCTTTATTATATCTTATTTATACCCTGATAATCAAAAAATGTTGTTGTTATTTTTATGTTGCGCCGGGTAGCGCACGACGCGCACGAATCTCAAGTCAATTGACAATTGTCTATTATTATTTAACTTATTAAGTCATCGCGGAAAAATGTTCGACACGCGTCCTACGCACAACCGCATCTTGGTTACCTTGTCATTCGTTGCTTCATAGGTTGGGCCGTGTGTGATCTCTTTAAATTCCATCACACGGCTGGGATATATTCAAATTGTAAGCCGGGTCTAGCCAGATGACACTGGCGTGTCGAATGTATTTTAACGCCTTGGCTTTTAACATCGTACCGCGTGCGTTCCCTGCTAGTAACGTAAGATTGTAAAATCAAAGCAGAGTGTGTCGTGGGTAGGTAGGTAAAGCATAAATACAGCTTGGACTGTTTATTTTTATGAATGAACTAACGACGAAGCCCGAGTTCATGACTAAGGAGTACAAGAGCAGATCACTGAGATCACTTTCGAGCAAGTTTCAGATCTGGTTGTGCGCCTTTGCGGGTGGGCGAGGAAACACGCCGGGCAACCAGAGATGTTACTAATACAGAACAGATCTTGTTGTTCCTCTGTGCACAATTCATTGCGGCCCAGGTAAATTTACATCATGTGCCTGGCTGCACATAATCATCTCGGCGATCGATTCTATTTATAATGGATTATTATATTATACTTGCGAATGAATTCATCAGTCAACATCTGCTCGTCGATAATTTAAATTCAGTTCACCGAATATTCGAATTATAGTTTTGTTCATTGTTACAATTTGCTCATTAATCATTTAATTAATGTACGCAAATTTGGAAGCCAAATTCTAGGTTATTGATTCGAAATTCTAAAACATTATCATTTTGATGAATGACTTGTTGATACAATTTCATTTTATGTACGTCTCTTTGTTAGCTCTGTGTATGCTTATGTTGGTTTGTTTCGGTTGGCATAGAAATGCTTGCGGAATTAAAATAAAATCAACAAGCGCTGCATTAATTTCTGCAGACGTAAACAAGTTACAAACATGCCGAAATTAACTTTTGCTACTGCGATTACGATGAAATTTCCCCGGGAATATTATTGGAGAGATTAAATAACAATGGTCAGATGCAGGTGCTTATAAAATGAAATGTTTGCATACTACTAGAAGATATTTCATTACGTTTAATGGCACATAATGTACTAAATTTAATATTTATGCCATAATTTATTTAAATGCGAGTGTAGTACCCAAAATTAAAAAAGTTTCAACAATACGAATATAGATTGTTGAAATGAGTGGAGCGCCTGATGTCAAATAATTTAGTTCGATGCTGATTAATTATTAAAGTTGTTTGTATCTACAGACGCATGCTCGAAGAGAGTCATTTGCACATAATCGGAGATTCTGTGTGCATATTCAAATTAATATTTGCTGAATGCCCAAATCTCCGCTGAATGCATTACGTATTTCGTTAGCGTGATTAATGACGCTCTGTGCGCACTGCGCGCGGAATGAAACAGTCGCTAAACAGATTTCTATAAAATATACACACTGTCTAACGCCTTTTCGGGGGGCGGCGCGCTTTGTGTTTCGATTTATTTCGGGCATTTGATATCGGGCTTAAAATGCTAACAGCTCACACATAAATAGAAAATGAATTTATGACGACGAACGCGCTCGCTCGGTCGTTTCTTCTCTTGTGTGGGGCTGTTAAGTAGCAATCGATAAATAATTCCTCGATGAATTATTAATCGTAAGCGTCTCCGGCAACAATGGATGGGTCTTTTATAATGCGTAGGAAATGTGCACGCTTGACAAATTAATACACGCTGGTTTATTAAAAACATCGCAGCGCCAAGAATAACAGCGCAATAGGCACATAATTGTTGGTAATTTGCTGAATCGACAACGGAACTTAGTCTAAACATTTGATATAGTGAATTCTATGGAAGTGTTATGTGTGGTTGGGTCTAGTTGTAATATAAAGATTAATGTTATGACTTTTTTCTGGTTTGTTGTTTTTGTTTTCCAAGTAAAATCGTGCTCGTTGACGTATATGGTGTGTGCATTGCTCGATTTCATGCGAAAAAGGAACTAATATCGCAATCTCACCCCGGATCGAAACAAAACCATCGAGCGTTTGCTATTTTTACAACAGGTTACGACGTGTGAGGTGTGATCGCGTGCGTCCACGCTTTCGCCATCGGCTTCGCGAGCGTGAGCAAGCAATTTGTCCGAGTTTTAATCTTTTCTTCTGTCCAATCGAGCCGCGGCCCTCAAACTTCTTGCGCAATTTTTCTTTTATCGAGCCGACCGCAAAGACGCCAATAATACCTACCTACTACCCTGCGAATGAGAATGAAAGGTATCGAAACGCTGTTGTAAATGAAACGGATTGTTGTGCATGCTTCGATGTACGGAAAAAAGGCACAGGAAATTGCGTTTTTGTCGTCGTTGGCTGTTTATTCTGCGACATTTTCTCGACGAATTTTTATTCTCGTTTTCGATTTGGTCGTGCATTCCAGCTCGACCAGGCCCGGCCAAGACACACGCGCGCGCGTTGCGGTCGGTTAATATTTGTTTGTGCGAGGTCGGCGCCGATGGGAATCGGGAATTGCATTTGCGAAATAAATAACCGCGAGCAAAGCCAATAACAAATTGTGTATTAAAGGGAAAAACGCGGTGCACAATTTGATCAACCGGTCGTCTGGTCGACTGAGGTCCCAAATAGAAATTGTCGAATATATTTGGACGAAAACGCGCAGCGGACATGCTAGATTTAGAGACATCAATTGTAAAGCAATTTCCTCGGTCGTTCAATATTTGTTATGGCACACATGTAAATGTTGAGCTTTTATTGCATGTGCGAGCTAGGTGTGTACAAATTCGAGAACAAAACGTGCTCTGCAAACGTGTGTGTTTATTGCTTTATTGTCGGAGTTCAGGTTGATAGGAACAAAACATTTAGTTTAACAAAAAAAATGATTTCTGAATTCAAAAATGAAACAGTTCCGCAACAGTGCGAGAAATAAAATAATTATGTTGTATTTTAACGATTATTTAATTAAAACTTTTGATTTTAATTAAAATAAAAAGGATACAGATTAAATTGAATCTGCGAATTTATATTTACACTCATTTAAATTATCGATTACTCATTCGTTAGCGCTAGTATTAGTGCCATTTCGAGATTAAAGCGAGTATTATATCACTACTTCATATGAAACTACCCCGAAGCGTAGCGTAGGCGTCTCGCTGCCGAGACTTGTAGTTTAATTCGATTAGTAAACAAGTGCAAAATAGTGATTAATCATTTGCCACATTTATTATCATTCCGCCTCGGATTTAATTCACACGTCCAGTTCAGTTTCATCGCATGCAATTCGAATATTTACTATTCGTACATTTTCCATGCATTTATGACGATCGGTGTTTATTGAAATTTGATAATTTCAGAAATTGCCACAGCGCCTTTATTTATCTTCGTTTTATTGTGCATTATGTATTCCATTGCCGGTAGAATGCATTCGAAATTTATTTATTCGCTCCCATCGTCGGGTCGGGGCGCGTCGGTTAGGTATCGCTTTAGCTTATTTTATACATTTATTTATATGCGCCGCGAATTCAATTCAATCATCCCCCTTATCTATTTTGCGGTGCGCACATGCCCGCACACCCGACACACCCGCGTTGCGTCGTGCACTCGCGAAAAGAATAATAGATCCGCACTTTCTTCTGCCGCGCGTTAGCTCGGGCGCGAAAAAAAGGTTACACTTATTTATGTGTGTACATTGTTGTTTTTTCCGTCTCGTTATCCACACAACAAAGGACCGGGCTGGGCCGTTTCCCCTTCGAAACGCTCGGCGCCTCTGCGAATGCACTGAAGACGTGAGACGGACATGTTTGAATCGTATACTTTTTTCTGCGCCCTTTGAATAAAACTGCGATAGCTCTTCGAGGGTTCTCGATACATACTAAGCGATTTAAGAAAACAATCGCTAAGTAGAAACGTCGATTTTTCTTTTCGAATTGCAAACAATACGTTTTCTATTCGTGGAAATAGATTAATTCCAAGTGTGCTGCAATGTCATTTAAACAAATAAAGCTTTTCAGGGAAATATAAAGAATAAAATCAACGGAAATTTAATTGTAAAGTATATTTCATTCAAGATATTGAAGGTTTTGTTCGTTTTACTCTGTAGATTGCTTACTGCGAGTAGAACTCCTACGTTTTTCTTTTTTTTCATTCCCTTTCGTGACCTTTTTTTGTTGGGCGTCTTTTCTATAAAATTAAATTTACATTTTTTTATTGCCGTTTTCTCCCTCGACTGCGCTGCGTCATGCAACACACATACGAAAACAGTACGAAAAAATGACTAAACTAAGCAAGTAAACGAATTGATATCAGTTTACGGCGTAAACACATAAATAACGTAAATATAAAAGTACGGCTAAGGCGAAATGAACCAGGGCATAAGAAGCTTATTGCACACAACAAAAGTATAATTTTGTTATATCTTCATGCGGGAAAAGAGCGACGGCTTTGGCAGATTCCCGAAAAAAATAAAACGTTATCTACCGCATGAAAATTATTATTATTTACCGAGTTTTTATTCGTTCACATGCGAATATTCGTGAGTGAAAAAGTTTGCATTAAAGTTTCGCAGCATGTGCATGTGCAACCTGCCTTCATATTCACATTCACATGTTTTATGGATAACTTGTTTATGAAACGGAAATGCACCTGGCGTCGACGAAGTCGGCAGAGGTTGTTTGTTGCGTACTCTTCTCGTATAAGAACCTACTCCGAATAACGCAGCAGCTTTTGTCATGTTCATTGGCATTTTTCTCACATCGCTTCATTAAGACTAAGCGCAGGAAGCGTTTTAAATGCAAGAATGGTTTCCACACTTTCGGTGGAGCATCCGAACACGCCGAGAGTTGAACATTAGACA